CTGTCTAGCAGGCTGGCTGAGAAAAGTATGTTGACCTGAGTGAATCCAAATTAGATACTGGCATGGTTGCCTGTTTGACACAGTGGGAGTGCTGCTCTGGCTCAGTCACCCTGCTGCTTTGAAACTCGCTTGTACTAAGCTTAGCAAACCCAATACAACAGCAGGAAGACAGCGCCTCCATATACTCATTAAGCTGCAGATAATAGCTCCACAAAGGGAGAGACTGATAGATGCTTTTATGTGTGTGACTCAGTATGTTTACCTGGAGTTATGTTGTCTAAATCTTAGCTGATTTGTTGTTAATCGGTTATTACCTTAGTTTTGAAGTGAGACATACAAAATTTCCTACTGGGTGGATCATGAATTTTCAACTCTCAACTATTACAAGTCTGCATGGATGGATCATCTTAAAAGGCTCATATAAAAATCTAGTGACATGTAAACAATGCACATCTGATCTTTATAGTGGTGTAGACAAAGCAACAGCCGTGCTTCACACTGGTAACCCCCTTCGTAAATTACTTTTTGGGATGAAAGAGAGGAGAGATGGGAAGAATGCCAGAGAGCAGCAGAGGGGAGGATAGGGAGTAAGAGAGGGAGGAGAGGGGAGTGTGAGACAGAGAGAGAAGAAACAAAGAGAAAAGGAGGTGGAGAATGAGGAGGTGGCAGTCGTATTTCTTTGATCAGTGGTCCATGGAGAACAGAGACCGTGCAGATAGCTGGTCCACAGCTCCTGAGGAACGCAGCTTCACATTCCTCCTTGCTCTTTTCCCGCTTCTGAAAAATCACTTGTAGTCTTTCAGAGCACAGCAGCTGTGAAAACACATCATGGCTTACTACATGCCAGAAAAGACCTGCTGGCTAATGCACTGTAAGTGCCATTGTCCCGCTGGTCCTCATTCATCAGTGCAAATCCTCTCAGAGCAAACTCGACTCATCTTTCCTAATGTTTTTCTTATATTCTCTTTTATTTGGGATGAAACTTTTTAATTTCTTTTGTCTCAAAGAAAGATCAAAGTTCAAATTTGTCTGCGCTGCTGGCATTCATCTCAAATATACTGAAAAAGGACAAATACATGAAGTTTAAGAAACACTGTCACCCTTTAGAAATCATGAAACCAGAGGCCAATGGCCAAGCCTTGCTGACATCCTAATTTTTGGTCCTTCAATGGGTGTGGCACATATTTCATCTCCAAAACTCAATAAAACATCTCTCTTTAATTCTCAGTTCAGCCCATGATAAATAATAATATAAATTCAACATATCCTCTTTAAATTAGTCTATAAATTTTCCATATTTATAAAACAACTTCAGACTATTTCACAGAGGTGTGACATGTGCTCACTGTTCCCTGTGTTAGCATAATATTAATGATGACACTCATAAGCTTTACAACACTTTGCTCATAATTGTTCAACAGGGATTGCATATACCTCTTCATGAAGATCCTTTTGAGAGTCTGACTAAAGCACTCATCTCAGTTTAATTGTATGCTTTCCTGAGGAATACTTTGCATTGTGTCTGGAAAAAAAACAGGCTTCCTGATGGCAAAGTGTTGAAAAGTTCCTCAGTGGAGCGTACACTTCTACACCTAAGCCTGGGGTGCTTGGGTCAGGATCCCTCAAATTTAGCTAATGTACATACATGCTAACTCTTCTTGCAGCTTGTTATCAAAAGGGCACAACTGATGTGCATCAAATGAGTCTAGCAGTGAATGCACCTCATACAACTTCACTTTGAAAAAATACCAAACTACTCCTTTAACTTATCAGCTGAGTAATGTTTTGATTTATTGTAGAGCTCATTCTTATTCAAGTTAATTTACATGGTTTTGAATCTAATGTGTTTCAGTTCTATATAATATACCAAGCTGGTAAAAATGAACAAAAAAAGACACTATCAGTAAAGGATGTGTGTTTTTAGTGTGTATGAGTGGTGTATGTGTCTCCTTCATAAAACCCTTCATTCTCTATTGTGGCCCTTCGAGCAATAACACGAGCTTTTAAGGTTTAGATGGGGAAAGCAAAACACCTTTTATAGTTGGAAGTTTTCATTCTCTGTGTTTCACTGATTGGATATTACCACAGGAGGCTTAGTGGTGAATTTTGCCTCACAGCACCACTCCTCTCAATCTGTTTTCCAGATCTCTTGATGTTATGTTCATGGAGTCTGGGTAAGGTCTTTCCATGAGAATCAAATCCTCTGGCTGCTGTTCCCGTCCACCTCTGACTCTGATCTGATGATTTGCCTCAGGGCCTGTTTTTGGAGTTCTAACACCTTGAGCAGTCTAGTGGGGGAGGCAGCCATAGACTCTTTGATGCCCTGTTCAGCTTTAGTAGATTTTTTACTTTTTAGCTTTGTTTTTTCCTGTGCTGCTGGCTCTGCATAGAGATGAGCACCCAAACACTAAATATGGCCTGAGGTTGGTGGAAGCACTCTTAGCTGAGAAGACCAAATGTTGGCTGATTATCACCAGCATCCTTTCAGTTTAAGATATTGATTAGTTCCCGGGATCTCAGCTTGGCAGGCAATGTTTGACCTTTCTGACCTTCTTGGACAAATCAAAATGGGACCTATTTTATGATTCACTCTCTCTCTCTCTCCACACACACACACACACACACATCTATATCTATCTATCTATCTATCTATCTATCTATCTATCTATCTATCTATCTATCTATCTATCTATCTATCTATCTATCTATCTAGATAGATAGATAGATAGATAGATAGATAGATAGATAGAGAGAGAGAGAGAGAGAGATAGAGAGAGAGAGAGAGAGGCTTCGTTTCATTTCTTTGCAGATGACACACTCATATACTGCAGTGCACCAACAACGGTGCACGCTCTAAGAAAATTGCATTCTGCATCTGGCATACCACTGGATCGGTCTGTCAGCTGTAGTCTTTAAAGCGGACAAATCAAAACTCATGCTCTTGACATCCACATGAATTGTCTGAGAAAATGCTGATCAAAGATGGCCATGAAATTGAACAGATATTTTCTTTTAAATACTTAGGGTTTTACTCTGTGACAAACTGTCTTTTAAGGAGCACACTCAGTATTTTGCCAAAAAGCTGAAGGTTCTGTTGGGATTTTATTGTGAAGTCCTGCTTCTCCTTTAACTTAGAAAAGGAACACTGTTTGAGGCTACATTTGTATCTATCCTTGATCATGGTGATGCATGCCTCTGCTCCGAGTCTTCGTGTGCTGGACAGTGTGTATCATGTTGCTCTGAGATTTATTACCAACTGTGGCTTTCTTACCCACCACTGTGTTTATATGCCAAAGTTAAGTGGCTTGCACTCAGCACAAGGCAACTCCTGCACTGGTATACTTATATTTATAAGACCATTCTGGGCAAAGTCCCAGTCTATCTTTCTTCTCTCCTAGTCCCAAAGGACAGGACACGCAACCTCCGTTCCTCTGACACTGTGCAATTTCTTATTCCCAAAGTAAGAACCGAACTGGAAAAGACAGCCTTTATATTTTCAGCACCTTTCTTGGAACAATCTACAAACTACACTTAAAATCCAAACTTTGGTAACCTTTGGTGATTTAAGATCTTTCAAAAGATCTCATCTCAAAAGACTTGATTTCACACTCTCTGTATGCAACTGTTTTCACTGATGCTCTGACATTGCTGATGTGATGAATGTATGTACTGTATGTGTTTGAATGTTTTATAATTTGTCTTAAACTATGTGTTTGATGTCATTCTTTGCCAGGTCTCCCTTAAAAAAGAGATCTCTGATCTCAGTGGGAATAATCTGGCTAAATAAAGGTTAAATTAAAAAAAAAAAAAATCCTCCAGGTGATTGGTTGGCCTTAGTGTCCAGGAAATAGTCACCAGCCAGTTGTTCCAGAAAAGTCTGTTGATGGCATAATTGTACGTCAAGGTATCTGTCTTCAACTGCCTGAGAGCACAGGCTGGATCACCCTCAAATAAAAAAACAGAGAGTTTAAGGACATAGTTCTACAGTATGTAGCTCAAATGATGTAAATGAATATGAATAGGCCTTCATTTAATTGTAAATGTGACTAACAGAATGGATAAGGATAGTTAAGATAAGCTTTAACTATAAGACTTTGCCAATATAATTAGATCAGCTAGACTGAACAGTAAACATAAAAGACATAAAGCCAATTCCCTCCATACCTCAATAATCTCCTTCATCCCCACAAACCCAGCCATACTCTCTGATCTTCCTTTTCCTTCATGCTCCTCACTCTGCCTCCTGTTCCCTTAACCTCTGTGGGTCTTGAGCATTCAGCTGTGCATCCCTGGGACTCTCTTCCACAAACAACAATGTAAAATGTATAATGATTATCGATTTTAGCCATACGCGAATGAATCAAATCAAAAACAGTTACGTGTGTGTGTTTTTTAATTCATACAATCCAAAATTAAAATGAGTTTAAATACTGGTATGTGCTTATGTGCTGTCTACATAAGGTCAGACAGGGATGCAAGTACAAAAGAGGGGGTCTGGCTTTATTTGTCAACCAGAGATGGTGTAACTCTCACAACTGTCAAGAAGAAGTTGTGCTGTCCAGATATTGAACTGTTGGCAGTTGCTAAGGGAGTTGCCAAGGGAGTTCAGTCATATCATAACAATACATCCCACCCAAGGCAACAGCTGAAGTTCTGTGTGATGTTCTTCATGAAACAATTGCTAGGATACAGACTCAACACCCTGAGGCACTAGTAATAATATCAGGAGACTTCAACCATGTCACCCTCTCCTGTCACTTGCCTGGATTTACACAATTTGTTTACTGTCCTACCAGAGAAAACAAAAACCTGGATCTGTTTGCCATTCTAAAGAATATGGATCATCCACTTCATAACACCTTGATGGACCAAAAAACAACAACAGTGATGGATGGCTCCTTTCTTTGCTGCAGGGCGGATTCAGAAGATCCTTTGTAACCACAGCCATCAGACTTCTTAATTCTTCTATAAATAGTAGATGGGATGAGATTAAAAAAAAAAAAATTCCCTTTGAGGATAAATAAAACTCTTGTTTTATACTGTAGGGGAGAGCGGGGTAAGTTGAGCCACCCCCTGTTGCTTGGAAATGGTAGAAGAAATTGATCATGTGACCAAATTTTTAGGAGATGGGCATCAATTCATGGAGTCTGTAACGGTTAGAAGCACATGGGTGAAGGGGTTAGACATTTGTTAAAAAAAACAAACATTTTTCACTCTCGAAAGTGAATTTAGTCTGTCATAAGTTTTATTAGAAATGTGTTCAGACCAAAAAAGATCATTTAAATTTGTTGTATACATCAATTGTGTTATCTATGAGCTGCAACATGAGGTCAAAATGTAGCATAAAAGTCCACCATTTTAGCCTAGATGACTAATAAAGTCATAATCGTAGTTCTGGGGTAAGCTGAGCTTGTGGCTCAACTGAGAAAGTAAAGGAGTCTGATATGAGGATCAGAGTGTCAGTTCAGATTGTTGAAATGTGTTACTTTTTCTTATCAAAAATACAGCTGTCAATGTTCTGAATCACTTAAAGACATTCTCATGTTAAAATGGCTTTATACAAAACAGCTTTTTAGCAGTTACACGCAGTAATAATGAAAAAAAATACTGTACCAGTTGAATAGCATATAAAATATAAAAATACACATGAATGTGAAGAAGTGACTGTTATTTCGGGAGAGAGAAGGTGAGGGTGAGCTGGGGTGGAAAGAGAGGGGGGTACTAGGGATACGGCTAAACTTACCCCGCTCCAATGATCAACTTAACCCATACACGGGTAAGTTGACCATAGGAGACCCCTTTTTTTGGCATGCTATATTATCAAGACAGTTATGTTTACACTCATTCTATTGGTTTGCAGGGATGCACAACATCTTAAAATATATGCAGATACACTAGTTAGAGACAAAACTATGATTGCTTTGATGCAGTGATTCGAAATATGAAAAAAAAAAAAGGCTCATCTTATCCCACTCTCCCCTGTTGCATACAATATTCTGCTCTATTATGTTGAATTCTATATATTGTGATACAGAATATTTTGTTATCTTCTGTATGGCCGTATCAGTATCAGGATGTATCAGTAGACGAACCACTTGCTCACGGACAGGAGGTAAACTAGTGTTGGATCTGCTCTGCTGTTTTCCTCACGGTCCCTTTATTTCTATATGTGTTTAGGTACACTTGGAGCCCCGCCCTCCTCAGATGTGACGCTGACCAATGGGAAGGCAGCGTGCGTCAGGGAGGGACGTCACATCATCAGTAGCAGCCGCTGTGATGGGACTACTGCCGTGCTGCACCTCTGCTGCTCTGACTGAAGTCTGCACAGCGGCAGCTCCTCTACAGTTAGTGTATGAGAGACAACATTCAAGACACTTCACACGTCTGGAGAAGTAAAGCGATGGAATTGGGTTGCCGGTTTATGGGAAGAAATACGGATAAGTTGTAGGAGTGAAAAGCAGTGTTTGTTAAGGGAGCAGAGAGGCTGCCGGGCTGTCTCCACTTCCAATCAGCGACTTTGATGCAGCCGCTAAGCTAACAAGCTAACTGGGAATGTTTGCAGAAACTAGCCAGATTGTTAGCTTGCTAGCTAGCTGAACCAGATGGGAAAAACGCCACTAAGATAAAGAGAGACAGCCAAAATGCGTCTTTTATCCGTTGGTACATTATGTGAATAATCCTGGAATCATCCCCAACTAGGTATGTTGAATGTTTACGGCTCTAGGTTCCTCTTTGTTGGTCATTTCTAGTAGGGACAATAGTAAACTGCTCCGGCAACAAGTCAGGCACACCAACGATACTCAAGTTTGTTTGTTTTTTTCATGATTTTTGCCGTTAATAGCAGTAGGTTTAACACTACATCTCTGCAGTAGAAATCAGTGCTTTGAGTGCAGTTAATGTAATGTTACACGCAGGGATGTGGGGTCCCACTTCAGCGTTAGATCCCCATTTTTAGGTGGACCGGGTCACTTTGTTGTATTGGAGAAACCGATGTAAGCTAGTCGATACAAGTATTGACGAGGAGACGAGGTGGATGAACATTATAAGTCGCCCACATGCTTTGGATCAGTTCCCGGACTTGTGAAAGGCATCTGAAGCAGAAGGTGGGAGACGTGAGCGCACAGCCCTTGCAGCCTGGGGGAAGATGGCGGAGCGATCCCGCAGGAGGTGGTGAAATCAAAACTTGGGCACTTCTTGGATTTATCGCCAGACATCTTATCTCAGATCATAGGACACATGCAGGCCAAAAAACGGTACTTAACCCTATTCTCCGCCGGCGCGTGTCTCGTCCTGTTGTTTTGTTTTGGGGGCATTCAAGTGCCGCTATCCAGACGGGGTCCCGGCCGGCGTGATGACCGCAGCCTCTCAGGGGCGCGGTGGCGTCGCTTCCCGGGGTCCCTGCAACCCTTCAGCACCTGGGAGCAAGAAAAAAACGACGATCACAATGAGCACATATCTCCAAGGCAGAAGAGGGACGCCAACTCAGGTGTTTACACTGGAAAGCGCTGCAGGATGGAGTCCTGCTTTGACTTCTCCCTGTGTGAGAAGAATGGATTTAAAGTGTATGTCTACCCCGAACAGAAGGGGGAGAAGATGTCAGAGAGCTATCAGAACATCTTGTCTTCTATTGAAGGATCGAGGTTCTATACACCTGATCCAGGACAGGCATGCCTATTTGTCCTGAGTTTGGACACTCTGGACAGGGACCAGCTTTCACCCCAGTATGTGCACAACTTGAAAGCAAAAATACAGAGCCTTCCTCTTTGGAACGGGGGCAGAAATCACATCATCTTCAATTTATACTCTGGCACCTGGCCCGACTACACAGAGGACCTTGGATTTGACATCGGCCTTGCAATGTTGGCTAAGGCAAGCATCAGCACAGAAAACTTTAGGCCAAACTATGATGTTTCTATCCCTCTTTTCTCTAAAGACCACCCAAGGACAGGAGGGGAAAGGGGCTACTTGAAACATAACTCTATTCCCCCTTATAGGAAGTACATGCTTGTTTTTAAGGGGAAGCGGTACCTAACTGGAATAGGTTCTGACACAAGGAACGCTCTTTATCATGTTCATAACTCAGAGGATGTGGTTCTCCTCACAACCTGCAAGCATGGGAAGGACTGGCAGAAGCACAAGGATGCCCGCTGTGACAAAGACAATGCAGAATATGACAAGTAAGTGCTATGTTGTTCACTTAACAACATCTAAGTGTCTCTGTTGTTGTTCTCATTATTCAGCTGCTGCCAGGGCTTAGGTTTGTTTCTGTCCCTCTCTTGAGTTTTCATCTTGTCAGGATTTCTCAAGTATGGTATTATGTTAATGTTATCTTAAACTGGATGGATCCTGGCCTCTCTGAGGTACATGTAAGTGATGCTGCCTAACAGTTTCACAAAAGATCTGTTATCCACTCTGGCCTTTTATTTACCAGGTATAATAGCTAACTCATGTTACTCAAAAGTGGGGAGCATGTCTTTAGTAGTCCATCGCTGCTACACTCTTTCATAACACTGGTAAATATTTGTCAGTTTTTGTATCACGCAGTAGTGTTGCATGTAATGTCAGACAAGAGCCCTCAGTGTGGAATTTCACCAAGACATTGACTCTTTTTACATCACAGAGTTGATGCAGAATGATGAGAGTATTTCCAAATGCAAAATAGTCTGGGTGCCGTCTGTCTGGAGCCCTCTTCCCTGATTAAATTCCATTTTATGCTGCTTATCAGATTTATTCAATGGCAGTATAAATGTCTTAGTGGACAATGATGATTTGACTTTTAAATGGTCCTCGAATCATATGATAATATTTAACAAATTAAATATCATGAGGCACAGATAAGTAGATTTGCTTTAATGTCAGCCACAAGAGCAACTGTATTAATGTAATTCAATTGATATCCCCATCTGTCCATACAGCCGGCTGTTCAGCTGTGTATTAATCTGCTTCTCTTTCTCTGAAATTTTCAGCCTCTCGGCTCACTCTTTCTTTGAAACCTGATCCCCTTCATCAGAAACTGTCAATAGTGTACAATCATGCACATGCCTAGATTCCAGTTAACACATTGGACTCAGATAACTAGTTTATATACAAGTTGCTGGGTGGGCATGTGTTAAAATTTTCAAATCCCCATAATTCTGACTCTGTAATCAGTCCCCATCATTGAAAGAGGGCAGTATTGGATGCTGTCTTTGCCCCAAATGAGGTGCTCTGTGATCATCATCCAGTCCTATTTTCTGTGCCCAAATCTGATGAGCAAACTGGTGCCCGTCTCCCGGCGTTGGCCAACAGGATTCATTTTGTGTCCCCTCAGACTGTGCTGTGTTGTTACTGGTGACTGTGTGGCGCTGGGTGTTTGACTGTGGCTCTTTGGAGTGGATTAGTGGGGACAAAGCGCTGGTGCCAGTAAGGGGAAGCCACTCTGGCCCCTGTTTGCTCAGTCATTTCCCAGACTAACCCAACTGCATGAGCCAGGAATGCCCTGGCCCCAACTTGTGTCCTGCGTGACCCTTCAATGTTTGGGGCCTGCTGTCAATGACCCCCGTGTCAACTCTTTACTGCGTTGTTGTCCATTGCATTGTTCACTTTAGATTGTAAATGATTACTGTGAAGAGTTGTCCTCATGACAGACCGCTGAAGGAAATACCTTGATGAGAGCTTGCCACTGGGTATCAGATGGCACAACAGTCTTTGCATTAAAGCACTGTAATTTATTTGGCCCAAAAAAATCTAAAATAAAAAATCAAACTGGTAAATATCAGTTATCCCTGGGCATTCATAATTTGAAAACAACTAATTATCTGAGAATAGTGTAGTAGTCAGAGCGAAACTGAGTTCATCTTTTATACTGAAATCAGTGTTTCTTAAATGCTTCAGCGGACACAGCAGGTATGAGTGGGCTGAGAGCTGAGCTACCACATTAATTAATTTTAGCTTAGCATATTTTATGTTTTGTCCTCATATTAGAGTTAGGATACATTTAATAATTTGTTGTTCATGAGGATTTTACTAGAGAATAAATTACCTTAACTTGAAAAACTTAAAAACCGCTAAAACACAGAATCATACTTTGTTTTGACACTGCTTCTTCGGTGCTTTCAGATGGACTTCAGAGGGAGTGAGGCTATAAAAAAGCTCATTTCCATTCTACATTGTTATCTATTTTGAGATTGATTAATGTGTCCTTTTGCAGCTGTGACAGACTAAGATCAAATATAGTTGAGGGAATATAATCAGGGTATGCAGATTTACTGCAGACACAAAGGATCAAACTCAGGCAGCGACATACAACAGCCACAGTAACCGTACAAATAATGTTTTGTTCAGCTTATACATATGTCGTATTTTCACTCTGTATCAGTCTATTTGCAAATCAAGGTGTGACTATTACTATATTACAGTGCCGGACCTTCATTTTGACATATGTTAAGAAGTCTTCAGTAAAACTAGTAATTTGATGACAGTGTGCAATAGCGACAGGTGTTTTTACACAGGTTCTGATTTGTTACATACACCCTGTGTAATTTGTTTTGCCCAGCATTGATCCCCCAGAGGATGCTCATGTTTGAGGCGGCCTGTGTAGGTGGGTATCAGCTTAAGAGGTTCATCCGTTTACTTAGCAGAGTAACATTCTCCCTATCACTCTTAAGACATGAGTTATCTGCTCTCTCTACCCCTCGCTGCCAAGTGCTGCCAGCGAGTGATTTCACACAGTGAGACATGTGGCATCAGAGCCATAACCCAAAGGAAAAATTAATCCCCCCCTGTCATTAAGTAGCATTGGGGGAGACACAGGCTTTGGGTATCTCTGGAGCCTCGCCAGCTTAGCTTCATTGCATGGCTACAGTATGTTTAATGGTTCTCAGTCAGTACATCCTCGGTAAGCCACACCGCTATCAGTCAACACGCTTTGGCTTGATCCCCAGTCCACTGCAGTGTTTCTTCTAATTTGAATCAAATTAATTTGCTGATCCCCAGTGCCCTAACTATTTACAAAGTCTTAGTCCAATATGATTGCCCTCTTCCTGTATGTGTCAGACTTTTATTATGCTGCTACATGTACTCCTATGGCTCTGTTTCTAAGTGATAGGGTCATGTTTTGATCCAGTGAACTCCCAGAAGCAAACTGTCTTGTTTACAAATACACAGGGTTTGATTTTTTGTACCTTTTTTTGTCTGTAACTGACAAATTTTGTATATTTGGCTTTATATTGTTCTGTTTGTCTATAACTCACAGAGGAATCTTAACTGAAGCCATCTGGGGTTGGTTTCAGTAGTTTACAAGACCACAATTTCATGGTTTTTCAGCAGGAATCTGACCTGGGCAACAGTGTGATCTATATGAATAAAAAAGGGAACTGAGTGGACAGTGTACAGCCATATTCTGTTCAGCCTGAGAAGTTTGTGTGGAACAGATCTGTTAAAAATATCTAGCTGTGATTTTAAAGAAGACAGTATGAGTCCATTTGGGCCCTCCTCTTGCAGACTACCAAAACTTGATAACAGCCCACTGGCATGTCACCCACGCTGGACTTCAGTCCTCAAAATACTGAATGTAAAGTAAGATCTGGTCGTTTTAAAGGATGGCATGTATTTGGGGTTGTCACAAACTTTACATTCAGTATTTTGATAAGTAATCACATTTGTGCAATGATATTTTTAAAGTCAAACAATAACCAAAGCATATGCCTTTTTCAAGATGTGGTTTTCTAGGTAGAGGACAATATAAAAAGGCCCCAGATATGGTGATTTCATAATATCTCATGTAATAAATGTTAATAGCCCCCCATTCTACGCCTAGGCAGTGTAGTAAAGTGGACTCTTGATCTGAGAAAATTGTGGGGTGCTGTCACAAATATAACTTTCCTGCTGTGTTAGGTTTTGTCATTTTTTTTGCCTCCTAAGCTTCGACACTAGTGGAGTAGACCATCAAAATTCAGTTATTACAAGAAGTCTTGTATGAGTCTGTTTTCAGATTGGTTGTTTTTTTCCCTCTAATTACAGAAGATCCAAATGGTTAGCATTACAGTCTGACGGTATAGATTCATCAGTCTCCAGAAAGCTGAATTCTTTCCCGTCTGTAATCATATACCCAGACCTGTTGCATATTCCCAGCCTGGCACCCGACTGTGCATAGCTGTCCAAAGGCTATAGACACAGAGGAGCCGAAGATGTTGGTGGGACAGTAGTCAAGGAAGTTGGTTGCCAGGGAAATCAACATTTGTTTTTTGGGTTGACTGTCAACCCTCCAAATCAAAACTACCTCTGAGATGCACTGTGCCGTAAACAACAAACTTCCTGTTACAGTACGCTGGCTGTTCAATGTTGCAGATCAGTTAACTTCTACTTTGCATGTGTGTTGTGCCCCCAAAATATCTGTCTGGGTTAAGCAGCTGTTTGTCCAACAGATGGATGTAGACTTAGATTATGACTTTGGCTGAATTTGTTACCATACTTCATATTCAACAGGTGAATTTCAAACAGGCTCCGCACAGTAAACATACCTTACTTTTAACTTACATGTTGCAGAGATCTAACTTTAGTTTTATAGCACAGGCCAAATTGCTCAATCTGTGAGCTGTGCAGATTTTTCCATGCAGGTTGAGGTGTATGATGGTCCTGTTCTCCGGCCCTGTGGGTCAGACAGTACAGTCTGTGGTCTAACTGGGTGGAAGTAATAGATTCTGTGCCTGGCTGTGGGCCTTTGTGCTACAAATCCCTTTTATCCTCTCCCACCGACAACAAGGAAGCTGTGACAGACTGAATGCAGCCTCTCACCATAATTACCATGGAATGGCCATGTCATTTTTGTGTGATGGTTCAGACTTTATTCTCCAGATGTTGGCCTGGAAATGTTCTGTTATGTTCCGTGTGAACATGTGTGGCCTGTTTGAAAGTACAAGTCTGTTACTGCTTTGCTCGAGAAGATGCTGTCTGATTTTAGTGCTTTGTTTGTGGATAAAGGATTTGTTTTTGAATCCTGGCGCTACATTTTTAACTCTTTTCTCAATTCTTTCATGTTCTTGTCGTTCTTGTTCTTGGGTTCTTGTTTCATGGTCTTTTAATAGCTGAAACCGTAAACTCAAACTGCAGTCGAATCTTCTGTTTGTCTTTTGTTTTCCGCTGCCCGTGGCCTTTTTGTTTCTCTTGATGGTGATAAGGATTGGCACCACTCCAGATGTTTGGTCCAGAAAGGAAAGCTTATTAGGATTGCAGAACTCCTGTTGTGCTTCAATGGCTGCTGTTGTTTGTACACATGCTGCAGACTCCTTCACTGTATGACCTTTCCACACCAGGACCATACCCAAGTTGTTTTTTTCGCCCAGCTTTTGGACCTGTAAAAGGTTGTTTCAGGCACGATCGATCTCTCAACAACCTCCTTTTCATAGAACTTATTTGGATTTCTTGAAATTTCAGGCCTGAAAGAAACTGTTGTTGGTGGATTACAAATGTCAGCCCATTTTAACATACTTGTGTTTTTCAAGTTAACTGCAGCATGTCTACATTGTGTTCTTGTTTACCTGCCATGTTCCTGCAGTTTCCAGCCTGTGGGTAGAGTCAACTTTTTGCTTCACCACACTCTGTCCTCCTGACATCTGCACTCAGCCACTGTGTACAGGCCTGTTATACAGCCAAAGGAGAGCAGAAAAGATCCAGCAGGAGACAGGTCAGATGCAATTTTAACCTCAAACTGAAAGCCCTCTCACAGCTTGTTTCCAATTAAGAGGCCCTGCCAAGCGAGAGAGAGAACGAGAGGGATGGAGCGATAGATGAGGGGAACAGGAAAGATAGAAGAGTAGGAGATAGACTGAGAGAGAGAGTGAGTTAGAGGGGGAAACTAGAAACAGAGAAAGAGAAAAGAGGGCACCACGAGAGTCTGAGAAACTGAAAAAAGAGAAGAAAGTAAAAGCAAGACACACAGAAAAGAGGAAAAACACATGCCAGCCATCCAGCAGTGAGAGGTGAGTGCAATAGCTGGCTGGGTGCTGACGCTGGTCTGCTAGGTGTATTTATAGACTTGCAGGGTTTTAATCCTCAGTATTGGCCCAAGCCCCTAGCAGAGGGCTGCTAGCCAACTGGATGCAGGCTTTACAGAGCCTGGGGAAAATGATAATCGCTAGGGAGGACGGTTGATCTCAGAGTTCCTGTACATTAAGTTTTAATAGATGTTTTCACTGATTTTACTTCCGTCTGTGATTTTAAGACACCTGATTAGCAGTTTGTGTTTTTTTTTTTCACCAACAGGCTCCAGGTGTTCTTTTAAAGGATGAATAGAGTTGATTTTGCACTCTTGTTTTTTCACCTCGACAAAAGATCACCAAAATATAGCCCACATAGTCCTGATTTGTAGGTGGATATTACTTCCAGTGATACCTCAAGTATAGATAAGCTTTGGGCCTTGACAAAAACCTACTACTGTCAAAGAAGTATCTCTTGCAGCAGGCAGACCGATCAAATGCTTTTTTCCCACATTGTGTCTACCAGCTAAAGTAAGAAAATCATTCAAAAACAACAACGGCTAGACAACCACTTCGATGTAAGTGCCTGCTGTGACTGTGAAAGAGAAAAAATGAGGGCGAAGCAAAGTGTTTTTTACTTCCAGAAACTGTTACAAGCAAAACCATCAACCAGTCGGGCATCTGCTTGCTACTTCAAATTTTTTTAGATGGAGATGTTCAACAGAGATGTATCGTGTTTATAAAATAAAACTCAACTTCATAGGCAAGACATCTGATTTAGTAACTGAAATAGACATCACTCCAACACACTCAAAACAGCCTTTGCAGGTGCACTTGTCCCAACTACCATGCTTGTCCACCAACACTGAGCAGAAAGCAAAAGGTTGCCTTATATCTGTGATGGCATTTTATTGGCTTCTGGCTGGATCAGAGAAAAATGTTGACATTTGGGAGATGTTTGTTGTGGTATAGCACACTAATAAACTGGAAATTTATAGTAGGCATTTTCATTTTGTAGTAATTGTATCTACCTGATTTAAATTCTATATTGATTGAGGTAGTCTGGTGAACCACTGGATGTCTGTGCACAAACATGTCTGAAGAAAAGCAGCAGAATGTGGAGGATGTTACTGTATTAAGCCTGTCTCTTTACTTTGAGTGTGCTTAGGTCAGTCTGTTTCTCTATAATACAGAGCTATTGAAACTAGTCTCTCCTGCAACATGCTCAGCACTAATATAACTTTGGTGACTATGGTTTATGAAAAGATGCAAACAGTGGTCACTCTTTTTAACTCGGCTCTGCCTGGAAACCACCCACAGCCGGCCCTGCTGGTAAGTGCTGAACGATACAGCATGCCGCGGAGGAGTCTGGTCAACCACAAAACCACTCTTCACAGATTATATGTTTCTTCCTCATCTACAGAGGCCCCTGTGACACTTGCATGACCACAATCATCATCTTTGAAAGAGTTCGTATGTTGAGTACAGTCTCAGGCGTGATTCGTCAGGGCATTTTTGAAATGAAAATGGAAGCACAGGCTCTCGAGCACAGCGGAGACCTTAAGTTTTCAGTGACTGTGTACAAGAAGACTAAGCAGCTACACTATTTACACAGTCAACTCAAGCCCTTTGTTCAGGCTCCTGTTCTCTGAGGTTGCCGTTCTCTCGTAGCTCGGTCCTCACCCCCTCAGTTTGTCTTTTAATGTCAGATCCATCAACAACGGGTTTACTCTCTCAAATGTCTTTGCAGCTGAGACAACATTGTACTGAACTTTAACTGACCAACAATACTCAAGTGGCAGTTGAACTGCATTTGGTGATATTTATATGTATCTCTAGAGCGTTGCATTGTCAGTTCAGCTTTGGTGCTAATTTTTTCACAGCTGTTTGTCCCCCTGTGTCCTCTCTTTAAGGCTGGATATAGAGAAACGCTGGCACTCTCAGCTACTTAAGGAGTTTAGATAAGCTCCTCTGAATGCTGTGATTGTGAACTAGTTTCATATCTCTGTCTGCTGATGTTTATCTTTCCTAATGACATTAGAACAGGAAATGTGCGTCAGCATGAAGCACGAGCCACTCTTCACTTTACCTCGGCAACATTTTTTTTTCCAGTTTCAAGATGTTTCTTCCCCGTGAGTCGCTTGTTTGCATATGAAAATAGTGGTATGACAGTTGAATGCTTTAAAGGTTCTCTGTTTGTTGTAAAAACCCTTTTAAGCTCTCTGTTTCGAAGCAGACAATGTATGTCAACCAGGAGATGTGCAGAGTGGATCTTCCCTCTGATGAATGCTGTGTAAGAAGGGATTTATTTAGTCCTCTAAGTCTAATGGCCCATAGCTTTGTGTTAAGGGGTTGAAGTGCTAAACTAGATGGATGTAGCACTGTGTCCTATAGAGCCTGGGGATTATAAGCTGCTCATATTTAGAGCTCATGGAAAGGGATAGCTATGATAACAAAAGCAGGAGGGAGGATAACTATACAGTCAGACTATCACATGGCTCGTCTTGTTTTTCTACGCCAAGTGCTCCCTGTCCTGAATGATATGACTGAACTGACTCTGACATGATCCAAGTGAAGCCAGAGGCACGTGGGGCTGACCTATTGAGTTACAGCTCATCCTGTTTACCCACAACATGATTGCTTTGAGTCAAGCTGGTGACCTGCACAGAGTCTCATCACTTAGAGTCCTGTCACTTTCTCAGTGCTTTAGGTCCAGTCAGTGGGTACACCATGGATGGATGGATGTCACCTGAACCAGCTGTAAAGAGGGTCTATATTCAAACGTTCAAACTGATCGATAACTCATCATTGTACAAGATGAGTTTGCACGGTACTTGAAGTATCTCCCGTTTTAAATACACTTAATTCTGTTCATTAAATTGTGGTTATGTACTCTATGTAAATGTGTGCTCGTTCAATCCCATAAACTACCAAACGAAACTGTTTCCCAGAAGGATTCAGTCTACTCACGTCTCAATTGATTGCCTTCTCATTTTTCACTGCCAGGATTTCTAGAGACGGAGGTCAAGAGGGAACAGAGGGTATTACCATCACTGTTCGCGTCTCATCACTCATTAATTACTTGCCGTGTATGTGAAGCAGCCGGCTCCACATTACCTTGACGTCAGCTTTTGGACATTGCCTTTGCTGTTACTGAGCACAGTCTAATTTCAGAGTCAAAATCTAGCAAAGTGTTGGTGTAGTTGGTCGTCATTTCGACTCTGTGTATTTCAGTGGGCGCTTGTGTGGTCGCAGTAGTTTTCTTCTCTCTCTCTTTCACACACTCACTCTGATTCAAATTCAAATATGCTTCATGCGCTTGAATGGTTTTTAAGCCGCACTGTTACTCTCTTTGGAGACTGGCCGTTCAGGACAGAGGGCAACACTACTTGTTGGCCGATCTTCCTCCCGCTCCTGTCCTGACAGGATGATGTATGTCTCGTCCTTGGCAGCCATGTGCAGGTGATGTATACCACTTGGAATGCTGGGAGAGTGAAATAAGGAAAGGGACGTCCACGTGCCAGGCGCAGAGTGTGGTCCATTCCTGGAAAAGCTTTTCTGTCCTCATGTGGAAACACATATCACTGCTTCCTTGTGATTAAGTTGGGCTGAACGTAACAGTAAGGCGGAAAAAAAAGAAGTTACTGCCAAACAAAAGTACACAAGTAAGAAGAAAATAGTTTCAAAACACAAGCAGGACTTCCAGTTATGAGTGTTATTATTGTTAAGTATTGTTATTACCACGGTGGCCTGGATAAAGTCAAGTAAGACATTACTGATGTAAAACCCTCTGTATGATTTTTTTAACAGTTTGACTCCGTGGCAGAAGACTTCCTTTTTGGAGTGAATAGTTGACACATAGATACATTCAGAAAAAAAGTCTCGTCTGATCTGCCTGTATTAGTTTATTGGTCTGTTTCTGCTAGCTTGCGTGCTATCAGGTTCCAGGAACTTTGACCGAATCTCAAAAGCCTTTGGTTAAGTTTGAAAAATGAAGTACAGGGGAGATGTGGATAAATATTTGATAGGTTTCTCTTACAAAGTCATTCTGAGCACCACTGGAGTGGGGGGGGGAGCACCTCAGGACAACAGATGTGGTTTTATTGAACAGACCCGATTCAGGAGGCAGAAAGTTTGCGTGACGCATGAGGCACATGTACCGTCCTTTCAAGCACCCAGATAAGTTGCCTCCCAGGCATGGCAGGGATGGGGGGCTTTCTCAATTATCCCTCATGTACGATAAAATATGTTGTGAGAGCAACATGCAGAATTAAGCAGCACTCTGAAATCAAGGCCAGCAAAATCCTACTGGCTTATAATCCTTTGGTCAGTGTGGCGAGTGGACCTGCCAAGCCCATGGACATGCAGCCTCTAAATCCCTGTGACTCTTGACTCAGTGCCACCGAATATGTTTCCCTATATTTCATTTATAATTTTTGAAACGGGGGGGAAGGACTACAATGCAATAATGAATAGCTTCAATGTTTCTGTTTTGGAGATTTGGAGACAAGAAGTTACTTATGTCAAGGAGTTGGCCCACACAACTGTTGTGTGTCTCTGAAATGGACTCCAGCAATGAATCATCACTGTGATGGACCATGCTGTGCTTTGTTAATGTAACCACATTTGGCAGCATGGAAAAATTACCAGCCATCATGTTGCGGGGCTTTGCTCGGTAGCGACATGGATCATCAGATAAAACTAGCGCACACACATGCTGTGAACACACACTCTCACACAGATACGCTACCTCTCGCTGTCCTCTTTGGACTCCACTTTGTCAGATAAGGGCTTCAGCTTCAGTCAGTTCTGTGAGGGAAGAGGAAGCTCAAGCACACGCAATGATAACCTCCGGTATGTGATAGTGTTACCTCTTCCATGAAATCGCAGCCTTATTCAAAGTACTCTTTGCTGCGAACCTGACCAGATTAAGTGGTTATTAGACTCAGTTCTTAGCAGATTAAGTGAAGGCTCAATAGCATTAAACTCATTAAATCATGTTGAAAAGAAAAAGAAGCAGAAAAGAATGTTTCAACCCGAGAGAGCTGGGAGAAACTTATAGCACCTGTTTTGTTTGTGTATCACTCACTGCTCCAAACTTTCAGGTTCCTGTGATTCAGACTGAAATGACCCACGCTATGATTCTCAGCCTGCTTGGCCAAGCTTCACACAATTTCCTTCCTCCTCTCACATAGTGAAATGTGCAACTTCCGCTTGTGAGGTCACAAACCAGAGGGCAAGACAGGAAGTGTTGTCTTTGATCTCTCCTGCTGTTCAAACTAATTACCTGCCCGCAGCAGCAAGCACCGCAGGCCGTGGAGTTCATTAACAGATGGTGGAGCTTTGTTCTGGGCTTGTGTGCCTGAGGATACAGGAGAATTTAGCTGTGTTAGAGTCGACTTTCTGCAGTCTAATTCTGCCTGAGATCAGTTTAACTTAAGAGTAACAAAGAGAGGCCAGCTCGCTTTAAAAGTAATAATTCTATCGGTCGAACAAACACTTCTGTTTGTTAACTAACCCAGGTTAATTTTGAGAGTTTTTCAGGATGCATCGAGTGTCTTTTACATGCTTCTAACTCAGTAAGTCCACGTGACACAAAATCTAAACTTACATACAAAACCGTGGACATTTGAAGGATTTTATAAACTTACCCGGACAAAGCCAGACAGCCTGGACAGCCCCCCAAAAGAGGACCTATGGTCACCCTAATATAGTTATTTTTTTTAAGGTATCACAGTATGAAGGTTTGAAATCTTGCATTTTTGCACTCACAGTGTCACTCATACTCTATAGATATGAAAGTGTCTGTGTGTGGTGTATCACAGTATCAGTACAGGATTAGATTGCCCTCCCCCCACAGCCATCACATTAGTGGTTGAGGATTTAATAGAGGGGTTGGAACCTGAGGCGTGACAAAGCTGTCCCTCTGCTCCCTTCAAACCTTTGTGAGAATAACTGTGGTACAGAGTCGTCAGGTTGGGTAGTAAGTGCCTCATCATGAAAATCAAATGTCTTTCTATTAAGCCAGCAATATTAGTAACTATGATCATGGGTTGGTTATTTAACGATTTGACAGGCCTAGTAATGTCCGCTGCCAGGAAATATGGATGCATAATTATAGAACCAAATTGTGCGACGTAGTGCTGCTGTACTGAAATAGAAACCTGTTACATACCTCTGTGGTTGTTTCTGTTTTAATGCTGATCCTCGAACCCAACAGCAGCCTCTTGATAAGGTATTCCCTCTTCATCTCTCAATTCAAGAGCATGCCAAGCGTAAGCCAAGTGCTTCAAAATTCTGCTAGTTGCTGCAATTCTGGATGTCCTTTGGGATAAACTGCTGTATTTTTCCTTTCCCCCCATCATCATTAGTACCGCCGCCACCCTGTAATCTTTCTTTCTGTCACTGAGGCAATGGGGCTTCTCTCCCCTCTGTGGTCTCGTAATTGTGAGGTAATCATCTTTCCCCTCTTGAGAGCTAAAAGACTGTGTTTACACTTAGTTTCTGGCGGCTCAACTTGGCGAGACACTAATTTACTCTCTCAGCAGCAGAAGAAGCAGCTCCTCTCATTACTTCACACTGGCTGTGCACTCCGAGCCATTCCTTTCCCAGTGTATCTGCGGCTGGTTGACAACAGTTTGGATGCACTCCCATCTTGGATCTCCTTTTTTGTGGTTTTAGTGCAAGTATTACTCCACGCAAATGACAAAATAATACATTTTCTCACATTTCTCACTGAATTTTAAGTTGTTAACATTTAGGGAAATCTGTCTCTGAGATTCCTATCTTTTACTTAATACACAACTAGGCACAGCACTCTCTTTGCAGACATATTACAGTTTATATGTATCCTCTGCACAGTGTTAACATTTAACCAGACAAATAAGATATGCAGGTCGACAACCTTTTTTCCATGATGACGAGACAAAAGGCAGATAAAAATGTATTTCTGGGTTTAAGGAACTTATAAATGTATGTTTTATTTATTAATAAGCTGAGACTAAAGTATAAGAAGTGCATTGTCAAAGATTCAAAATCCACAAAATTTCCCTCAACAATTCCCCTCATCTAATCTGCCTGTTAAAAATGCAATGAATTCAAGTGACAGGCTGAATGGTCAGAGTGCACAGTGTTGTTATGGTAACTTATCTGCAATAAGTGCGCCACAGGCACAACTTTTCACTGACTCTATGCATCTTTCTCATTGTCATCAATAATTATTTTCTATGTACACATCAGTGACAGCACCACAAGCAGCTACTGGGCAGATGTCAGTTTAGGTTTTCACATTTTCAACTGTTGTGCTTCTTCTTAACAGATCCATGTCAAAGCCTCAAGATTTGTTGGTTTGGCAATTAGTCAGAGAGAACATTATGATGTTAAAGAGTTTTTCTCTTCTTAAACCATCAACCATCAGTGAATAGTAGCTAAAATGTAGCTGCACGCTTGTCACCACACGGGTGATGGTAACACTGTCCGATAAAAATGGTCCAATAAGGCTGCTTTTTCTTGACTTCCTCTCTCTATATGACCACTTTATAATAGACTTGTTAAATTGCTTGTTAACGAAATTGGCTAAACAGCCAAACACACGACAGAAACTCAATGCATTTAGGCATGTAGACATGGTCAAGACAACCTGCTAAAGATCAAACCGAGCATCAGAATGGGGCAAATGGGAGATTTAAGTGCGTGATGGGCTGGTCTGAGTATTTCAGAAACTGCTGATCTTATGGGATTTTTATGCACAACCATCTCTAGGGTTAACAGAGAATAGTCTGAAAATGAGAAAATATCCAGTGTACAGCAGTTGTGTGTAGAAAAATACAGTGTTGATGTTCAAGGTCAGAGGAGAATGGACAGAGTGGGTAGAGATAATAGAATTGCAACAGTAAGTCAAAGCACTTTTTACAAGCAAGGTATGCCGCATACCATCTCTGAATGCATGACACATCGAACCTTGAAAAAGAGGTGCTACAGCAGCAGAAGACCACACTGTGTGCTACTCCTGTCAGCTAGAACAGTAAACTGAGGGAACAGTTCACAGGCTCACCAAAACTGGACAATGGAAGGTTACGAAAACGTTGCCTGGTCTAATGAGACTTAATTACATGTAGATTGATGGGTCAGAATTTGGCGTAAACGACATAAAATCATGCATCCATCCTGCCTTGTATCAACAGTTTAGGCTGATGCTGGTAAAATAGAGTGGGGGATATTTTCTAGACACACTTTGGGTCCCGTAGTACCAACTAAGCATTGTTTAAACACCACATCCTAGCTAGGTATTGTTGCTGACTATGTCCATATGTTTATGACCACAGTGTACCCATCTTCTGATGGCTTCTTCCAGCAGGATCATGCACCATGTCACAATAGCTCTCGGTATTTCCGGGATTTTTCTTCATTTCCTGAAACCAGCGCTGTGCAGTAGCGTGATGACCCTCGGCTCAAACAGCGTATCCCCCGGGTGAGCTACGCAATCCCTGAATGCCCATAGGCTGTATCAGGTGTCAATCATAGAAAACATGAACCCCCTAATAACTTTTAACAGAGCTTCACAGAAAAAAGAGGACTTGAGCACAAACCAGTCACAAGCAGGGGGGAGAAAAATTTATGTTCTGTGAAATAAATTTCTAAAGTTTGTCCACAGCTCCATAAGCTTTCCTGGCAGAGGCGGGATTTATGACCTATACTGCAGCCCGTCAACAGAGGACGCTGTTCTCGGAGTGGCTTCACCCAGCAAGGAGGCAGACTCTGTCCATTATTTATACAGTCTATGGGTGGAACAGGAAAGCCATATAATGCATGTGCAGCCTACAAATCTGCGGCTGCTGCATGATGCTCTTGTGTTAATCTGGACAAAAACCCATGAGGAAGGTTCCCAACACCTTGTCTAAAAAATTAATACAGTTCTGATTCCACAATGTTTTTGCTGCTTTAAATAGGGTCAATGTTTGTGGGAAGACACAGTGTTTCTTTTATGAGATTTTTCTTATGCTGTGTGCACTTCAAATGAAACTCCTCTCAGTATAATGAAGACAGGGCACCAGAGAATGATACTACTTGAAGGTTTCTTGAGAATAAAGTGAAATCCATATCTTTAAAGTGTGGAAATAATCTCTTTTGGTAATGTGCTTCTTGCCTGTAGTATTTGCTAAAGCCTCCTTTTAGTACTCTTTTAAGTGATTTGAATCACGTCTCATTGTTTCAGGCATTTCCTTTTTCAATCTCCAAATTCACTCAACATGAAAGAAAGCACATAATGATTTCTACCATGGAGTCATTCGGTGTAAGTGGTGGAAATAACCCAAGCGTGTTAAGAAGTGTTTTACCTTTACTGACTCAGCTGACCTATGTTGGGTACTCTCTCTTGCTGTGTTCTCAGTCACACAGACACACACTTATTGTTGGTTGACTCACACTTAAGGGTCAGAAGTGCAAAGATCCAGTCAGATGTAAATTGCCCAGCACATGTAAATAACCCACACTCTCTGCTTTTCCTCTCCCCTCACCATCCAACCCTATTCCTCTTTCTCCCCTGAATCACTTGCGTAAGACCATGTCCCAAAAAGACCCCATGCCTGCTCACATTTACACATGCACACACACCAAGGCACATGATCATGCTGTTCCACTGATGCATTATCCCTTCAATATTGTCCCAAATTACACCCCCACGCAAACACAAAATACTTCAAAACAGACTTCTCGGTCCTGGGCAGATTCTAGCCTCAGCAGCAGTCAGGCTTTATCTAAATCCCTCTCTCGGCATGATGGATCAGATCAGATCAGACACAGCCCGCAAGTCTGTTTGATGGTGCATTGATAGCAAATTCAGTTGATATCATCACGTACTCTGAACTATGAGAGATATTACAAAGCCCCCTTCTCCTGTCATGGTTATTGTCACGGTTGATTTGCCATTAAAGGGAGGGAGATGTCTTTGAGCTGAGAGGGTTTTTCATCTTACGGAAATAATTCAATGTTTGGAAAAGCGGTCCAAATGCTGATAAAGTCTCTAAACTCATATAGGGATACAGAAACTTGCAAGGAAACACACATCCAGTCCTTTTCTTCATTTCCCTCCTTTCCCTTTCTAGCTGATTATACCTTAGTATGCTGCTCTCGTCTTGGCTTCCATCATCTTTGCCTCCATTTTTCTCATGTTTCACCCCCTCCCCATGAGTTACCATCCATTCATCACTCTCGCCTCTTCCCCTCTATCTGCCTTCTCACATCCGTCTATCTCTTCCTCTATCCATCCCTGCTTGGCCCAGGAACAGAGGCATTCCTGACCCGGACTTTATCTCTCATGCAGAGCAGCCCCTTGAAACAGCGGCACTAGAAGGAGTCGGTTACCGGCTGTTTGACAGCATTCCTCCAAGATCAGTGAGCGCTCAGATTAATCTGCTCAACTTCCACCTTTGTTCAGAATAAGACACATTTACCAGCCATCAGGAGACTTGTGTAATATGTACAGTGTGTTCATTCATGCACTCATTCATGAAGTAAGTCATTTACCAGAGCCTGGCTGCTGGTTAAAGGTGGACAATCATCAGTTTTCACTGGGCTCCTGAACCGTTCAGGAGTAGTGAGTTATTGTTCAATTGAAAAAAAAAAAGGCTCAAAGACTATTTCCTGCTGACACAGAGCTAGTGAACTATAAAGACATTGTAGACACAGTGGAACACAGTTATGCTAAGGCTTAATAGTCTGTATGAAAACACAAGATACAGTTATTCCCTACTATTCTTAAACTATAGTAGGTCTCATTGCAGTACTGTGTTGTAATTACCTGATGGTACATCTTAATGTTGCCTGACGTTACGAGGCATCCCTGACATTCCAACACTAATGGTTGTTTCTCTAACAACAGTCATTTCATTATCTCCAAGACTCCCCTGTTCTGTTTTCTTTTTCGTGTCCAGAGAGCACTTCAAAGCATCTCTCTCATCAGCCTCATCAAGCTGATGGATTGCTGATAGAGAGATGCGGAAAAAGCTTCCTCCAAACTCCTCAAGGGTTCAGTCAAATTAAGTCAGCCCTTTTACTCTCCTAGTGATTTTTTTTTTGATAGATGCTGATAAATCTGTGTGTTTTGGTCAGTGTGTGTTGATCTTACTGAAGCTTACTCTCAAGGCGCGTATGACACGATTCTGGGGAGGGATATTTGTGGAGATGAAAGGGTCTTGCTTTTTTGATTCTCTAAGCGAGAGAGGGTGTAGGATGAGTGCAGGCAAAGAAGGGGAACTAGAAAAAAGAAGATTCAAAGCATAGCAATTAGGTGAATTAACCTGGGGTCATGTCGAACTGAGACCCCCTCTGTGTGCCTGTAAATGTTTTATAAAGCTGCCTTTGAACTCATTAACCAGAGGAAGATGAGTGAGATCAAGGTGCCCTGAGGAAACTAGTAAAGGCTTTGTTTTTGAAAAAGCTTCATTGGCGTCAACACCATTAGTGTAACTTTATACGCCACCATGAAGGTGTTACTACCACTACCTTTAATCTGTTCAGGGCGTGAACAGAAAACACCAATGAAGTTTGCCCAGTACAATATTTTCTGATCAGACTTGGTGATGCATCATCACCAGTATGACCTGGTGAATAGGGGTGGGAGAAAAAAATCGATACAGCATAGTGTCGCGATATTTTGTCTGGTGATATATCGTATTGTCTCATTTACCAAGTATAGATTTTTCAAATTAATTGTTAATATGAAGTCAAATCTATGGTAATGGAAAATTAAATCAACTGTTTGTCCAGTGAGGTCGGCAGAGGTGACATCATAGAGCAGGAGAAAGTTGCTACAACAAACATAAGGTTTACAAGATGTGCTGCATGAAAATAAAATACTTAGTAAATAAGACAAACATAAAGGAAAGTCAAATAATAAATTGGCTAAACAACTGAAAAAATGTATGAATCGCAATATATTGTATCACAATACTCGCTGTATTGCGAAATGTTAAAAATTGCATTAATATTGTATCGTGGCCCAAGTATCGTGATAATATTGTATCGTCAGGTCACTAGTGATTCCCTCCCCTACTAGTGAACCTAAAGCCTTTTAAACAAATTGTACTCTGGATATGTTGCAAGTTGCTCCATCACACATGGTTGGTATTAGGTGTATTCTTAACTAGTGGGAATACAGTGTTTTGAGAAGGTGTGGGGTGGAGCCATAGTTCTGCATGCAAATATAAGAAGACATAATCCTCTGTAACATCAGATTTGGCTTTGAAATCACTTTAGTATGTCCTTGTGTATGCCTGCAATGGGGATAAAGATTAATAGAGTAGGGATTAGTTGATTACCAAGAATGTACTCCAAAATACAATTTTTGTTTGCTGGGTAGAGATGACACACTTGTGGCTTTATGTTACATTTAGCTATCAGCATGGTGTTTTCAGCTCAAAGCATATTTCAATACAAACCGGTCCGATAAAGTTTTTGCGTACAGCTGAGATGCTCAGTTAGAAGCTGTAGTCATGTGAGAGGTGTCTCATCTTGCCAACTGACCAGTGAAAAGTCAGTGCAGAGAGACTTGCAAAGCTGGCACGCATCTGCATACCAACAGCACCAGTGCCTCTTCAGCATGTTTTTTCTGCCACCGGGCTGATTATGGCCCAGCTGCATTCCAGCACTGTGGACATGCGTATGTCTTACCAACAAGAACAAGTATGCGGAAAACTAGACACTAAGGCTACATTCACACCGCAGGTTATGATGCACAATTTGGATTTTTTGTTAAATCCGATCTTTTAGTGCGGTCGTTCACATTACAACGATGAATGTGCATCTAATGTGAACGGAATGCGTCCGTGAAGTGGCGCACAAAGCACAAATTGCTCTCCGCGCCTGTTTGTGTTGTCGAACAATGGTGACGTTTGTCACATATTGATCATGTATAGGTCAGATGAACGCAACCTGAGTGTCCACACTGCAGTCACATTGGATACATATCCACATATCCACATACAAAAGAGGCCTGGGTCGGATTTGAAAAAAATCAGAATTGCACTGTCACACTTACATGAAAAAATCAGATATGTCACATATGGTTAAAAAATCGGAATTGACCTGCAGTCTGAACATAGTCTAAGTCCAATTCCACATTTAGTCATTTGTGCCTCACTCTGCATGACTGTTTGTGAGGATAATGTTTAGGGGCCGGCTCTAAGTGTTGATACTAAAGCAGATGTTACTTGGGGCTGGCAATTTGATGTCTGGTAAGTCTTGGAACCAATCAGCTATCGGTATCCCGGGGCACTGACCTCTTTTTGTGGCTTCTGGTAAATCCAGCAGTTAGCAATAGAGGACTTCCTGTAAAGTTTTCTTATTCTGTGTATCGCTGTTGTTTAGTGTTCAGCTGGCAACGTAAGCGAGAGAATGGCATGGGGATCGAAAAACAAATTTAAAGGGATAGTTCAGTTATTTTGAAAAGGGGTTGTATGAGGCAGTTGTCAATAGTAAATGCATTAGCCACAGGGAATGCCAGGCAACTCAGCAGACAAGGCCAGGTCTACCACGTAATGTAGCTGATTTAATAAACTACAACCACAGCACTGTTCCTGGTTTCACCATCTGGCCTTAGGTTAGTGCTTCATTTGGATATGTCACTGACATCCTGTGAACTGTAATGTTTTAATACTTTCAAGAGGAAGCGGGGGAAGTTGAACAGTTACTGGTGTTTGGCTGGTTATCTGTGTCAGCCTTTATTTTACAGATATCCAGTGTCATTAGATAATTAAAAAGTGTGTTATCGCCACTCTGCTGTCGGTTTGAATTTCCCTCCGTGCCAGTTTTCTTGCACCACTTTTTCCCAATCTAATGTCCCACCCACATCTATATCTGATTGGCTAGACTTCGAATTTGGGTGTGATTGTCTGTATAGTTAATGTGACTGTTTCCACTCTTGCGATCGATGTTCAATGTTTCAGTTTTGACTGGATATTTCCTAAAGGCATTTAAGCAGAGTTTTGTGTTAGAGTTTATAATGCTCCAAATTCTACATTTTGATGGAAAGTGTTTTACTTCTTCTGTCAATGCTTCCAAATTTTGTTTGTCAGGTCAATGAACTATTCATTGTTCTGAGCATCAGCCCTTAAATAGGGCGCTGAGTATAAGACCCTTTAATTCAAGCACCAAATGCCTACCCATCTGACACAGTAATAACTGCAGAGTTTGTAACTTCACTTGTGTCTCCTTCTTTAAAAGCTAAAACTGTATTTTAATAAGGTAAATATTTATGACACAGGCGTCTATGGCTAAGTGGTTTAAGTGGGTGTTAAGTGACTGCAGAACTTGTTGCATTGCAGGGTCCCAGTTTTGCTCTGTGACAGATTGTATTCTACCTCTTACGCAGTCTACACGGCCTGTTCTTTGCATACAGGCAGCTAAAAATACACAGTGTTATAACCCTTACTACAAACAGAAGACTTAGAACACCAAGATCTCGTCCTGAACCTGCAGATTCAAGCTTTTAATGCGAAACCCCTTCATTGAATTGATTCTGCACTCTGACTTATTTCTGTCTTGGGTTGTGTTTGCTATGTTACAAATACAGTGCATGTATAAAACAGACTTTAACCGTTTATGAATAAACTCCTTGATAGCTTTGTGGTCTCCTGGGGTTGATTTTTTATCATAAAGGCAGATTATTCCCAGTGAGTAAGACTCAGACTGTTCAGTCCTCAATACTGCTGTACCCAGAAACTGTTTTTATTTGTACAAGGTTTACTGCAGTCTCCATTGGCAACAGAAAAAAAGAAAACTGAAGCTATAGTTTGGGGTATAATGACGAATGTTTTACATTCATTCATGTAGGTGTCATCACACATCTGGTTTGTCTTGCGAGGAGTAGTTCTTCCAATTAAACTCCAACTTTCCCTGAAACTCTGCTGCTAACCGCCTCCTAGGCGACAGGATTATGTCTCCATACCTGCTGAAGGAATCATTAGCCAGCTCCATGTTTAAAATGAAGCTGGTCATCTATCGTGGCTGCAGGCGAAACAGTCAAGATTAACTATGCAATTAAGTACATTGTAGTGCAGGGAATCTCATTCATAGAAGTGCTGGCCGTCAATCTCTGAGCACCGGGGTATTTTAAGCTCCATTTCTTGAGGCAGGTTACCGTCACATTTGTCACAGTTATTCTGAGCACCAAATTTGTGTCTCTCTTCATCTCTTAAACTTCTGTGGTATCAACTGAAGCACTAAAAGGCACTTCACTGTGTATTATGAATACACACACTCTTAGATACACACACACTGGAAAATCAAACATTTATAGGCGGGGAATTATTGGGCCAGTGTCGTCGATTTCTACAAGTGCAATCAAGTCACTTCAAGGGTCTGATATTTCCACATTCCTCTGGCATCTCTCCCTTTACAGAAGTCTCTCACACTCCTTTTAGTATTCATCTTTAGGGCTAATTAACCCCATGTAACATGAGTATAAGAGGTGCTCATTAACCGCATATTACACGTGGTTGTTTGATCTCCTTGTAAGGATCAACGCACTCATATCGTAATTACTCTTGTGCTTGGAAACACAGTGTGCTTGTGTTTCCTTGAACATACAGACCTAAAGCAAGTCTTCCTGAGAGAATGTGCACGGTTTTGACGGAGTGCATTTGTGTTTTTAAATTAGGACAGCCCGGCTAGTTTTCTCTCCTTTTTGCTTGTCACTGTGTTGTGTACAAGCCTGACTCTTGGTCTGCGGTCTTGTCAGGGGAAACAAAGCAGCCATAGCAGTGTCTTGAAATATTGAAGTGCCTGATGTGTTTTGAGATCAGAAAGAGGCTTTCTGTGTCTGTTTGCATCTTGTGTGACACTGTTGCCATGGGTGGTTCTGGCTGTATGTGTGTGGGGCTCGGATACACACATACGCTTGTCAACTGCTGTTTTCTTGTCTTTCCCTTTCTCGTCTGATGACACTCACTTTCAGTCGGTCCCTTTCAGGCCCAAATTCCTCCAGCTTGAACTCATAGTCCAGGAAACAGCCAACTTCTCGTCAGCTTGGCTCAACGGGCAAAAAAGGAGAAGCTGAAAAAAAGAAATGAAGTCAGTTGGATGAGGGGCAAGAGAGTGGGATAGTAAAAGAGCCTTTTTTCCATCTGAAGTCAGGGAATTTATAGAATAGAATAGAATAGAATATGTTGCTAAGGACTCCCACCATGACAAAAATAAACTGGAGGCAGTGTATTTGATTAGATCCAGGCCATGCCTTTTGTTATTTGATTATTCTAAATTTGAAAACGTTTTGATTTGTTCAACTGAATAACTAAATCTCCTCTAAGGAAAGGCTGCACTTTTAATCCAATCATAACCAAATGACAGTTGATGATTTGTTTGCAGATGTTACCAATTTTGATCAGGGAAGAATAACAACCCACCACAATGCAGCAACAAAGTTTGTCTCAAACAAACTCCAGCAGATAGCCTATTGTTGTCATTTTTTTTTTTCAAAAGGGACATTTTTGAAGTAAAAATGATTTTTTTCCTTTCATTGTGAATCACCAAATGATAAATGTGTTGACACAATGATATTGAAATGTGATGTTTTTTTATTCTTTTGCATAGCGGGGGTCAGAGGAAAATGTTTGTCTAACTATATGGTTGTCTTTGAATTAGATGGTTTGAGCCCGACGTGTTGTTTCAGAACGGAAGACAGTTAAGATGAGCACACATGAGAACTTGAAGTTGTCAGCGAGTCGCCATGTGTCTTTTGATTTTGTGTTGTTTATGAGCCGTTGTGTCGTGAATGTGTGTGGTCTCTCACGCAGATTATTAAAGACAAACACTTTTGGCTCTTCTTCTGAGCCTCCTCGGGCACTTTGACAGAGCGAGCTGTGCATTTCTTTTTTAACACCAACCAGTCTTGTTGCTAGGAGACTGGTTGATCTTTTTTCTTTGACTCAGCTCACTTCCTGTTATCCTTTTGTCTTTCTGTGCATCACACTGCGTTCCTCTCTCACAATATAACTAAATGAGGTTTAATTATACTCGGAGATGAAAAGGTTCATGTAAAGATGACAGTCGATTTCCTACTCAATTAAAAACAGAGGTGATGGAGCACCACTTCACTGCTGGGTTCTTTCTCTTTATACCAATAAGAGGCTTATAGTTTGAAACAGTGAGAGAGATTCACTTTATCATTGATCCCATTTGTTGTTGTGTGGAGGAGATGATGCTGCATCATAACATAAAAAAAGCCAAAGAATAAAATGTTACTCAGGTGAAACAAAGAAATCCAACCTTCAAATGAAGTGATGCTTATCTCTGTGGTGGGTTTCTAAAAAAGAACTAAAATGTCATTTATCATTTCGAATTAGAATAGACAAGTTGAATCAACAGTTTACCTCCTGTCTCAGATCTGGATCGTTCCACTCATGTTAAGAGTTGAGTTTCCTCCTGTGTACCATTTGCAGCAGAACTTTTGTCAGGCCCGTGTAAGCAGTATCATCCTTGGCCTCCCTTTTCTCTCTGCTTTTACTGTATCCTCTAATTAACAGCCACTGTTTCCAGTCAGAACAGAGCATGAGGATTACTCCCTGTCTGAATTAGACCCCAAAGTTCTTCTGCTTTACAGTGCCACCAATCTGACAGTCCCTTTTGTGCATACATGCGTAAACATATTCATAAAATATAGCTGAAAGGGCACATCATGACAGGAGTTGGTTAATGAAGAAAGTACTTCTCATAGTTAACATCACTGCTGACATGCAGAGGCAAACTGTGGGTCTGCTCCTTCCCACAGGCAGCCATCTGGAAGAGCTGAGAAGAATGGAGGTATGTAGGGAGAGGAACATCTGGTCTGCTTTGAGTTTGCACTGACAGGAAGCATGATGGATGGATTTACACAGAGCCAGGCCCAGATATAAACCTATACTTTCATTTTTATTGGCCTGCAAAATGATCAGTCATTATGTGCCTCAGGCTGGATTATTTGTTTGCCATGTTTAGTGATGGCCCATCACGCAGTATCTGCGATGGAGTCGGATGTTGGAGCAGAGTGCAGATTGATAATGGATACAGAGACAAGAAGAGCATCTGTGATGCTACCGAGCTTGTAACATTATTTACTGCAGCCTACAGATATTAACAGTGTGGATAATGGGTGCCTGTGGACATGATGGTGTATTACTATAGATGGCATCAAGGTTAACCCCAGCTTTTATGCTATCTTTGGCTGCTAATCTTCTCTCATCTCACTGCAGTGGCTGTGAACTACAATCTACTGTGGGATTATCCATTTAGATGTAACATTTTCACCACATTTATCATTTCAACTGATATTCTACAGCACACTCACATGCAACCATGTGACAGCTCAGTACAGTGGTTATTGTTTTGCACCTCAATGCATGTCCTTGACACGCAGCTGATGGGTGTCTTGGCTGTGTGTGAATGTGTGAAAAGGAAGTGGATCAGTTGAATCAGTGAGGCTGTTTCAGTGCACTGACACCATGCAGTGAGAAAAACCTATGCAGTGTTCAGGAAAGATCAACTAAATGCACAAGTAACCTGTGCACACACATTAAGAGTTAAGGAAGGGGAGAAAATGGCTCCATGGCCAAACACCATTTGTAAACTCACTTGTGCATCCGTCTTTGCACTCTCTTTAGAGATGTGATCTTTGCGAATGAGTCGATCATTTGAACGGCTCTTTTAAAACGGGTTCACAGTGAAGAGCTGTTCGTTTACGAGGCGCTTTCATATGCAGATTGCCCACACTGCCATGCTACACCAGGTAGTTATCAGTTGTCTGTAGCCTGCGTAGTTTTTACTGTACCACAAAAGTTTTTAGTTGAGGAAATTTTACAAAATAGTGATCTCACTGTCAAAGCATTGGGTTATGGCACTACCTTATGCATTGTTTACAATGAAAACACAAGCCAAATGAAATTATAATCAATATTTCAGATAATTGGCACTCACTTGCGGCCCTGGTTGACTTTTAAAGAATAAGTAAATATAATAACGGGCCCGTCTTTTGAACGGCTCTTTGAAAGGAACAGCTCCTAAAGATTGAACTCCCTTCAAAGAGCCATTAAATCCCATCTCTTATTCTAATGAAACCAGGGGCGTATTTTATTTTTAACACATGCACATATTTTTTTAATTCTTGAGTATAAAAATAGACCTCTAAATACAATGCAGTACTATTCAGTCTGAAATCCAGTCTGCACAACCTTTCGTGCTCTCCCTCTGGTACATGTATAAAATCTACACTGAAGGAATCCCAAGCAGCTCCCTAATCCAAGCAGGTGCTGACTGAGGTTTAGATTGGATAGAGGGAATGAGGAAGAAGTGAGGGAGGGATGTTGAGATGTACAGGTGAGAGGGCAAAGAGTTTAAACATGAGACAGGGGAGAAAAGAAAGACAGGAACGTGTGCTTTCCAGGTACTTCATTGTCAAAAGAAGGTGCCTTGGTCTTTTCCTGTACTTCATGCTTTAGTGAGCAGGTTTCAGGAAACTTGATCCTGGTCTGGGCTGTGGTCCTGTGGTCCTGTGGTCAGGATTTTTTTCAATAAAACAGAAAGTTTAAAGACAGAACTTTAGCACTGACCATGTATGTAACAGTGAATTTCTATTAAAGGACAAACATGTATTAGTTCGTGGTTAAAGATTTGCTTTTCTGTTATCCTGCAGGTATGACTACAGAGAGATGCTCTACAACTCCACATTCTGTCTGGTACCTCGAGGACGACGGCTGGGCTCCTTTCGCTTCCTAGAGGCTTTGCAGGTCAGTGAATCGCAAACAGATAGATGTTGGTCATTAACACAAGGCGTAGCTGTTACTGAATCTAAGCCAGGTGATATGCACACAAAATGGTAACCCAGGAGGTTTGCTCCAAATGAAACACATTCCTCTGTCTGGCATCTTGAACCAAAAATGGACATTTTTATACACAATAAGTCAACAAGTTTCAGTTCAACCTACTTCACGATGTTCCCTGCTGTGCTGGTCTCGGTCACGCCGAGTTAACAGTGAAGCACCATGTAATATGCAAGCTAAAGTTGGAGTTAGCCACCTGCTATTAGCCTTGCCCCCCCCAAATAATCGGTATCAGCATCGGCCTCAAAAAATCCATATCAGTCGAGCCCTAATAAATACTATGCAGGTTTCACAAGGTCCTGACAGTAGAAGTAGAAGTTCACTTTTGTAGTTTGACTCAGCAGCTGAACATAATAAGTCGAGCTTCTTAAAGACATCATGTAGTGAGTCAGCCCTGAGTTATGTTGCCCTGATAATGAGGCTATTAATGGCTGGTTGTGAATGGAAAATAGTGATCAACCCGGTTGCTCTATAGGCTGCTCTTACTCACTGTCAGTCATTGTGTTATGGTGCAGACATTGTTGATACAGCTGTGTCTGACTCAACGCCTGCCATCTCCCCCCCCCCCCCCCCCCTTTTTTTTTTTTTATTCTTCCTTTGACCGTCTGTCTTCACCCACCACTTTGAGTCATCCTCCCCTGTAACAGTACTCTTTTATTGTACTGTTCGATTTTTACATGAGTGTCCCCATTATCTTTGCACGGAGCTCATCTTACTCAACGTCACAATCTGCTCACTTACTTTAAATGTACACAGATGTTCATTTCATCTTTTGTGACAGTAAAAATGACTAAGACAGAGAGTGTATGCAGGTATGAGCAAGTAGACAGCATAAATGACCAGGTGCACTTTACTTCAGCTGAACAGTTTCACTCAGGGACTTTTATTTTGAAAAGACCTTCCCCCTCCTACTTCACTGTGAGAACACAGCGCTGAGCTCAACCTTCAAAAATTAAGTGCACTGCAGTTATGAATCATAGATTTTCTTTAAAAAATAAATAAATAAATACATAAATAAACAAACATCTCATACTCACTCTCTTTGTAAACACTTCCCACCTTCACTACGTCACTGTTTGTATCACCAGATCCAGAAGTTAAATTATCTGTGAGATTAGGTAGCATACAAAAGAAATCCTTCTATGACCTCTCCACCTGCTAGCCAGCTCCTCCTATTTCCGATTAGTTAGCTCTCTGTCACATGACCATGGAGCACGATGAAAGGCATTGAGAGTCAGAAAGGTAATTTGATGGGTTTTGTCAGCGTTGGAGTGAGTGGAAGGGTGATTTGACAGTTAATACCTGCTTTGGGAAACACGTTGCTCTTGACAGAAGTCATTACACTTGGCCTCTTGGTAAGCATTACTAATCACCACCAGTCACTGCATTAGCCAGTGTTTTATGGAGGAATGGAAACCGTAAAAGTCACTTACACTAAGTCCCAGATTTGTTTTAATTTCTCTCTCACAGATTAAATTTTGGTTGCATATTCAACCAAATTGGTCACAGTTCCACAGAAAAGTTTAAATAAAAATAACTTAATTTCATGAAGAGTTCCTCGAATAAACTGATTTTTCAAGGTACCAGAGGTTGCTTTGTGACTAACTGATCCGAAAACATACTATTGCAGATTTACGATCCACTGGTACAGATTTTTGGAGTGATACGGCTTAAATACTTATGATTAGACCAAAAACTCTTTTTTCGTTTTGTATATCCAAGAATTTGACTATGAAGACCAATTTTACGATCATGTGAAAGTACTTTCTTTTTTAATGACTTTAGTGGCTTACATGTCATTGGTAGCTGTCTGTTATTGTGGTCTGATCAATTGAAGACCTGCATGTCTCTGAAAATTAAAGCAGTGGTGTTGGTGATTTCCCAAAGGTCTGATCATTTTGGCTCAGCTTTTTTTCTTCATTGATAGAAATCATGCTGAAGGGTAATATTCTATTACATGTAACAAGCAGATCATGAGTCTGTTATGTGTTTTATTTGACTTCCTAGGATTCCAGTTGAAATAAGCAGTTTGTTTAAGTGTAAATTTCCTTACATCTAAGCGCACACTTGTGCAATTAAAAGTAGGTTTGTGCACAGTTAGATAGGGCTGGGCGATATGGCCTCAAATCAATATCACAATATATTGAGCAGTTCACCTCAATAACAATTAATTGGGCAATAACTACTCCACAAGCTGCTCACCCCCTCCCACATTAACTTCGTCTACTTCACCTGCCGCTCCAACTTTTGAACCGTCCTCCATCTCCTCACCTGTCTTTCCCTCTTTGTTATAGACTGGATGGGGTGGAGTCACGTCTTTGATTAGAACAGCGTCTTAAAGGGACATGAGATCGTAGCCTACCTTCACACATCCAAAACCAACTTTATTTATGTATTAATTTTTTGGACACTGAATATATTGACATGGGCAAAATGATGTTGGTTATTGTAGTAAATTTCGGCATCTGTAAATTTTTGGTTTATCGCCCAGCTCTACAATTAGATTTGAGAATTGACTAGCTTTTCTTCTTGTGAAAAGGTAGAGTAAAAGTCTCGATGTAATCCAAAGCAACATGAGTCTTTTTTCCATTTTTTTTGTGAGTTCTGTTCGTTTCAAAGCATGTAAACTCTCGTCCTGGGAAAAACGAGTAGAAAAGAGGTATAGTTTGAGTGTGGACTTGAAAGTTTCCAACTGGAGTCAGCCAGTGGCTGTTTATTGGTAGGAATGGAAAGATAATTGCACCACCAGGGAGTCAGGATTGAGCTGAGGTGAGACTGTGGACTCATGACTAGATCCTAACAGGAGAAGAAATCAGTACAGCTCTGGCTGAAATAGCGTGCAGCAGAGGTTATCTAGAGTTAGAGGGCTGGACCATGGCCTGGAGGTATTAGTGAGTCTCTGCTTGTGCTGACTTACACAGAAGCGCAGGAGTTGAAGAGGGCAGGAGGATACTGGAGGATGCGTAGAAGTTAAAGGCCAGGCAGGCTAGAAGCATCAGTTAATTCCCTCATGAGAGTATGCTAAGAGGCGTGATGGGAGACTGTGTACAAGTCAAGAGCCGGGATGTCACATGAAGCAGGGTTGACTGATCCTGCAGATGACGTAAAGTGCAGACCTGCAGGATCAGGTTGTGCAATGCAGGTGCCCTGACAGACAGCAGGCTCGAGTCACATTGAGATTCTCTGCTACACGTGCATGTTTGCAAAATGTAGGCAGTCCACAGCAGGGAATCTTATTAATGAGTGTTTGTCCTGTGTGTGCATGCATGTGTGCGCGCGCATGTGTGTGTGTGTAACGTGATGAGCTGGGAGAGGATTGAGCTCCAGGAGTCTCTAGTTGATTGCTCAGAGCAGATAGGTAGAGAAAACATGGAAGCATTTCAGCAGATTGCTGCCTTTGCTAATGATGCCGAGGAGATTAGACAGGGACTGCGGCACTCTGATGCTGAGGTGTTTGTGCCCGGGCATGCATGCACGTGCACAAGCAGTGACCAAGGCCAATCAGTGAATGGTACCATGCTAAACAGATTAAAGGAAGAACAGGATTCTGCAAACACACAAACGCAGACCTGAACTTGCAGCGAACAAGTTTGCATACACACTGAAGTGAAGGAGGAGACACGCACACACATGCACACGCATACGGATTCCGTTAATCTCTTGTATGCATGGGTTTTATGTTCAAGAATGTTTTGGAGTGTGTCTCTCTTTATAGGGGAACATAATTATAATTTTATGAAGCTGCCCTGCCTATTCTCTCGGAGAGTTAGTCATCAAGGTACCACAATGCTTCTGTAGTTAATGGGAATGTGCTTGAAGATGAGTCGCTCCCGTTGGTGAAATTGCCTGATGGGATTGCTGAGGAAATGGACCATGTGCAGTGATTGCATTGGTTTGCTGAGCATAAGCCATGTTGTATTATTTTGCCGTTTTCTCCTCTCTCTCATGTATGCTTTGTTTTATTGCTCGTAGCTATACAAACTGGAAAAATTAATTTCTTCAACCAATTCTGTGTTCTGTGTTTGTGTTTGTGTTTGTGTTACTCCAACAGGCTGCCTGTGTACCTGTGATGCTGAGTAACGGCTGGGAGCTTCCCTTTTCAGAGATCATGGACTGGAACACAGCAGCTGTAATTGGGGATGAAAGGCTGCTATTACAGGTAGAAACTTGACACAGATCCTAAAGCTGGATTTTCATAAGAGTTTTCTCATCAGAAACTAGATGAGCTCATTGTACGCTGCTGTCACACAGCCAATCAATCTTTCATTCGCTTGAGCATGACAGCATCATTGAGTTTTCATCTGGTCGGATCTTGAGCAACGTTACTAACACAGCATAGAGATATTAAAGATGTGTCTGCCTCATGGAGTCAACTTTGCACCTCAGTTTTGTGTCTAAAATGTAATTTTTTCCAGCTCCTCTGCCCAGTGAAGCTCTGTTTTCTGCATTTCGACCACCATTTTCCAAAGCAGTCAGAATCAACAGTAGGTCAAGGATTTCAAGTAGCACTTAGAGTGTTCTCAGTGGTCTTTAAATTGTGATTATGAAGTTTTTAGCCAAAACCACTAACCTGTGTCATTTTCCAGAGCTTTTCTTCTGCAGAGCTCCAGTAGCTCATTAGCAACTTGGCTCTGAGTCGTGGGTGGAGACAGCGCTGCTCTGCACACTCCTCGTCACACTCCTCGTCACACTAGCTTGTAACCTAACATTGCCGCTGTAGTAGAAGTGGCAGGTAACATATGAGCTATTCAGCTCTTGGACACTGATGTCTTTGGGGACATGATGAAAGCTAATATCATAATGAGCTTTCTCCCTAGCATTGCAATCCGCTAACGCACACGCTTGTTCCGCAATCGTCCTCTATTTTTCCGAGTGTGGCCTGCAAAGATAGATAGATAGATAGACTTTATCGATCCCAAACTGGGAAATTCCTAAGTTACAGCAGCAAAAAACACAAAATAAAATTAAATATAAGAAGTATGTACAATACAGACTAAATATACTAAATATATAAAATAAAAATACTAAATATATAAAATAAAAATACAGACTAAATATACTAAATATATAAAATAAAAATACAGACTAAATATACTAAATATATAAAATAAAAATACAGACTAAATATACTAAATATATAAAATAAAAATACAGACTAAATATACTAAATATATAAAATAAAAATACAGACTAAATATACTAAATATATAAAATAAATACAGACTAAATATAAGGTGCTCAGTAATGTGTCGTGGTGGGAGTTTTTAAAAATGGACTATCCAGCAGACAGATGTGAGTCTCTGTCCGACAGATGTACGTTATTGAATAGTGCTATTGCCGCCCCAGCGAGGCTCCGGGGGCGGAGCTTGGATTTGCTACATGGGAAATCTCACTGCATCTGAACCTGCCGTCTGTGTCTGTGAGAGGTTCATAGCGATTTAAATGCAGAAATACTCAGAAATGCAATTTCGCACTTACTTTTCTCATGATATGTCCTCTAGCATCAGAAAAATGCCATATGAACATGTAGACAACAAGAAAAACATGATTTTCATCAGAGTGGGTCTTTAAATCAGTTTTCTCTTCTCTCTCAGATCCCATCAACAGTGCGCTCCATCCACCAGGATAAAATCCTGTCGCTGAGGCAGCAGACCCAGTTCCTGTGGGAGGCTTACTTCAACTCTGTGGAGAAGATAGTGCTGACCACACTAGAGGTGCAGATTCATTCATGTTTATCATATAGTAGTACTATTAAGCACAAATGCTTTGTGGTTGTTATTTAGTAAAAGTGGTTTTGTTTTGTTTCATTTTGTTTTGTTTTGTCGTGATAATTCTTAGCTCTTCATCCCGTTTATTGACATTTTGCTGTTAAGCTTATGAGTGCAGCATGCAGCTGCAGACAAAGCACCCACAATGCAACAGCGCCAGACCGGATTGAAAACCAAGAGGGATGATATACTCTGTTAAATAGTGCTGTCATGTTCCTGAGGCTTTCGCTTGCTGTGGCTTGGCTATCAATCATGTCAGTAGTTTGTTCCTGTCAGACACCATTTGTCTGTTTTCTTCCTGCAGAGAGGCAGGCTATCACACTGCTCTCAGGCTAGAATTACAAACAAGCAAAGATGAGAGCAGAAATTTGAAAAAAAGGATAGAGGCGCAGGACAACAGACAGGATGCACAAGGCTGCAAGAGTTTGTGTGTCCCCAAATTAAGCTGATATCAGTACTTCACAAAGTGTCATAATTTTCCTCCAGCTGATTTTATTCTGCTGAGAAAATGACAAAAGCAGCACTTCTGGTTTTCAGCCGTGTTACACTCAAGCCTCATTGCTGACAGCAGTCAGTTCTCGTATAGTGTTACTGAGGTTTTGTCCCAAGAGGGCGGGAGTCAGGAGGCTGGAAGGCAGAGCTGGGATTTCTATGTCAGCAGGCTGAAGTTACAGCCCCAAGAAGCTGATCTTCGATCTGTTTACACCCTCAGTGTCTGAACCCTGCTCCAACACATACCGTAGTACATGACTATAGGGAGGGCAGTGTTTTGGCTTTAAATTGAACCTATTAGTGTGCCAGTGGTGGAGAGGAACTCCAGGTATTGTGCTGTAAACAAGGTAGAGTTTCAACTCAAGTATCTGTTTATTACCTCAATATCTTACGCGAAGTAAAAGGCTTTATTTTGCCCTGTAGCTACCACATACCTCCAGAGAATGCTAAATATTTAATGATGGTATCCGCTCACAGTGCAGTCTTCTTAGAGCTTTGAAGGAGTGGGAAGCAGTTGATACTGTAAAGTACGCTCAAACTTTGAAATATCGGGCTGAATAAACGGACCTCAGGTTTGGTTTTTTGGAACCTCTGCTGCCGACCTACTTTATTTTGACAGTCATACTGAAGTTAAGGTTCTGTTTAATGTCCTCTCTTCAATGTGAAATGCTTTGGGTATTGCAGCTTGTGGTGTGCGGACAGAAAAAGCTGGAAGAGCAAATAAATTTTCTGAAATCTGCTTCTGTTTTTTAGATGCTGGGTGAGTCTTACCAATTCAGGCCAGCTTGGTAGAATTTAAGACAGTTTTAAGCAGTTACATTTATTTTTCAATGAGACAAGAGACAAAGGGAAATTCTTTCAATAACCATCACAAAAGTAGAAGGTTTTTTTTTGGCTTTAATGACTTTGAAAGCAGTCTCCTTTGTTTGAGGATTACCTTGCATTTTGAGATTCAGAAAAATGGGGGACAAACTACCTACCACAGATGAGGATGAAATGTATTCATTTCAAATCTGTAATAGATGTAATTTTCTCAATCTTCAAAACCCCAGCTAATAAATTTCCCAAACTAATTGAAATTATGCATTTTGTTTATTTTTAATCAAACTTATCAAGAGGGATTGAATTGTGCCGTGCATTTGTTTGAATGATGTGGTATGTGCAGAAGATGAAACTCAAAACAACAAAATGGAGCAGAATAACAAAAGAGGATGAGGTCAGTTTTCTAGCAGCTTATTACACTTGGATAGTCGGTGTTTGATTTGAAGGGGTATAAAAAGCTTTAAACTTAGGCCTGTGTTGTATTTTATCTGTCAAATAAAAACTTGTATTCCCTAAATGTACCCACTTAACAGAGGAAATGAATCTGTATCTCCTCTGCTCCCCTGTTTGTACAGATCATCCAGGACCGGGTGCTGCAGCACATCCCCAGGAGTAACCTGATGTGGAACAGCCTGCCTGGAGGCCTTTTCACCCTGCCTCAGTACTCGACACACCTGGGGGACTTCCCCTTCTACTACTCTAAGCTGGGTCAGTTCACTATTCATGCATATGCTGCTGTTTGTTGAGAGCAGCATTAATGGCACACCCTGGGGTTTGATTTTCATCACATGGCTCTGAAACATCTGGTGTATGGCAGCTGTTTCAGTCTCACAGCCTAACACGTGATTCGGTGACATTGCCACAAGTTATTCAGTCTATTTTTATTAATTTATGATTTGTTACTGAGAAACCGGCCAATTAAACCTGCCATGTTGCCATGTTTCATTTTTGCTTGATTAATTGGCCTGACATGAGACTTGCTGCTGACATTGGGATTTGCTTAATTGGCACCTTTCTCCTTTACAAGCCGTATTAGACCTTTTTTTGAAACACTATACGCTGAGTAAACACCGCTTGAAGATAACAAGCACAAACTCTGAGATGTTCAAAGATGTGTGTGGTTTCTTTACCCATGGCAAAGTCCTTCATGTGCATGTTTAGAAAATGTGACAGAAATTGCAGTAAAGCCCCATAAAACTATGCTAACAATGATCAACCTACTTAGAAAGTGTATACTTCTTACTGCACAGCTGAAGGAAAATCAGAATACTATTCTCATGTTTGCTTCTTTTCTTGATGTATCCCGACTGTTTCCAGGTATTAAGCCGTACCCCAAGTTTACAGCGATCATCCACGTGGTGACCCCGCTGGTCTCCCAGTCTCAGCCAGTCATGAAGCTGCTTGTGGCTGTGGCCAAATCCCAGTACTGTGCTCAGGTAGCTAAAAACCTAACACAACACACACACACACTACATTACTCACCTCTCACTGCTGAGATCAGTTGGTCATGTGTTGAAAAGAAGGCAGTCAATTCACAAGCTGATATATAAGATGAATGTTGATTTCTAAAACACACTGAATCACTTACAGAAAGTGGGCGAAATAAGGAATTGAGTTGTAAGTCTAGATGCCAGAATTATTTTTAGATTTATCACTTCACTAAAGTCCAGTGATAACTTTGAAATACCGTTTTCTTTTATGCTGGGTATGAAGAGAAGCTGTCCTATGATTTCCAAATCCACAACTGATCTACTTGAAACTATTTCTGCTGATACTATAACAAGAAACCATTACCAGCTGGACAACCAAAAGTATAGAGCATAGAAACTGTATGTAACAGCTACACTTCTTTTATACTACAAAATATATTGTATACAGTTGTATATGATACTCATATACTATATATGTACCTGTAAAAAAACTAGAAACCATCAGTGGTGAAGGTAGATGGCTGGGTGGATCGCCTTTTTATTGTATGGTCTCCATCATTAAGTGATTTTTTTTTTCAGCCATGCATATACAACAAGAGTTAGGATGTTGCGTAAACTCTGGATAAAACCTGAAATTGATCATTTTAGAAATCATTTCAAACTTACAAAGAGGTTCAATATTTGCCTGTACAGAAATTCCACACATATTCACATGCAGATGATGACTAAGGTTTGCCTCTTGTCCCTGTTGTGTAGGTGATCGTTTTGTGGAACTGTGACAAGCCTCTTCCTGCCAAACACCGCTGGCCTGCCACCTCAGTCCCCGTCATTGTTATAGAGGGAGAAAGCAAGGTACACTTCTTTCATTATTCACTGACACTGGCAGCATTTTTCACCATTTAACACCAGTTAAATTTGTGATTGAGGAAGTGAAAACCAGCAGGCTGTCTAAACTTTTTTTTTTAAATTTTACTGTCACAGAAAAGCATGGTAGTTAGTCAAGCTGTTTGTAGCCTCTCTCCTACTTTCCTCTTTTCTCCCCACATTAATATCACTAGATACTGATACTAGCTATTGTGTTACGACCCACAGCATCAGATTAAATAGTTAATGTGATTAAAAAAGATTTAGAGGATTTAGACAACCTTGCTGCCCTGAAATGTATTCCACTTTTGTAATGGAGTTTCCAAAACCCTCTGCATGTAGTAGAATCAAGATTGTGGTTACACCATGTTGACCAATATCAAAATTAAGATCAAGCTTTTTATTGTGAATTTCTAGTTTGTCCATTAGTATTGTGGTACTGAACGCCAGTAATCAAAGCAACATGGGACAGCAGTTTCTGTAACTGTATGTGTATTTCATATGTAAGGGACTGGCTGACGATGCTGCTATCACAGTTAAAAAGGCCTTGCAGTATATTTCCAAAAATATCTGGCATTTTGTTCAGTGAGTTTATGTTTTCTTGCCAGACAGCAGAAACTGCACTGTTTGTCTGCGGGGGGAGCTGCTCTGCTGCTTGCAGATCTCTATCAGTGGTTTTATTTCATCAGTAGAATTCTGTATTTCTGCTGTCATCTGTGTTGTGTCAGCTCGCATGTTTGGCTGACTCTGCCGCTAACACACCAAATGTTAAACAACTCTAGCACACAGGCATGAAGGAACATGTAGCGCTGCTTGTCAGGCAGGTGTATCTCACTTGCGCACACACAGGCCTTGTTTATACCCTGTTTATTTTTACCTGCACGTGACTCTATTAACTCACTGTCAGCAACTGCTCACTTTGTTCTTTTTCTGTTTGTGTGCCTCCTACCAGGTGATAAGCAGTCGTTTTCTGCCTTATGATACCATCCCGACTGATGCTGTTCTCAGTCTGGACGAGGACACCGTGCTCTCCACCACAGAGGTGAGAACGCCGCCTTTTTTTAATTACGACCGTGTGCTGCAGTTCTTGTTATTAATAGGCCTCTGTACTTTATGTATCCATTAATAATTTTAATGAAATGATTTAAAGCCAGAATAATTTGTTCTGGTTTCACTGACCTCATGTTCTCTGTCTCTTTTGCTTCTCTCTGATTCCACTCTAGGTGGACTTTGCCTTCACAGTTTGGCAGAGTTTCCCAGACCGCATTGTTGGCTATCCAGCCCGCAGCCATTTCTGGGACAGTAATAAGGAGCGGTGGGGTTACACCTCAAAATGGACCAATGACTACTCCATGGTGCTGACCGGGGCTGCCATCTATCACAAGTACTTTCCCATGACCTGCTCTTTTTTAGAGAAATAGTACTTTCCACATTTTTGTTTCCATTAGGTTCAACACTGACACATTTTCTCTCTCGCCTTCTTCTCCTAGATACTACCACTACTTGTACACCGCCTACCTTCCAGCCAGTCTGAAGACCATGGTCGACCAGATGTCCAACTGTGAGGACATTCTGATGAATTTTCTGGTGTCTTCGGTCTCCAAACTACCACCCATTAAAGTCACCCAGAAGAAACAGTACAAGGAGACCATGATGGGACAGGTGAGGCAGACAACGTAGCAAAAAGGCAGAGCAGGAAAACTCTTCTTTTCTTACTGTTTTCATGTGGCAATCATAGTTACACTATTTTTTAGTTTTCATGTCTGATTATCTATGCACACTGAAACCATAAACGAGATAGACTTGATGACATTTTGTTATAACGTTGGGAAAATAACACCCAAGTGTGCAGCAGAGTCGCTGCATGAGGTGGAACACAGAAAATACGTACAGTGTCACACTGACAGTGTTTTGGATGTGTGAGGAAGCTGCTCTAAAAACAAAGGAAATGATTTCCTCATTGTGTTAAGGAGGAAACACTTCATTTGACACAACACTTTATTAGTAATATCAAGTACGATGCTTTCCTCTTTTCACACATTTTTGATAGCTTCTCTCTAAAACTTGCCCACGCATGCCTCTGAGCTGCTGCAGCCCACACCAGTGTTTCTTTTTCAAAGAAGACATTGTATGAAATGGACAGAATGGTTTTCCTGATTATTGCTGTGCCTGATGGCCCTTCGACACTTGATACCACTTAAACCCTTATAGAGTAAGCTCTCATAACATCCTCCATGTGTAAATTCGGGCAAAAATTAGTTTTCTTGCAATATGGCCTTCAATATAAAATCTCATGAATAATTGCAGCAGGCTCTGAAAGGTCAGAGTATTTTGTGATGCATTATTCATTTTGTCTGTCTTTCCCTTCCTTGCACTCCTATTTATCCCTCGTTCTCTCTCCATCTAGACCTCCCGGGCTTCTCGCTGGGCTGACCCGGACCATTTCGCCCAGCGTCAGACCTGCATGAACAAGTTTGCCAGCTGGTTTGGCACCATGCCGCTGGTCCATTCTCAGATGAGGCTGGACCCAGTTCTCTTCAAAGATCAGGTGTCCATACTGAGGAAGAAGTACAGAGACATTGAGAGGCTATAACCTTCCAAAGCCCCCCCCTCACACTCGCTGGACACTACAAAGACCGAGCTAAAGGGGTGGGGGGCGGACATGTAGAGGAACGCAGAATCTTCCTACGATTGCATGGGGCAGATCGATGGAGAAGCAGATGAGATTTCATGCAGGGAGAGATGTGGAGGAGGCCACATTTGCTCCCCTCCTCGGTTTTGTTGTCCTTCACTTCTCCTTTTCACTCCTTCTCTAGAGTGTACAGAGGGAAAGCTGAGCACACAGGTCCCACTCGATACACGAAGAGTTTCACTGACTGAAGGACACCTGATGACCTCAAATCTGCTCCACTTTGAACTAAATAATTCAAAGTCATGGAGTTGGAAATGGAAGGTTGCTGCCTCAAGCAGTTGAAAAAGACCTTTTCTTTTCTCGTTGTAAAATCTGCACAGGTTTGATTATTCTGACTGATAAGAGGATAACACTATTTTGGATTGTGTCCAGCTATTTTTTTTATACAGTGAACGAATGGCCAGCACTACTCTCTGTATTGTCTTAATCGGCAGGGTGGGTGAGGTGAGGTACGACAACCTCTCGACCACAGAACTGAGTTATGATCGTTGATCCGATATTCACAGTGCCTCGAGTTTATCTAACGGCGTTGGGATCTGGGACTGGGTGCAGAATGAGCACCTTGACCTTGCTGCTTTCTGTTTTGTTTTTTTGTTTTTTCAAAATTAATGTTTATTTTGTGGAAATGTGGATCTTTGTTGTTCATTCTTCAGGTCAGCATTCCTGGTTGATAGGTACTGAAACTTCACTTTTAACCCAGTCAACAAATAAAATAGTCTTTTTGTGCCATTTTCAACATGTTTTCCATCAAGAACCACAACAGTCTTACACAACCCTCTTGAGTTTTCTTGACTTGATGAAGACTATACAATCAAGAACTATGACATCAGACAAACTTTGTAAAATTCTTCATTTTGCAACAAACCTTTTTTTTTCTTACTGGTTTGGTGAGTTAGAGTTTGTTCTTGAGTTTGTGCTGGCCTGAAGAACAACAGATCGCAAGAACTGCCTTTGTTAAGGGAGGCTGAACCTGCCAGTTGAAGCACCTGTTTGTCTGTTTGAAACACAACCCACTGTGAAAAACTATCCATGGATTTTTCTTAGCAAGGGAAATTTACAGTCAGTCATTGCTTCTATGCCACAGAGTCAAGTTTGGCATTAGCTTGGGCTGACAAGTACTTGACATTAGCTAACCACTGCTGTCAGTGCTAAGGATCAAACAGTGCTTGAAGACATCAGAGTTGGCATCACACTTACTGAACTTCTGTTTTTCACTGACTTACTTCACGAATATGACCAGACAGGAGTAATCATGAAAAATCTGTGTTCCACGGTTAAAAGCATAGCTAAGATAATTTACTTTCCAACAGGAGATATCCTCTAATGAGTAAATATTCTGATTTGTGTCAATTCTTCGGCTTAAATGTGTGAAATTTAAAAGCAATTTAAAGTTTAGGATTTTTGCACAACACCAGTTTTGGTCTCCCATCATGCCAGATTTATGACAGCCATTCATCTCTGAGACACTCTGATTGGCAGAGTGCTGTTTGTGTTTCTGCATCGGGCCCCAATAACAAACCAGGATGTTCAGGTACATCTTAAAGCTCATTTTTCTTCATGTTCACCATTCCCTCATTCACTTGGAATCTCTGTCCTGATGCCAAATGTCGGTGGAACGTGAGATTAGGTTTGTTACTGTTTGGTCACCCTTCGCTTCAGTTAAATGTAGTGTGTCATATCAAGTTATCTGAGACATAATTTGATCAATTTACATTATGTGCACGTTTTAAAAATCACAGTGCATAATCAGTTTATTAGTGTATGAAGGACTTTGTAAAGCCAGCACATTTCTGCATAAATCTAATCCACACCAGTCCTGATGCCACCTCTGGTAGCTTCAGCTTCATGAATAGATAAATGATCTTTGTGATAAACTTACTGCTCTGTAACCCAACTTGTGCCAATAGATCATGTGTACTTTCTGTTGTTGTTTTTGTTTCTTTAGCAGATGTGAGAAATGCCATGTATTCCTCACATCTGTATGGGTCATTAAAGTAATTCCTTTCTTTAAAACCAAGTTAAATGTATGCGGAAGGACGGAGAGTGTGTGAGAGTCACAGTGGAAATGTGTGCAACGTGATATTTGTCACTTCTGAGAATGTGCTATCAGCTCGACAGCAAATAAACAATCCTAGTATTACTAAACACAATGCTATCAAGACAACTGAACCCAGCTGAAAACAGAAACTCATTTCAGAAACGACCTTGGTGCAATATTAAAGATGGCATTTTCTCTGTCTTTTGCTCTCCTCCTTCTCTTCTTGTCGTTTCAGAGGACAGGTGTTTATATATTGATGTGCCTTCAGATGAAGTACATTTATTGTTTTTTTCCCTATCTGCCTTGTGCGAGCTAAAGGTCCCTGTTTTCATTTGGATGTGGATTCTTTCTTGTTTTCTGTATCAATATTCAGTAAAGCATCATGGCTCCCTAAATGACATTGTTTAACACTGAACGGTTACAAAGACTTGTCTCACCACATCTCATACCGACATTCCTGCCTTTTTGTTGTAGGAACTCTTTGTTTTTCTATGACACGTACTGCCTTGTATTGCTATACTTGCGAGGTCCGTCTTAGTGGTTGTCTCAAATATAGTAATACATGTAACACACACAAACACACGCGTAATGGTCCCATTCAAAGTATTTATCAGACAGGATTGTGTCTCGATTAAATCTATGCCTGCGTCCTACACTTCCGTAATTGCAGACTTAATTTTATAGAGATTTAAAATGGAAAGATAGAGGAAAAAAAATCACATTTTTGTAAAAGAATTTTATAAAAACAAAAAAAGATCAATAAAATATTTGATATAATGTCATTGTTGTTTTGTGTGTTGATTTAAGGTCTCGGTGTTTTTATTCCTGGACTGTTTTCCTTTCTCTTCAAAATAAAATGAGAAACCAGGCTTAGTTATAGATTTGACAGTCTGCTTTTAAAATATACTCAGTAGTTCTTTTCCTTATTTCACCCTGTCATCCTTCTTCCTCTGACCTGCTGGCAACCCAGCTTCCCAAACACATTTTGCATGTTGGTTTTTTTGCATGGAGCTCACTGAGGAAAAGCCAAACTAAATAATACCTTTAGCTTCCGCCTCGTGCGTGCATGTGTGTGTGTGTGTGAACCTCATCGCATGCCAAGAAACTGCTGTGTTTACATAAATCTGTGTCAGGATGATTGGTTTAGACATGCTGCATAAATAACATCATCTATCCACCAGGATGATCCCATGGTGCATGAGAGCTGCCAACTCAGCTGGAGCAACAGCTACAGGAGAGATAGCTTGCCCCAAAACTAGGCTAAACTCTGACAGCAAAAAGATGTTGGGGTATGTCGAAGCTGGACCCATGCCTGCGAGGGATAAATGATCTAGCGCGGGACTCAGAGGAGAACCATATGGACAGTTATACAAAGACCACATCCATAAACAAAGAAAAGAACAAACTATAGGATCCAGATGTGTAGAGAGCAGTTTTTGATCAACTGAAGAGTGAAACTTTGCTGCACTGTGGGGTGGGTGGGTGGGGGCTCATCATGCTCAAAGCCTATTTGTGTGATTAACGGTATGCTAATTAGATCAATGTCTCTTAATCCATCTGATGAGATATATATCTGAAATAGAGATGGATCTCAGCGTGAGCGGAGTCAAGACTCTTATCAACACTTTGATCCAATGTAGTGACTTCAGGGCAATTTTGATAGAATTTCCCTCCATTTCACAAACTTTTGGATCAGATATAAAGATCATAGATACACTCTGAAGAGAAATCTCTCCATGTAGCTGATGCATTTTTTGATAGTTTGCCTTACAGCCATGGTATGTGGGAAATGAAGTTAGTATTGTGAAATCTGTCTATTGGAGTCTACTTTGTGTACATTTCATTATCATACTACATGTTACTGGTAAATAACAGAACTCTGTTACTTTAGAGTTGTTTTCCTTCAACTTGTTAATAAATGAATTTAATTTAAACTGAAACAATCTCAAAGTTCAAAACTAATATGAGTAGAATAAGATTGTTTTTACACCTGAATGCCACCCAGCACCTCGTAGAAAGGCTGGTTTGTTCATTTAGAGCTGAGAGGGCTGCCTGTGGCGTCAATTACGTGACTCATAATTGAATTTATCAGGATTAGCTGCATAATGGCTCTATTAGCTGGAAGCAATTCATCATACAGGAATCTTGGTAACATTATAAGTGAGGAGTTCATACAAAGTGTTGTTGTAATTCTTGTCTTTATTTAGTTTAATGCCTGGATAAAAATCTGCAGCAACTGTTACCCCTTGTACATTTCCTCTGAGTGTGTTTGTGTGCACATGTAACAATGCCTCAGCAAGTCAAAAGCACAAGATGTTTTTTCTTTAATACAGTGGTGCAGATAATAATATACTTCTGTTTAGGTATGTGGAGATGAACAGATGTTCAGGCTTTGTGACTTCAAACATGCACGTTGACCCTGCAGAATATCTGAAGCAGCACTGCATCAGTACAGGAGTGGCTGATTCCTCTGATGGTGCTTCTAGGCGTAACAGTCACATGATATCAGCAGAAAGCAATCAGCTATCTGGATAAAATTATCTTGTTTAACAGATGGCAGCTCAAAACTGTGTCACCATCCAGACATGTCTGTGCAGCTCTGTGTTATAATGAGTCATAAACCCATTACTGAGAGCACAGCACAAAATAGTAGATAATTGCTTAATTTAATAATATTATTAATATGAGATGCAACATATCCGATATTTAATTGAACGTCATTTTGAAAGTATTGTTATCTTCATTACATCTGTAAGCTTTCATTTGTGAAAACATGTTTAGTAATTTGCCACGGATCAATAATTTATGAACTTCACATTGAGCTGTTTGTGTGATGATGCAACGTGGGTGAGACTGATGATCTGATTGTGGAGCATATTTGCACACATTTAGTAAATTGCTTTCTTGATAACAGTTAATCATTATGTTTTGAAGCATCATGATACAGCTCTGTCTCTGCAGATATCGGACTATAAGTAACAGTTAATCAAATATGACCCCAAAATGAACATAAATCATTCCCCGAGTCAAGCTGATGATGATGAGAACTTACATAAACATTAATATAATGAGGTGAGAGCACTACCTCACTCATCTTTGAGCCATCCCCGTAGAATGAAATGAAGTCCTGCTGGTAGTACATCACAAACATGCTCCATTGGCAGCAGTAGTGCACCAACAGATGCGTGGCCTATGAGACAAATCCGCTTTACTGCACACCAATATCGTAATTTGATCGTAGATCAGCCAGTCTCTCTGTCAGTCATGTGACCCTTTATCTCTATGTCTAATATGTTATTGAGGACTTTTTGATTTTGTCTTTAAGGGCAGAGAGGAACCGCTTGATTACCCTTTGCATTTTGTGTCTTTTGTTGTCATTACGCAAGGCAGAAGGGTATCTGATAACTGTGACTTAGCTCTTCTTCATTTATGTGTGCCATTACTGAACTGTATATCCTGTATTGTGGGGAGAAAATATTACAGGCTGTACAGGAGATTTTGGGATGGAGGCACACTGGGGCTCCATCCCTAAACAACTACTACTAGTACTACTAATATTACTACTAATAATAATACAGCACCGGATTTACAAGTATTTATATATTTTTGGTAAATAAAACAAAGCACATTTTCATCATCATATTTAATGGAGAGGTAAGGCGCTTCAGATGTCTGTACAGAGCACTGTGCCACAGCGCCCCCTATCTCCCTTCGGTGCTCACAGCAGCAGCCTCGCTGTCTGTCCGAGTCCGCCCCCCACCTCTCCTCCTCAGCAGACTCCTCCTCCGCCATTTTTGACTGTAAACATCCTGCCGATTTTAAAAGGACAGCGCTGAGCGGGAGGAAGGCGACTGGCGCCATCTTGGCAGTTTTAATGAGTACAACAGGGGAGAATACGCTGGGAGATATAACATAAGAATTTGAAATTTCACTCACAAAGGGGCACTGTTGGTAAGTGTGCTTGCAGATGAAATATTTGCGCCCAGTCTAGTGTATTTTGTGCGACCAAATAAGCATGCATGTTTGTGTGTATTTGTTGCGGCCTTCATTGTACCAGGAGCCGTTAGCCACCAGCTAACGATACAGTTAGAAAAAAGTATGAGCTCAATCTGAGTGCGCCTCGTTTCTTCGAGCTTCACTATCTATTTTTTTGATAAGCGCACATAGTTAGCTGTTTTCTTCACTCGGAAACAACATCAGCAGACATTTATGCTGTTCACGCACGGTACATGCCCATTTCATTGCTCGCTTTTGTAGTTAGCTGGCGGCTATTGTAACGTTCATGTAGTTCGTCCCACTTGATGGCGCCGACTATTTACTGGCGTGGACCAACCCCTTGGCGCTTTGAGGTATCACCTTATAGTAATTGCACAGTTAACCGCACTTTTTTGGCATTTAGCTTACCTTTTCACCCCCGAAGTAGAAGAAATAATGATTTATTAAAGTACACCTGGACAACAGCATCGATTAAGGTTGATAAGTTTACGGCGAGCATGCAGTTTCAGCGTTTGCCTCCAAATATGGACAGAGGCGGAACTTTAGTTGAATGAATGTTAGTTTGGCAAAATATAGGTTTATATTTATAATGATCTTGCATGTAATCAAAGGAAAAAGAATCAGCAGAAATGGTTATAGTTGATCGAATAGATCACGCCTCACAACAAGTGCTTTTAGATTTTAGCTCAAACGTGTAAAGCAGGCTAACGCCCCCTGGACAACATTTAATAACGTAATACTTACAAGTATTGAAAGTTTCCACGAGGAGAACCCACTCTTGAGGACATCACCGGTTAAAAGTTCGACAAAAGATATGGCATGCAGTTTTAATATACGGCTTTATTGAGAAGTTAGGTTTTCCTGACTAATATCACAAAAGGGTTACACAACATTTAAGATGTCTGCCTGATGGAGTTGTCAAAGCTTGTGCTGCTTATATGTTTGGGCCCCTTTTCATTTGTGTATATCCAAATAAACATGTGTTTATTCATGTGCCCGCCCCTCTATATTGATGTACCAGCAGAATGTCTCTGGATTGCTTGTTTCCAACTTAAGATTTGTTTTCTTCTCTTACCAAAGTCAAAATATTTGTTTCTCTTTTGTCTCTTAAAATGATTCTTCCAAGCTGTTTTCCTCTTCCTTGTTTTATTTCTTTATCCTCCTTAAAGGATTACTTTTCCACCTTCTGATGCGTTGTGTTTTTCAGGTAAACCACACAGTAGTGAGAGTTTGTGCGTGAGCCGGAGGAACCAGGGCAATGTTCTACGCCCACTTTGTCCTCAGCAAACGTGGGCCGCTGGCCAAGATCTGGCTAGCGGCCCATTGGGACAAGAAGCTGACCAAGGCCCACGTGTTCGAATGCAACTTGGAGAGCAGCGTGGAAAGCATCATCTCACCCAAGGTAACAAAATGAGTGCGTGTTGTACATGCTGAAAGGGTACACTCTGGGTTTTTCCTCAGGAGGCTTTGTGCTCTTTTTTTCTCTTCTTTGCTTTATTGTGACTGCTCTCAAAGAAAAGAAGACTCTATTTATATCATAGTTGATCAAAGAGAAAACACGTACAAAATACACGTTGGTTAGAGTATGAATTTGTTTACATTCTTCTTTATTTTGAAGGAATTTGCAGTTATGAAGTTTTTTGTTGTTGTTGACTTTGTGGTTTGGTCTCTCAGGTGAAGATGGCACTGCGGACGTCAGGTCATCTGCTCCTTGGTGTTGTGAGAATCTACCACAGGAAGGCCAAGTACCTGCTTGCTGACTGTAATGAAGCATTCATTAAGATCAAGATGGCTTTCAGGCCAGGTGAGGAGAAGAAAATAAATTCTCATCACAATTCTGTTATTTTGCACCCAGGAATGTTTGGTTATTTTCCATTTGATTGAAGAACCACACGGGTCAGATACTGGTCCAGTATGATAGTTTCAGAGACATATGATGTGCTGTAACAGTACCACTTCTTGTGTCGTAATCCAGGTGTGGTGGATCTACCGGAGGAAAACAGAGAGGCAGCTTATAATGCCATCACCTTACCTGAGGAGTTCCATGACTTTGACCAGCCGCTTCCTGACCTAGAGTGCGTTGACGATGCTTACTGCCTCATGGTATATTTCTATGTGTTACGCACATCTCTAATGTGTTCTGTGCATTCTTATTTCCAACAGTGACATAGATGTGGCGCAGCAGTTCACCCTTAACCAGAGCAGAGTAGAGGAGATCACCATGAGGGAAGATGTTGGCAACCTCAACCTGCTGCAGGATAATGACTTTGGTAGAACACAATGAATACTCACTTCACGTGTCTGTGTAGATAAATCCATCATGAGTGAGCCACAGAAAAATATTGTGGTGTTGATTTTAGATGGATAAACAAACCATCTGCTGATTATGCTGTACTGAGAACCTGCTGTCTTTTCAGCTGACTTCGGCATGGATGACCGGGAGATGATGCGTGATGCCAGCACATTTGAAGAGGACATCATGCATGGTGCCACCGCCTCTAACCTTTTGCTGGAGGCTGAGCCAGGTCCTGCCAACCTCCCTGACAAGTCCAACCACATGGAGTATGACGATTTTGGAGACGGCTCGATGGGCAACAGTGATGGGGGAATGCTGGGTTTGTAACTTTATTCTTTTGTCTCTGCATGCACTTCTGTTGATGAGCTGTTGTGTTGTCCTGTGAGAGGATTTATGGAGAAATAGAGTGAACGTTGGATTGGTCTTGTGTCTCAATCCTTAGTTGATAAGCTACTGAGCTCTGAAGATGGAGGTGGTATTTTTGACGATCCTCCAGCCATCACAGAAAGTGTCATGATGCCTCCAGACCACGGGGACGATGAGGACGACTTCGACAACCTCCAGTCACGTAAGCGAAGCAACGTTCTATTCCATTTTTACGATTGTCCTGTTATTGTCAATTTTTTTAAAAGTAAAACACAGTTCTAAGTGCTTGCTCATATTGGGAGCACGTTGCAGAGAGTAACTTGTGTAGTTATAGCCTTTTGTAACATGAGATTTTCTGTGTGTAGCGGGCCCAGACAGCCCAGACTCCGGTCCAGCAGAGCCACTGCCAGCAATGGCTGACCAGACAGAACAGACCACTTTGGTCCACAATGAGGAGGAGGCCTTCGCCCTGGAGCCCATTGACATCACTGGTACGATTCTCATCTGCCTTTCTAAAAACAACAACAACAACTTCCTAGCTTTCTCATCTGTGTTTCAATTAACTATCATTTCCTCTTGTCTCTATGGTTCTTCTTTGAAGTTATCTCTAAGTGTTTGTTCTCTCAGTGCTCTCTGATTTGTAAGTAGCCATGAAGCATTGATAGTTTATTTCTGTCTCCAGTGAAAGAGACCAAGGCAAAGCGTAAGAGGAAGCTGATTGTGGACAGCGTGAAGGAGCTGGACAGTAAGACCATCAGGGCCCAGCTCTCCGACTACTCAGACATCGTCACCACCCTGGACCTTGCTCCTCCCACCAAGAAGCTAATGATGTGGAAGGAGACCGGAGGAGTGGAGAAGCTCTTCTCTCTGCCTGCTCAGCCCCTCTGGAATGCCAGGCTGCTCAAGGTAAGCAAGTTTGTCAAAAAGGTGCATGTGTTTGTGGATAAATATGGACACACATCTGCTGCTCTAACTATATGATAACATAATTAAGCTGTCATCTGTCAGCGTGAATTCAATTTAACAATATTGCTGCTTGAGAAACGGTAATGAACAAGCCACACTGGAGGTTGGACTCTCGGAGCAGGTCAGACTCTGACATTGTTACCTGCTGGAGAAGAGAGTAGGTTTATAATATTGTAACTTGCATTGACATTCTGCTCAGGTTGAGGGATTTCAAATGAGAACAATGAAAGAACAGGAGGTTGAGGGAGTGATTGGTTTTCTCTTTTTTTTTTTTTGCTCTCCTTTCACACCCACACGTTAACCTCTCCAGAATACTAAATTGAAAACGTGTTGATGCATAATTTAGCAGTCTCCTCTCCCCTTTGTCTAGTGTCAGTCTTTTCTAAGAGCTTCTGCATTTTTATTCCGCTCCTGACTTTGCCTAGTTTGTTCTTTTTATTTAATAAAACTTCTCTCAAGTTTAACTCTTTAACCTCTGATGCCAGATGTTCACGCGCTGCCTGACGCCTCTGGTGCCAGACGAGCTGAGGAAGAGGAGAAAGGGCGGCGAAGCAGACAGTCTGGATGAGTTCCTCAAAGAGCTGGAGAACCCAGAGGTGCCAAGAGAGGAGGTCATGGGTCAGCACAGAGATGTTATTGGTAAGTTATGCTGGAATAGATGAGAGGAGGCCATACTCTGGTGCACATGTTATCAGTTTTGAGAAGGAAAAAGCGGCAGAGACCTTGAGTAACCCTCTGTGTCCCACAGACCAGACTATCATGGAGGAACCCAGCATGCTCGCAGCCTCTGCCATGGAGGGCAGCAGGACTACCTTGGATGAGACGGTTATGCCTCCTCCATCTACTCCCCGCGGTGTCAAACGCAAGAACGTTGACAAAGAAAGTGTCCTCCCTGTAAGTACTTGTCCAATAGCTTTTCTTTTTCCAAGAAATGAGTTTGGAAAAGGACTAACCAGCAAAAGCAAGAATGTGAAACATAAAAAAACTCATCTAATTGCTCGGGGTCCCTTTGTTTGTTTCCCTCTTTCAGATGACTCCCCTGGAGCAGCAGCAGCAGCAGGTGGCTGAGCGCTCCGTCTTGTCCCAGAGGTTAGACATGCCTCAGCTGGATCTACCTCCCGAGGAGAGCAGCATCAGCCTCACCCAGCTTGTACCTGAGCTTGACCTGCTCGGTGAAAAGGGCAAAGACAAGAAGGATGACAGTGATGAGGAGGAGGTCAGCTGGAAATATCTCTTCTGCTTGTTGACTTGGAAAATTGTAGTTGATTGTGGTCTCTAGAAAAATGATGACAGACTGAGTGAGCCTACTGATAAGAAATAGCAATCGCATTAAGTTCTTTGCTGTAGTTTTGCTGTAAAATTCTTTGGTGTGAAAATATGAGACAATACTGGTGTCATTGTGAACTAAGTAGAAGTGAGTGCTGATAAGCGTTTTCCCTGATAATCAGGAAGAGGAAGGCCAGGCTGGAGATCAGGATCAGGAGGAGAAGAGATGGAACAAGAGGACCCAGCAGATGCTCCACGGTCTACAGGTAAGGAGGAAGCCTCTTTCCTGTTACAGATTTTCACGTGAAGACTTGAGATTTTCATCTGTCTTTACGCGACAGTCAGACAAAAGAAAAGAGGAGCATGTTCCATTTGATTGATCCCGCTCAGAGCTTTACTTACATGTTGTGCTTTTCTTCCCAACAGCGCGTCATGGCTAAGACTGGTGCAGACTCAGTTAGCCTCCTGGAACTGTGCCGGAACAACAACAAGAAGCAGGCAGCAGCCAAGTTCTACAGTTTCCTCGTCCTCAAGAAGCAGCAAGCCATCGAGGTCACCCAGACTGAGCCCTACAGCGACATCATCGCCACAGCTGGACCAAGATTCCACCTTATTTAGACATCGGAAGAACAGAAGAAAAAAAAAACACTCTGCTTGTAATAGACCTACTTTTTTAATTACTCAACTTTTTGCCTTTATACTTTGTGTTTCCTGTGAGCCCGCTTTTTCTTGGGGAGGGGGGAGTAGTGGGGTATGGGGTGGAAACTTTTAAAAGCAGATTTTACTGTACGACAGATGGAATCATGCAGTGTTCACTTGGTTTAAATGGAGAGAGGAAGAATGATTAACAATTATATTTATAAAACAACCTTTTTCAGTCACCAATTTGTAAGCTTTGCTTTGTCTTTAAGTTAAAGTTCCATTGTCTGCTCATTCCATAAGTTTTGTACCATTTCTCCTCTTAAACCGAAAATGATGCAGATTTGAGCCCAGGCCCTGTATTTTCACATGAAATTGTGTAAACGTTCTGGAAAGGTACTGTTTTTTTGCTCGGAAGTGTAACCTTCTCAGACTCTCCATGTTGCACTTGTTTTGTCATGTAAAACAAAAACTTCAATCCGTCAGCAATTTGGTGAATCTTAACCTGGCGATAGATATCATGTTTCAGATGTATAATTCCAGCAGTTTACCAGTTAAGTTTTATGTAATATTTTTTGTACCTTTTTACGTTTATGCTTATTCAACTTTTCGCATATGTAACTAGGTAATGTACTTGTTACAGTTAAGTTCAATATCCCACCTTTTTAGTCTTTGGGTAACTTCTAGTTGTGATACATCTGTAAAGATTTGAAATAAAGTGTTTTAAGTATTTGGTAATTGAATATGATTTTTTAAAATCAAGCTTGATAAGAGTTCAACATAGTGTTAATCTGATAAAAGACTGAGGATCTGGGTCTTAAAAGTAACAGTTTTATTAAATTAGTTTAACATTGCTCTTGGTACTAGCAGCCATGGCAGGAAAGCATAGTAATACTGAGGAGTTGGACTGGGCGATTATATGATAGTGATAAATTTCAGTTCGATCATGGTGATCAGCTGTGAGCATATTTACTCGATCAAACATGGCGGAAATGTGCGTCGCAATTGCCAATCAGAGTCGATCCTACTGACTTCTTTAAGTTACCGGAGAAGTAAACAGAATTACCGACTGGGAAGCTAAACGTGGAGCTGGGGGCAGCAAAATAGATGTCAGCCGTGACTTTGAGTCATCCTCCGAAGATGTTATTGTTGAGAACAAGAATTATTTCACGTCTGTTGTGTGGCAGTTTGGGTATCTCCAAAGTGACGTCGAGAAATTACGCCAATATGTAAAGTATGTCGGTGGTCTATGCCCTCAAAAACTTGCAACACAACAGATCTGTTTATTAAAATGTTGAACTAATCTTTCTTCAGTTTTTAGTACAGATGCTTTAAAACTAGCAGTTTAAAAACAAATCGTGATAAAAATCGAGATCGGACGATATGAAAAATATATCGTGAGTTTTCATAGGATTGTGTGACAGAGCTCATAATCGTACATTAGTTATAGGGAAATTATGGGGTTTTGGTTCAGCATAGAGGAAACCCTCGCCAGTTATGGCTAATAATTTTGGAAATCTCACATAGGAGTATATATTTTAAAGGTATACATAAAAAACAAGCAGTATTCCCGTAGCCTTGTTGTTTGAGACGTTCTCCCACCTCATGTCGATTAATCGCAACGTTAGTCTCGGCATAATGTCTTTGTTTCTTTACGGACAAACATTTGGTTGCATTCTAACCGGAAGCGTCCGACGCTGAATATCGTCCTCCCTTTTTCCGCGTGTGGCGGCTTTTACATGGCTTCACGTAAAGAGTCCGGCTCAGGTCCTACTACTGTGATGGCTTCTACAGGCGGTACATTGGACTCTCCTGTCAAACAGATCCAGATTGAGGGCCTGGTAAGTGTTTCTTGCCTGACTTTGAGCTCTTTGTCGGATTCTGCCGATGAACAAAAGAGAAACAAGAAAGGGGCAGATGCTAACTGTTAGCTGATGTGTTAGCGCCATCACGGTGGACAAATAAAACAGTGCTCCTTTGACTGAACAGTTACAGTTAAACCGTTTTCACTGAATTTTCCTAATAGTCCTCCTTTAGACCACAAACCTCCTTAAATATAAGGTTGACTTCTTGGGTATCCTTTTAAACAGGGTTCAGTTAAAGTTACAGGAGCGCTTCATTTCAAGACCCAGACCTCCCGAGTTCTCTTATCAAGAAGCACAATGGCATAATAAGGCAGATGCTTTTGCTCTTGCGCTCATCGACTGTTTTAATTGACTAAAAAATAGAAAAGTCTTTTCTTTGTTTTTCATTCTGACTGTCAGCTGCACTGAGTTGCTCCTGTCTGTGTTGTAACGACTTCACAGATGGTGATTATTACCAAACGATCCAGAGCCAGTATTACTGATGTCTGCAGAGGAAGGGTACTGTTTAGTATGCCTGTTGTTTTTAATAAATGTTTCCAGCCAGTACTGGTTCTTAGAACTAAAAACTTTTATCCACATTTTGCCATAGCTGAAAACACACTCCATGTGGTTTGACCAACCAACAAGATGGTCTGTGCGTGTACAACCCAACTGTAGTTTTCTGATATTGTTTATTGCTTTTACTACACATTGGCTGGAATGTTGTGGAATTAAGACAAGACAGAGTGAAGGATCAGAGGCCTGGATACTATTCCGAGCATGTGAACAGGGCAGAAAAACAGAAAAGGGCCCTGAACTAGAATATGGACGATGCTGATGACACACTGAGGCCCAATCCCAAACCGACCCCTACACACTCGGCCCTCACTACCGAGTGTCACTCGTAATGAAGTTACACTTGCAGCTGTGGAGTGCGCCTCCATTGAAATGGGAGGGTATAAACAAGACGGGCGGGTATGGGACACCCTCCTTACTCCACCGGAAAACAGAAAAATTAATCGCCATAGCAACAGAAAGATGCGTCCTGTGCAAGGCAGGGTTTATTTTCTTGGTAAGCGGACATCATGTTCAGTTCTGGGCTGCTCCGGCTGCCTTGTTTCTTCATCCTCCCAGTAAAATCATAAATCCAGTAACTATTACAGTGACAGGAGCTAAATTATACTTCTGATTGTTAGTGATTGCACACATATTTGAACCCCTTCAACATTTGACATCTGCCTGCACAATCAAAAAAAAACAAATGTCAGCACAGAGGAAGATTTCGGAGTTTCGTTTGATCTTTCCAAACCACGTCTTTCATGATTTTTTTTTTGTCAGTAAGACTAAGGTGGACACATACGGAACTTATATTTGTATTTTATTTCCTTTTCCTCCATTTTTGCCGGTGCACTATCTGCAAATCCTGCCGTGAGTGAGCATTGGTGCAGACTCACTATTTGAGAGCTGAACAGTCCACTTGCCCTCCTCACTCTGTGGTTTTGGGACGGCCTTCAGTATGGCGGAAACTGAGGGACAGTGTGTAGGGCGAGTGTTTAGGAGGCGGTTTGGGATTGGGCCTATCTCTCTCTCATCAGCAATATCATGGTGCTGATGTTCTCCGCCCCTTTCTTTTCTTACAGCTTTGAAGGCTTGTTCTTGATCGCTTTCATGCTGCTTTTAGAGGAGAGTCAGTTGAGTGCTCTAAAAGATGCCTTCCACGGTCTCACTGATTTTTATTTCAAGAAAGAAATCAGAAGATAGTTTTCACCCTTTGTACTGTGTTTAATACACCAAGCTTGAACCCCTCCAGCTCACAAACACAAGTGAACAATTTTGGGTATATTAACACTCATAGTGATGCTTTTCCTTGTTATAGAAACCTATACGTTTTAGTGTTTTCTTATCCTGTAGTACCTCAGTCTAAACAGCAGAGGACAAACTTGCTTCACTGTCATGCACTGCTTTCCTTCTTACTACTGGCCAAAACTGTGCTGCACACAAAGCAGAGCTCATTTGTGTGGCGCGCCTGAATGCTGTAGCAGGACTTAAACCCACCAGCTGCTGCCTTCCTTTTATCTCGCTCATTAAAGCTGCCCTGGAGTCTCTGGCCTTAATTTCAGATCTGAATATTTCACCTTCACTTGTATTATTTAGACCTCTTATAAGATTTTCTTCGCTCATTTTTCAGCCTTATCAAGCAAACATTTTAATCGCAGCAAATGAATTTAAGGCAGTGGAGAGCTCTTCAGTTTATAACCTCTTTAGGATTCAGACTAAAAGGGTGAGAGGTGTCTATTTCAGGTAGAGCTGTGCCATGCGTTCCACCTGAATACATTGATATGCCGCGGTTGCTGCTGCGTTGCGTCATGACCCGTCAGTCAGAGGTTTAGCTGGAGGGTTGCCCACAGACAGCATCACCGTTGCTGTGTAATAGAATTGGGTTGTTTCCTTGCTTTTGAAGAGGTTTCAATGGTTGGCGTTGCCACAGGAGTGGAGTGCTGCACAGCGACGTGTTCCATTAAACACCTACAGAGATCACACAATTGCCTCAATGTTTGAAAAAGACTTTATTCAATTATTCGGACGTATGATACTCGTCAGACGGGACCTTTTTTCGTACACCACAAATTAAAGAAGAGCCAAAGGGCTTTTCAAAGGATATGGCTTTTTGATTTTAAAGCTCAAGGGGATGTAAAAGGCAGGGCGATTGTCTGAATGAGTTTAATTTGAACACTTGTGTTCACAGCAGCAGACCCTCTCTTTGTTTTTCTAAGTGAATTTGTGAAAGAGTACAACACTGTGCTAGAACAGTCCCCTCTTTCCCCTGAGGCATTTCCACTTGCCTCGGGTCTTTAAGCCTGGGTTCCTCAGGAAGTTGTTCACACCACATAATGTGACACATATCAGCTGTAACACATCTGGACACATGGAGGAGATAACTTTCCGCCCATTGTAGAGACAGCATGTTCCCATCAGCCCGCTGCTCTTACTAAGTAGTAACAACTATTTCAGTGTATTTTTTAATAATACAGAATCTTCGTAACCCAAAAATTGGTAATCCTTCATTTTACAGTCCCCTTCTAGTAATAACATGTAACCTTAAACACACTATTGTGCAAGTACCTATGTCAATAAGAAGTAATTATAGAGAAACACTCGAAACACTCGAGAAACACTCGAAAGACTTGCTCATTATACATTATCATGTAGTAACAATGACAGGAAGGAAATTATCAGAAAAAGTACTAAGAAAAATCCTCTTCTATTAACACCTTCTTCTTTAAGGGCTCTAACTTCATGAACCCATTCCACACACATTTAACAATGCATTATCTGGGAATATAGTTGGCACCTTACAGTAAACGACTTGATTTTATCAGTTGTTTCATTGCTCCTCTAAGCTCCAATTTACCAGCTTAGAAACTATGAAAACTTAGACAAGAACTTACCCTGTGTAATCTTCAGAAATTCGTACCTGACAAATGACCAAGTAAATACACGGTAGGGAAACTGAAACCGGACTGTCAAAGAAAGTCTTGGTTGATTCTTGGGTATTACCAGAATGTTACAAGATAATTGGTTGGAGATAACCCATTTTTGGTGCAGTTCTCTCACAGTATTGAATATGCCATTTGTTCAAACTCATTTTGTCCAACACCCATTTATACACACCTCTTTCTCCAAAGTAAAGGACACTTCAACCTCCTTCGTGCTAGAATGTACCTTGTTACTTTTATTGTAGCTCTATTTTTGTTTTATAAATAGGCATAAAAAAAGACAAAAAACCTCAGATTATTTCTACAGCGAATAATAAATATGTTCTTCTGGTCCTGTTCAGGATGACAGTTTTAGAGATACTCAGCTGAAATAGTAGTTTAAAGGAGTGCTGTTTTCTTCTCCTCCCATCACCTGTTCTTCACCATCATAAATTACCATTTTTCTGTCTGTTTCCAACACTTGAAAATACTTCAAACAGCCGACTGACTTGTGAAGCTCGTTGTAAGCTGTTATTGTCCACACATCATTAATGCATAACCATACATATCGCCAAAAATGTTCATATCTGCCTGAGGGATAATTAGCTTTTTCAGCTATTATCTGCTGCCAATACTCGTATTACGCTGATGATATCGTGCACCTTAACAGAAGAGTCTCTCAGTATTTGTTTTAAACAAACCTACGTGAAGTAAGAAGACCTCCAAAAGTCTCTCCAGCTGAAGTTTGATCCCATCTGACTGCTGCTTGCCTGCTCCAAGATAAAACCACCCCTATCTTTGCTTCCAATTTGAAGCCGCTGTAGGAAACGCTGGATTAGGAGCAACTTAATTCTGCTTTGATACTCCATTCAGAGAGAGAATAGTAAACAGTGAGGCCTCTATCAATATGATAGAATAAAAAAAAAAAAACTGGATTACATGCTGCATTGTTTCCTTCTAATCCCCCCGAGCACTTGAAAGTAATTTGATTCCAGCCCGAGAGTCCGACACTAACAATGAAAACTAATGCAAGGAGAGCCAATTACATAATGTAAATACACCCTTTGCTTATTGCCACTACATTTGTAGTCCATGAAAGCATAGAAAGAGGTTTTCAAGCAAATTGAATTTTAATGACATCCTGACAAGAATAACAGTTAAAGAAAAATGTGTGTGAGATTTGTTTCACTTAATGTGTAATTACATTATTATGTAGACTGAACTGATCCAAATTGAGTTTCATCTCATGATATCTAATGAGAAAATTATAGCCTTATATGAAAATTGAGTAGAATATAATGAAGACTAAAGCAAGCATAGGTGCAAAATATCATTTATATCAGCTGTAGCTCTTTGAACAGGTTTCACCAAAACTCACAGTTCTCTTTTTAGGTTTGTGTGTCTGGTTCCTCACTTGTACATATTCCTGAGTCCACAGATCGATGGAAATTGTATCATCCCTTTGTCGAGTAAATTTAATGCCAATAAACCCTCGTGCTAAGTCTCAGGGAAAAGAAATCAGCACTTAAGTAGTGCGTGTTGGTGCTGCAGAGATCCGCTGTACTGGTGTGAGGACAGTTCAGTCTTTTGCATCAAATGTCACACAGATAAGGTATGTTAAGTGTTAATATTTTATTGTGTATTGCTGTTTTATATCAAACTGTGCCTCTGCGTTGATTTTTTCAAGTATCAACTGGTGGTTATGTGGAACAAGAGTCTGTATTTGGTAGAAGATGTCATCCTAAGTGCATGCTCCCAGTTTGTTGCTTCACAACATGTGCCTCAGGAGCAGCCAGTGCATCACAGGTCCACAAAATGAGCAGTGTGCACATGTGAAGTCTTGAACATTTTCAAAGCTCATTTGAGAAGAATCCTTGATTTTGTAGATTACAGCAAGCCTGTTATTCATGGAGGGAGTTGAGCTTTTTGCTGGATGTTGATGTACTTTTTAAACAAATACTCTTATTTGAAATGATGAAGCCATGATGCCAACATTTTACAATTCGAGGAAAAGTTAAAGAGCATTGATGCTATGGCAACAAAATATGTACACCTAAAACTGGCTCATCTTGTTTTTGATTTTAAAAGAAGGAAAAGTCACTAAACAGACTGACATTTGACATACTGTTCATAAAAGTCTGAAATGAATTTCACTCTCCTCTGTGTACACCCAAAATACAAGGTGACATTGGTGACTGTGGTTTTTGCTTTCTGTCTGTCTGCAGAAGACTCTAATATAACTCCTGTATCTTTATAAAACCCCAAAAGGACCTGACAAAATGTCAGCATTTGCCTGTGAAATTGAGACAGTGAGCCGTTTAGTGGCTGTGACAGAGGGCAGAGCAGAGGGACCACAGCAGGCAGTAGAGGTGCCACCTCAGCAGCAAACAAACAAAATCTGGCTCCATTTTGCACATTTGTGCCGGGCTGTGGAAGTCTTTATTATCAGAGTGAAACCGCTGAGAAATGTTCAGAAAATAACATCTCAGTTTCCCTGCTTTGTTTTTGTTAGAGGTGCCTTATTCTCTGCTTCCTCCCTGTACAGCTGGACCACTGCTGCTGCTCTCTTTTACTCGTGGTAGTTTTTGTTTGGAAAATATGAGTTCAGATCTGTTCATTTTGTATCCTTGGTACTTCTCAATGCTATTAATGTAAAAACAATGTAGACTGTATTGTTGTCAGGGTGGCTAAAATTTCATGGCAGTGTCTGTATCAAAAGCATTTAAGGCTTTGACACTGCTGAAATGCACTGTTACAATCAAGGCGAAGTTAGAGTGAAGATTTGAAGAATGATCTGATTATGACACAAATCCTCAATGCATTAGTAACCATGGGACATTTGCTCTGTTGATGGCATTTCTCTGAGAGTCTGTTACACCTCTCGACTGTGGGTGGCGAGCCAACAGCGCTCAGGTGTTTTGGTGTCTTGATTGTCCACTCTGTGCAGCTTTGCTTGACCTCGTCCACTATTTTTCTAGAGTAACATTCCTGTATCAGTTTACTGAGATCAAGAATGCAGGAATTTGCCTGCTTTGGATGAGAGCGCCTCCTGCTGGACTGTACAATCGTGCAACAAAGTACAGCCTGAAGCGCTGGTATCCTGAATAACTAGGTGTTTCAACCATAGACTGTATGTAAAATGGACGCCATCTGCCTCCTTGCTGGGTGAAGCCACCGCTAGAGCAGCACCCCCTGGTGACAGGCTGCAGTATAGGTCATAAATCCCGTCTCCTCCTGCAATCATTAAGGAGCTGTGGACAAACTTTAGAAATTAATTACACAGAATATAAATTTTTCTCCCCCCTGGTTGCAGTGTTGACATGTAGTTATTGTAAGACTGGTTGTTGCTCAAGTCCAAGCTGTCTGAGCCGAGCGTCAACACTGACTCTCCAGCCGAATGTGTACAATGCTCCTGCGCAAGTGGTGGTTCCAGAAAGTAGAGACAATCCTGGAAATACAGAGAACAATTCAGCTTCAACTTCATATAATGAGGGCAGGCGGAGCCAAGTAGTCCATAGTTTATACAGTCTATGGTTTGAACAGCTCATTACATATTGAGCCTGAACTGTAATCCTTGAGTTGTAGTAGTAGTTTGATTAACATAGTTATTTAATTTTGGTTTACCAAGCTTAACCTTGAATTGAAGAATAGAGGTGATCTGATTGTTATCATAATCAGCCAATGAAAAAAAAGATAATATTGAAATTGATGTTGCTGTCATTCTAGTTTTTTTCAAACAACTTCAACTAAGAGTCCAAACCCTCTTGTTGAGTGTGTCACCGTTGTGCCTACTCCTCCACTAAAGCGAACTGCCTAAGCATAAGCTCACCAGCGTAACAGCTCTGAGTCACGACCATTAAGAAGTGGAGAAAGTAACTTGAAAAATTAGGCATGCCAAGCCCCATCAACATCCTCTTATATTTCACCAGCGTCTCATTTCCTCTGCTACTGTGGTTTTTCATAAAATGATCTATATTGCCAACTGAGCATCTTTGGCACATGGCACTGAAGTCTCTTGATGAATCTTTCTTCTCTCCGTCTCGTCGCCAGAGGTTGTGAACATTTGTTTGGCTGACACCCAAAAACAGTTTCAGTTATCTGATTTTGCTGGATCATTGGAGTAAAAGTTAACTTAAAACTTTGGCTTCCCATGTAGGACTTTGTGCAAACTGATTCAGCCAACATGCACTGCTCTTAATACCTCAGCTTTATTCTAACTGTGGGGTAAAAACTAAAATGTATTTTTTTAGGGACTTGTTCTAGAAAAATCTGACAAGACCAACAAGTAGAAGTTTGCAGATGTAGACTTCCTCACCCATAGCTTAACCCAAAAGCGTTCTCGCCGTTGAGCCTGTTACAGTCAACGTTGATTTTTGAGTTCGTCTCCACATCAGCGGCGCAAAAAGAAAAACTCATTAAGGGATCGTCTCTCTTGCTGTACTTTCTCATAACTTGAGCTCCGTCGCGGCGGGAATACGGGCCTTTTTGTGTGAGCGGGAGAGAAGATTTATGATGAGAATTAAAGGCAGCCAACAGGGGATTTGGACCGCAATTGATTTTGCACAATTCAATTTTAAGCTTGTTGATTTATAATACGCTGTCCACATATCAATCTTGGGCCTCTCCACATGAGGTGAGCTCACTGGGCTAGCTGCTGGTGAGCTAGATCAATAAAACACCATATGAGTGTGTATAAGAGAAGGTAGCAGGAAGAGACAGCACTGGAGAGAGAAACCTTGGCTACGTTTGGTGTGTGTATGTATGTGTGTTTGTGTGTGTGTACGTGCACACGCAGGTTTGCACAAACCGAGGACTTTCAAGGCTTTGCTTACAATACCTGATGGCATTTACTCAGCATCAGGAAGCCTGCAGAACAAATCCACTGAAACCTCTTTCCTTCCTTCCATCCCTCTCTCTCTCTTTTTTTTTTTATACAGACGCTGCTTCACATCCCGTCTTTCAAGCTTTTCTGTAGATTCAGGAGTTTTTCTCTAAGCCCTGCACCAATTTAGCTTTATTTATTTGACCTCTCTGGTGTTGTTTTTGGCCAATAGTCCATCTCCCACCTCCTCCTTTCCCAGACGGATGCTATTTAAGTGTGTGATGAACAGATTGCCAAGAGTTAGATAGCTGAAAGCATTGTGTATCTGTGCTATCTGCTCTCACTGATGGAGGGAGAGTCGAAAAGCTATTTGCCGGCAGAAAAAAAGGAGCTCGGGCTCAAAGGGGAAGGGTGGGGGGTTAAGGTGCTTTGTAAAGCACCCAGGACTGCTGATTTTGAGGGCTTTCACTGTAGCCCCCATCAGCGCCCCGCCCTCTCGCTGCCTCACTGTCATTGCTTCACCTGTCTGCTCTCCTTGTGCTCCCCTCGCCCGCCAGTTTTTTCTCATCTAATTCCCCAAGGCTTCAGATTTCGCTCTCTCACATATTCATAGTTGCACTTCCTGTCTCTTCCCTCCCTCCCCCTGCTCCACCACTTTCCCCATCAAATTCTCACTCTCACTTTTCTCTCCCTCTCCATCAATTTCTCTCCCCCCTTCTGACCTATTCCTCAGACCTTCCTCCCCCCTCAGTCAGACAAGCCGAGGCAGGCAGGCAGGCAGGGAATGAGATTTGTTTTCCCCCCCCGCACTCCCTCCACCCCTCCCCCTTATCATCTCTCTGCTCCTCTCCCGCCCCTGGCCCTTTTACTTGTTGCATGACAGGTCCGCCACTCCACTGAAATAAATCATCTTCCGGGACAGATGCATGTGTGTGTGTGTATGCACGTGTGTGTGGGAACTCATGAGACAAGTAAGAGCTTCCTCTTGGTGATGATGGCTGTTTTGTTTTGAGCATGGCCCCAGGACTACCACCCTGTTCTTTTTGTCCATGTGTGTGTATGTGTGTATTATTAATGCCTCTGGCTGTGACCTGCCCACATGGTTATCAGCATGATTTATACTCTCCCCATACACACTGCTGTGCTTCCAGCCTCACATCCTCTTCCCGCTCATTCAGACACTCTCCGCCTCACTCTGTACTCTATGCCTTGACTGCTTTCTGTATTTCGCTGGTCGGGGTGTCTCATATTGAGTAGGTAGGTGTGTGTTTTGTAAGCGTGCGTTTGAGCTCGGTGTCCTTGGTGCCGGTGAAGCAGACCTTAAACCAGCTCCTCAATCATGTGGAGGCTTGTCCTATTGGCCCATTTTTATCTGGCATTAAAAATTAAACACACACGATGATGCATGGACACCCTGCTCCGATGAGGCACGGCCCCAGTGGGACTTCAGACTACAAGTCCAAATATACCCTCCCACAGTACGAGGAGAGCATTTTTCTTGAAATTTCACTGGATTCAGGTTTTATTCTTGATGTGAGCCGCCTCCTCTCCCTCTCCGGTGTAAATTGCTAAGCCGTGCTGAATACTAACTACCCTTTTGTATGCACCAAAGATCAGCGATGCACCAGCATAGAAGCCTGCAGGTGATGCTTACCACTTAACACTCCACCTCGCTGCTGATTGTCTGAGATTTGCCCCAGACTTCCTTTGTAACAAGTTTTTGGCAGTGTTTTATATGAGAGCCTCCAGAAGGAGAGGCGTGCAGAACGGTGCCTGAGGATTTATTAAGCAATCTAGTATCAGTCCCGCAGGTGTTTCAGTGATGAGGAAGATTTTCTGGACATTTCACATGCCTGATATAAGCCATACTTGGCCCCTCCTCACTCACAGGGGAGTGGAAGAACATATGAATTATATTAATGCAGCAACAAGTCATTTTAGTTATTGGACAGATATCTTAAGGCAATGTTTCTCAAGTCCTGTCCTCGAGGTCCACTGTCCTGCATGTTTTGGATGTTTCCCTGCTCCAACACACCTGATTCAAATGATCAGCTCGTTATCAAGCTCTGTAATAGCTTAATAACGAGCTAATCATTTGAATCAGGTGTTTTGGAGCAGGGAAACATCCAAAACATGCAGGACAGTGGACCTCGAGGACTGGACTTGAGAACCACTGTCTTAAGGTTGAGTAGAGGAAGTGTTGTTGCCCTTATGTGGCTCCTGACTGGAGCATGTAATGGCCCATGGCTTTGCTGGTTGATACAGAATAGGTTAGGTAATGTACTGTGAGTTATGCAACCTGTTTCTCCCTCGCAGTATCGCATTTACCTGTTGAACTGTTCCCTTTTTGCCTGACTCAGAAATCTGAATGGAGCAAGCTATGCCAAGAAGTTTTTGACACCAGGCTGATGAATTTAAAGATTTTTCAAAACTCCAAATTTGCATTTTTTTTTCTATCAGTAATTGATGAGCTCTTACAGCTTTTCATCTGAATGTTGATGTTCGGACTGGTTTCAAGTAGATGTTTAAGCTTTCATGGTGAACTTTTTACCTGGTTATGAAGCAGACAGAAGTACGAATGATTCCTCTTTGCAACCAACTACAGAAAACAAGATCACAAGCAAAATTTGGATAATGTCTTTTTTGTCAGTGTAGCAACTCATAACCTAATAATTGACTCATAAGGTCATAAATTGTTACATTATGCCCAAACATGTTATTATAGGGCTGGGTGATAAACCAATAATTTACCGATACTGAAATTTATGACACTAACCAACATCATTTTGCCCATGTCAATATATTTGGTGTCAAAAAAATAAATAAATAAAAGTTGGTTTTGGATGTGTGTAGGTAGGCTATGGTCTCATGTTCCTTGAAGACGTTGTCCTACGTCGGGGACGTGACTCCACCCCATCCAGTCTGTAACAAAGAGGGAAAGACAGGTGAGGAGATGGAAGACGGTTAATGTGGGAGGGGTGAGCAGCTTGTGGAGTAGTTATCATCTGTTTATCGTTATTGAGGTGAACTACTCAATATATCGAGATGTTGATGTGGGGCCATATCGCCCAGCCCTATGTCATTACTTTATGCACCGATGATTTTTTAAACTATGAGTGCCTACAGTGTGTAACAGAATCACAGTATCGCACTTGCATCTTAACAATGCAGTGGACGGATTTGATGCAGATTAGGGATAAGCAGCAACACTGAAGCGTGTTGCATGATTTACATCATTCCTGATTAATTGGTCGTCACGTGGCTGTGCAGGTATCAGGAAGAGAAAGATGGAGTAAACAAATGCTGTTAGAACTTTTGCAAGAGCTCATGCCAGAGGCTACTACATTGAACATTTTTAAAAGTTGTTTTTCTCAGGCACTTTTGTCTTTATTTGATCAGACAGCCAAAGAGAGACAGGAAATGTTGGGGGGTTGTGGTTGGGTGACATGCAACAAAGAGTCATGGCCTGGAGTGGAACTAGTGTGCACCATGACAAGGACTATAGCCTCAGGATATGGGGTGCGTGCTCAAACCGCAAGGCAAAGGGGCATTTCAACATTGAACATTTTTTAGCCAATACCACTTATACTCAAACTTTACTGTCCAGTAGAAGTGCCTCTTTTGTCCTTTCAAAGTAAAGTCATGTATGTCATCATAACAGGAATAAAGTCACTCAGGCCTAATGTAGTGGAGAGGCAAAGTCAAGGCGTCACAAATACGTTTAAAACGTCTCTATTTATCTTACATAGTAAAGATGTGTATTCAGAGGTGGGCTCTGTCGTAATATAATGACATTTTTTTAAAAAGTTTTGCTTAAACCTAAAAGATGTGGAGTAAGAGTTAGTTTTCAGGTTTCCAGAGAGGAGGCGGGCTGAACCACGTAAGCACTAGCACCTGTAAATGCTGATCACGGTCAATAGACACGTGCTCACCTCTGAGAGAGATTTAATGATTTGTTTCCAGTGTGGTGCTGCGTTTATGTAACCCCAGCACATCCAGTTTATCCTTAGATCCATCACATCAGAGCACATTTACTACATCAATATGATTGTGTGAGCTGAATGTGAGTGACCACATGCTGAGAATTGACTCTGCACTGTATATGTTTCATTCTTTTTATCCTCCATGATATCTGGGTTACATTTACGATAGACTCGCTTTTAGTTTCCTTAAAAACCATTTCTTATTAAATGCAGTCACATTTCAAAGCTTATTGATTTTTTTATTTATTTTTGCTCATGTTGGAAGTAACACTACAAAATTAAAATACTCTCCAGGACATTAGAATTCAGTTTTGAGACACACCGGATGAATTTACTTTATTTCTGTTTACATTTGTTTCCCATTGGTATTAATTAAATGGTGTTGCGCATTTGTTCTTTGATTCAGCGTCATGTGCAAAAGAACTTAAGAGGAAAATCTTATGCGAGAAGCATGAAAACCTAAGGGGTTTGTGAAAAAACATAAAACATCTCAAGTCAACTAACCCTAACACAAGCTAATGAGTACAAAACTACATGACGAGCAGAGAGAGATGCAGTTGAATTGAATAACATGAATCAAGAGAGGGAAAAATACAACAACAAGAAAAGCTGTTGCAGCTACAGAATGAACAAACAATTGGCACGATAAATAAATTAGCCTTGGTTCAGGAAATAAAATCATTTCCAGAAAGTGTTATTGAAAGGAAGGTAAAGCCTCTTTTCCTCGCTCCCTAGCTCAAGTTTGTCGCAGCACTCCAGTGAAAAGAGTTCTCTCCTTTTTTTCACAGGTGGTGCTGAAGATTATCAAGCACTACCAGGAAGAAGGCCAGGGCAGCGAGGTGGTTCAGGGCGTCCTGCTGGGATTGGTAGTCGACGACCGGCTGGAGATTACCAACTGCTTCCCCTTTCCCCAGCACACAGAGGATGATGCAGACTTTGATGAAGGTAACCGAGAGCAGTGCTCTCTCTCGCTCTGTTCAGCTCATCTTTACAGTATTTAATGATAATGTGAAAACGTTGTTTGAAATCAGAGGGAAATAATTGTCCAGTTCAATGAAAATGCAAGCTTTTGTCTGCATATTCTTAACTGGGAACCTTCAGTCGAGTTTGGGAAACAAAACAGACATCCGTACTGAAGGCCATGAAGAGTTGCAAATTTGGATGAATACATTTTTAATTAGCACTTCGTACTTGCCTTCCAAATCACACTGAATTTACTAAGTGGTAACATTTCCATAAAAATGGTGCATTGTTTTGATCTAACAAACTTTTTTGTGGTTGGCTGTGTAATTGAATTGGATTGAGGCTTTGACGGTTGAGCTGAAAAGTGCCGAACAATGCCTCAAAACAAGTTCAGAAACAAAGCAATTAGGGTATCAATGAGAGTAACTGGTTCTTGGAGTAAAACAAAACAGTGTCTGGGAAGAAGAGAGGTTACTTTCAACCCCCTAAGATTAAAGGTTTGACTGGGATCAGTGTAACACTAACTTGTGTGTTGATTAATTGGGTGTGTTTTTGAGATGCTGCGAGGTAACACCCCTCCTAGCCAATTAAGTTCCCCAAAACAAGAGAGAGAAAAGACTATCAAGGCTCAGAACCAGGAACCAGAGTACTATCATATCAACAGCCTCTTGTGTGCGGATTTGTGTTCTCTTGGAGGTTTGTGTACATAAGACATCCTCAAGTGCAGCTTTAAGGACAATGCTGACTTTAAACTGAGCTAACTAGGTGCTCAGTGTCCTATGTTGTCAGTGGCGGCGTTGATGTGCGAGGGCAGCGCCGCAGTGATGGAATGGCTCCAGTGTTTGTGTTACAGGTGGGTGGTGGGAACGTGCGCAGGATTTGATCTAGTCATTCTCATCACACGCACGCTTCTCTTCAGTCCCCTCCCACGTTGCGTCAGCTTTCATAACAAAGGGTGCCGCGTCCTCTGACCTCAGCCTGAGCTATATCAAGCCTTGTTGTTACCCGCTCCCTTGTTAGCGAAACAAAATCTGCTGCAAGCCAGGTGAAGGGATGGGAAGGTGAGCAGATACGGGGAAACGGAGGATAGTGAGAAAACCCGGCTCTAACAGGCCTCCTCTGCTAACAAGCAACTGTCAGAAATTCTCCCAGACACACCAGCACCGACGGTGGCTAAAGGTCGTTAGTGTCAGCTCACTCTGCGCGCCTGTGCTGCTGGGTGTTGAATTTTGTTGTGCTGTTGACTTTTGATGCACAAATTTCTCCGTCTGTCACTCCCTTTGAGTTAACAACGTCTTCAGTGAGAAGCGCTTTGCTGTGAAGTCTTTGAAAATGTACAGTTCTTCAACAGGCCTTTGGATACAACAGCAGAATGCCATAGACTCTGTCTAATCTGTCACTGCAGAACCACAGTCAACATGATCATTTGCTGGGAGTACGTCATGTTGTTTATGTTGCACATCGTCAGAACGATTTCAAACTGTGAGAAGTACATGTCTTTAGGATGAACCCGTCTCAGTTTTCAAAGTTGACAGAGATGATTGCATCCCACACTTAGGAACTTATATTCCAGATAAAAACACGGAGAACAAAATGTTACTTGAAACAAATGCAACACAAAATTATCACACTGCAACATGCAAAATGGATTTTATGTCTGTACATTCAGTCAATTTGTTCTCTCCTACTTCAGCCTGAATTGTCTTCCCACGCACACAGCTGACCAGCCAGACCACCCTCACTCCCTCTCTCGCTCGCTTCCTCTTTCGCTCCTCTTTCTCGCTCTCTCCATACCCTCAGCTCTCTTGTCAGGGTTTCATCGGAGCTGATGTTGGGCTGGAAGCCAGTACAACAGCCTCCGACTTAAAGTGTGAGTTGGACTTCAAAGTAGTCATCTCTGTTGACAATCTGGAGACTTTATCTTTGAGCGTTTCGACTTTTGTAAAGATGCAGGACTGTGCTTTGAGAACAAAGCCACGAAAGTGTGACCCAGCCCATTTTTAGATGGTGCGGTGCATATTGAGAAAAAAAAGGGTTGATTAGGAATGAGTTCTTCTTGAACAGCTTGCAGGGCTTATTTATTGTGCATATTTACTGTGCTCTAAAAACAGGTACTTGTCACAGATGTTTATTTGTATTTGGAGAAGTCAGTGGCACTGAACCCAAGCTTCATGAGCTTGATTTGTTTGAAACACTTTTTTTAATGTGAGATTCCAAAACCGCTCCATAAATAAAGATTTTTTTTTGTTTCCATGAGAACATTGAACTACACAGAGTTCAGTCTATTACTGCCAGCCAGCTCACATAAAAATTCAAGAAGGCATTCCATTAAATGAAAAATCAGTATACATCCCCAGGTGCAGCATGAGTCATCAGCATTTTTCCAGGAAATGACACACTCCAAAAAAAAAAAAAAGAAAAGAAAAAAAACTGTCGAAAAATAACTTTTCCTCCTTATTTGGGCCAGACATTGGTGTGTTGATGATGAGCAATGCGAGACCTGTTTGATACAAGAACCTGAAAACTTATTGAAATGTTAAACTTCTTCCTTTGAGCAGTTTATAAACTTGGAAGAATCAATCGTAAAGCAGCCCTGACAAACAAAGTTCACAGACTGTCACAGTAATGATACCGACTCTCCCTGAAGATGACTTACTTTGTGGGAAAATACTTCATGTTGGCCAGGGTCAGTGTCATCTGCCTAAATTCAGTGTTTACAATAGTACTGGACAGAATAATGCTCAGGCCCATAATGGCCTTAAAACAGGAGGAGTAAGAGTAGGACCAGTGTACTGTGAAAAGGAGTAGCTCTTATTTAACCAGTGCAGGAGTGCACAGCTGCTGGAAGTAAATTTTTCAATCAGCGTTTCAATATTTCGCACCGTGCTATCTCTTTTTCTGTAAATCAACATCATGAAATAGGTGTATGATCTGGAGGGTTGGCAGGAGAGGGGGAGGGCCTTCAAATACTCCACAAAATTAATTTTTCACTGTATTTGGTTGAATCCTGTTTTTCTATCTATGGAGCTCCGTCTCTGACTGCTGTATTGACTTTCTGATACGCATCAGCTAACCGTTACATCCCGAGATAAAGCTCCCGATTTAGGGTGAGAAAGACCCAGCAGAGCAGCACACACTCTTTTCAACCCCAGCCACACACACTCCAGACAGCTTTAACCACACCGCACATGTGATCTTTTCTTCCTGCTCTCTGTGTTTGTGTGTTTGCCTGAACCGATGTTGTCTGTGTGTGTGTCGGTGTTTGTATACCTGTATCATCTTACACTGACTCATTCCCTGCTAGAGGCCTCTCACAGCAAAATTACTCCTCTCCTTCAATCTCTCTCCAAAGAAAGATGGACAGGATTGGTGGATTCGTGACTGTGTCGGGTTTTTTTTTTCTTTTTTTGTTTGTGTGTGTGTGTGTGTGTTTCGGAGAAAGCGCTCCTGTGTGTCCGTGCTATGCTGCTTTTTTATCAACAGGTGCCACTGTGGAGCTGCACTTGCGAGACAGTTGATGGCAGCAAGTGTGACCAATATGAGTGAGAAAAAGATATAGAAAGAGAGTAATCGAGCGCGTGCAGTAGAGCCAGCCCCAGATAAAACCTTGGCTGAACCCCAATCCTCCTATTTCCTACGTCCTTGCATACTCTGTCCTTGTATCATTTTCAGAATGTATGGGGAGAGCAGTGGAGAAGTGCAGGCCCGCATTCGTTCGGCTTCTGTGCAGCCGAGGAACACAAGAAGCATGTTAATAATGTGCCCTTGGATCTTCTGTTGTAAAGGCAGTGATAAAACAGAAAGAGAGCAATCCTGGCAGAGAAATTGTTCACAGAGGCATCATACAGAAAATTTACATCAGACGTTGTGTTCTTGTATTTTACCGTGACCCTTTATATCCCTTGAAATGCTGGAAAACACAACCTCCTCTGGGACTGTGCTGGTTCAGAAGGGGTGTTGTGATGTTTACTGAAGGGAATAGTTTCTAAAGAAGAAAATCACAGCAACATAAAATTGACATCTTTTATTACGAAGCCCTAAAGGCACATTTTTAATCTTTCAATATTAAGTTTAGATCTTCAAATAAGTGCGCCTCTGTTGGCATTCGCACTGAGAAGCGACACCCACATCTGCAGCTCGAGCTCATTGTTTCAGCATGTAGGTCCATATGGTTGACACCCGCTGGGTGTCCCCAACCTCTGCTCTCTGTCAACATAAGGAGAACCTTTATTAAAAATGTCACTGACTGCACTCAAATTTTGACAGCATGTGGGTGTTCATTTTTTCTGGTTTTAAACCCGGCTGTTCTGCTGTGTACATGTCTATCCTTATCCAGGTTTACAGAGGTTTGTTCTCAATCTTTTATATTCTAAATCGCTGTGATGAAAAACAAAACTCTGGACAGCTGCTCCCATCTTGCAATCTCATGCAGACGAGGGCACACTGCATCGAGTTCATTGACTGGTTTCAGATAGCCGGCTGGGAAGAAGAGCCAAACACTTCTAGACAAGGACATCCAGACTTTTGCAAGAGGGGTTGACTGGGACCAAAACAACTTTGGGCAAGAATAAAAATGCTTGTCAAACAATAACTTATGACACCAGGAGTTCTCCCTTTTAAACTTTTTTTTGCCCAGTTCTAATCAAATTGATGAAATGTGATTTTTATTAGTCTGGTTCAGTGGTTAGATCCGACAAAGACCGAGGCCGACACGGAAAGAACCCAGTAAATTGTAAATTCCACGTAGTTAAATCACTGATGGCGTGTAGCTCAGTGCAATTCGCAGGCGTATAAAGCATGATTGGGTTGCCTGTTTGACTCATAAGGAGGGATTACATCAAACTAAGCGTCGCTCAGTACTACTTTTGGTAAGTGTGTTTGATATTCAACCCACGTCACTTGTGTCCAGCAGCAGCAAGGTATCCTGAAGGTAGCACAAAATTAGCCTGCTCTTTTTCTCCTTTTACCCTCCAGTACTTTCTTCCTCTCCCTCTTTTTCTTCAAGTCACTGCAGGTGAGGGGACTGTATCCCACCCTGCTCTCCAGCCATTTTCCTCTCTTTATTTCTCTGCTTGCTTCCTTAAGTACTTTTCTTGGTTCTTCTGTCCTTCCTTTATGCTGCACCAAATTGTTTGATCTACCCCTGAATACTCCTGCTGTTCTTGCCACTAGTTACAGGACAAATAAAGCAACATCCATTCAAAGGGAGAAAGGAAGAAACAACCCAACTAATGCCCCTTACAGGTAATAATGTCACAGAGTTGAGCAGGGTTCAGAACATTGTCTACTTAAAAAAACAGAAGTGGTGTTGTTTTGGGTTAGACGCAGTACATGATCAGTGCCATGAAAATTGTAGTTATTGGTAGTGATGTTCAAACAGTAACATCTTCACCATTTTCAGCATTAAACTCAGCAGCATCTTTTAAAGTCTTATTTTAAAGTTAGTCATTTTCAGCACTTTCTGTCATTTTTACCATCTTCCACATCAATTTCACAAACATCTTCAGCAACAAGTTCACAACTTTCAGTAACATCTCAATTAACTGTCAGCAACACATCCATCAGTTTTAGCATTATCTTCGATCATAGTCACTAACAAGTTAATCATTTTTTGCACTCTGGCAACCTCTTCCAGCATCACGTCCATCAATTCAGTATCATCGTTAGCAAGTTGTCACATACAGCTGACAGTTTCTAGCCTAAAAGCTGTTAAAAACTGCAGGAATACTAACAATAAAAGGCCAAAATGTGGCTTTGCAATGTAAGACTGTCATAAAGTACACTCTTAGTGCACTCATAAAGTAACTCTTTAGGGGTGTTCACACCAAGTGCAAGTAAAATTATTCATGAATTATATGTTAAGTCAATGCTAAGACGCGATCAGACGGTCTCTCTACTCTGGCGGCGCAAATGACGAGAATTGGGCGGAGTGAATTGTGCAAATTGAGCGAGTTATTTGCGCGAATGAATCGAGTAAATGCTATTAATTTACGTGCAAATGAAGCGATTAGTTGATTTTATTTGTGCTTGGTGTGAACGCACGGTTTGAGTGACCATTAAAAGCAGCTAGTGATCAGGCTTTACCAATTTCAGCTTCAGTACCACAACCTTCTGCACTTTTACAGTGCATATCAACATTATTTCAAAGACTTCGATTACTATAAACAGACATAATTATCTAATGATTGGATTTTACCCCAGACAAGTTTGTGAAAGAACTCTTACCTGGGACATGCTGTGGATTCCACCGTAAATACACAGGTGAAGAACATGGGTAGACATCTGAACACAACTTGCCAAGTAAACTTTTTACACAACCATAAATGGCAACAGGTCAAGAGAATGGTGTGCTTGCTTACAAAATGGGACTTTATTTTGTGTAGTAATTTTAACATATTTTAGATATAATACATAATACTATTGAGAACACGCTGAACTCATCAAATACCAACCCAAATTATATCAACCAGCCAAAGCCCAATTAAAACCCACACAGTCTCATCTGAAACCACCAAATTAGGTGGAAATTCACCCAATCTGGCAACAGTCATCTTTAGCATCAAGATAACCATTTGTGAGCACTATTGTCATCATTTTCATCATTTCAGCATCAACCTATTTCTTCATAGCCTCCTTTTTTTTGCATTTATTTATTTTCTCCATTATAATAGAAATTCTCCATTTTAATAGAAAATTATCCCCAAGAAAATAAATACATATTTTTTTTTTTTTGCAAGATTATTTCATACTGAAACTTGTTCGACAGGGCAGCCAAAACCAGTTTTTAAATTTCGGACTTCTACATTTTTGACAGTGTCTCATATTTCATACCAGCTTTTCGTATCCCTGTTGGGTCTTTTTTTTTGCTGGGAAATGCAGCTTGTCTTAATATTATTGTTTCTCGGTGTGGCCCTCTTAGAATGAAACCAAACACTGAGGTCAAAAGTTTGTGTCAGTGGAAACTGAATTTGAATGATTAAGATTCAGTTTTTATTCTGAACTTAGTATTTGAATTGAAAATGTAAGTCTGAATTGAACCACAGACAAAATACCTTGATACCTGATCAATTTAGAAATTTCACTTGAAATCAGTGCAGGGTGTTGTTCACTTTAATGAGTGGAAAAATTTGATTTTACATCTATGGATGGATGGATTATGTAATTACAAACTGCAAATTGGAACATGTATGTGTGAGTTTTTTTTGTCCTTGAAAGTTTTAGTTTTTTTTAATCGGCGCAGCACTTCCTTCTGGCTGTCGTGCTTCTGCATGCCAAGCTGCTCACTCTCTGCCCAACACAGGTGGTAGGGGCTGCCAGGCCCCCTGTCTGGGCTTGCATCTTGCTTCACATTGGCTCGAAGATGGGAACAGTTGTCACACTGCTAATAAAAACAGTTTTGTTAGGGTGCTCATTTCACTATGCATCTTGTTTTCTCTTATAATATAAATATGTATGTGGTTAACTGTTTTTTTTGACCGGTGAGTGCTGTATTTGGTCATTCAGCATGGAAACATAGTAAAGGTTGCAGCTATTTCAGGACTAATGAGACACTTGATCAGAAAGAACATGAGCATTTTTCATGATGTACAAACAACCTGTAGTCATTAACTGGGCTGATTCTGCTGATCGGTGCTGGTCTTTTTCACTTTATTTGTTGTTTGTGTTGCTCCTGCTGTCACACTTTGAATTACTCCGTAAACTAATTAGCTACACAACTTTGGATTGAAGTGAATACAATTGGGCTGTGAGATAGAGAAATGCCTCCCTGCATGGCATATCTGACTGCTGAGACCAAAGCGGGGAAAAAAAAGGTAAAAGACATGAGAAGTGTTGCCAAAATTCACTGAGGCTCTTTTCATGGATGTGTCTTATATTTCTTCATAGTTTTATCAATGACGTAGTTTGTAGTTTTAATTATTTACATGCTAAGAGTGTTTCTTTTTTTCAGACTTAAAGGAAACGTCATTTACAGGATCGTTTCTATGTTGCTTTGTTGCTTTCAAGTCTCTGAAGACTACATGATCTGACTTTCATCATACAAACCCTTTAAGGACCAACATCACCCTGATGTCATCGTATTGGCTATGGGTGGGAGAAAAAATGGATACAGCATAGTATTGTGATATTTTGTCTGGTAATAAATCGTATCATCTCATTTACCAAGTATTGATTGCTCAAATTAATTGCTAATATGAAGTCAAATCTATGATAATGGAAAAAATAAAATCAACTGTTTGTTCAGTGAGGTTGGCAGAGGTGACATGTCTTAAAATGTCTTGTGTTGTTTGGTACCATGTCAAAGAGGACAGGATGGAGGTGAATGCTTTGTGTGTAGTGCAGACTCCAGATTCTACAGATTTACTGTTGTATAGATGGATGACATTGTGTGTAATCGAGGATTATCAATGCCCTTTGATCAGGAGTTGAGGAAACATAGAGATAGATTGGATTTTCTGTAAATTTGACTATTTCAGCACAAGGGCTAATATTGGTTTACAAAACAAAACAGCAGAAATTTATTAACTTCCCATTTATGATTGCGATCAATCATTCCCAAAATATGTTAGTATCTAAGAACCTTGATCTCAGTTTGTCTGTTTCTTTTAAATCAGATAAGTTTCAGCGTGCAGCCATTTCTTCTTTATTACTTTCATCAAATCATCCATCCACTGAGTGTATGGGTCATCCACTTTGTCCCTGATCACTGGTGGCAGAGACCTCTCATACTCTTCGGAGAACTTCTTCCACTTTGGTCAAAATAAACCAAATATAACTTGCTAGCAGCTACAGTTAATGGGTCTAAAACGTTTAGCCTCCAGCTAAACTCTGTCCACCAGAAAAAAAACATCTTACAGTTTGATAACAGTAAAAGGGTCTGTAGGTAAGCTCTAATTCACTTCTCTGTGATATTTATTGCCCATTTTGAAGCATGCTAGCAAACTTTGTTTTTCAACAGTATCCAACTTTGTGTCACCCTCTGCCTTTTTGCGTTTAACATCCCTCTTCTCAAATTCTGCTCTGAAATTAGCACAGTCGTCCTCAAGTGTAACTAAAGTCATAAATCATTGCTTCGTTCAGCATAGAGCTGATTCAGGTCCAGAGCCTTGGTGCATGCTGAACTGGAACCTGAAATGAACTGAGCGATCATTAATGTTATTGGTAACATCTGTGGCTTTCCATGCTGTCAAGTCCTAATGTTCACCGTGAGGAAAGTCTGCACCCTCCTTGCCTGTGGCTGCAATATAAATCCAACCAATAATGAATCCACTGCAACGCTCAACAGTTTGCAAGGTGATTTTTTTCCCCCTTCTTTTGGTACTCCTACACTCTGTGATTGTGGCCAAAGAGTTCAATTTTTGTTTCAGACACTTTTCTTCAAAAAGCCCTCTGTTTGATCCAAGTGTTGTGTTGCATACTGAAAGCTGCTGCACTCGAGTAAAATCTGTTATTGCAAGACAAAGTGTTCATACAAAGACAGGAAAAGTTTCAATCCACACACCGGAAATTCCTTTTAAACGAATGCGATCATGAAAGCTGCACAGGGGCTAATAGCACCCTCTGAAAAACAAGCTCCAGATGTGTCATGTTGACACGTGTGATAGTGAGTACTAGAGAGGTGCAGAAGACCCCTCAAGTCATTGACAAACAAAACACCTCCTCTATTGTGCCAAGTACCCATCTCTAATCAGATTCTCACTAGTGCATGTACTACTGGCTGGTCTGCTCACTTAAGTAGAAGCTTGAGGGGCAATGGTGCAACACAAGCAAATGATTGTATTCTTCTGCGCCTAACCAGCTCGTGCAGTGTAAAAAGGTTTGGCTGATGGGCTGTTACATTTCCTGCTTCCATCCTTCAGTCTGCTTTAAAACACTGTAATGGGTGTGACCTTTCATGTAAGAGAACACAAAAACAATTTCCTGCATAGAAAGGTCACCTCATAACTGTAGAATAAATACAACTTAACATGTCTTATATGACTCTTTTTCAAGATATGACATTTATGATGCAGTATTTAGCAGATGCAATCTTTTGCTGTCACTGTGGCTGGGCATGCTGACTAATATTTGCTTTCTAGCCTTCTTGCTAATATCTTTTCTGGTCTCACCCCATCTACTTGGAAACCTCTTCAGGAGCTTAAATGTTAAATGTTTGAGAATAACTTGAGATAAGAGAGGCAGTTTGGCATTAACGTGTTTATTTTGGATGAGCAACTTCACTCACTTGCAAATATTAGCTATCCCAGGCGGCCGAGCCCAGCTTTTATGGACTGTACAAAGTTCCAGGAATTTCTCTGAAGGTACTTAGATGAGCTGCGTGTGTGAACCAAAAACAGTCCAATTTTGCACCCGACTTCACCCAGGATAGTTTTCTACCAGCCCAGACTAGGTCCGTCTTGGTGTGAGAGTACAAAAGAAAGTCCTGGAGAAGTAGGGCTGGGTGATTATGGCCTCAAATCAGTATCACGATATATTGAGCAGTTCACCTCAATAACGATAAATGGACAATAACTACTCCACATGCTGCTCACCCCCCTACCACAATAACTTTGTCTACTTCAGCCGACAAAGTTGATGTAGGACAGCATCTTAAAGGGACATGAGACCATAGCCTACCTACACACATCCAAAACCAACTTTCATCGATTTATTGATTTATTTGACACCGAATATATTGACATGGCAAAATGACGTTGATTATTGTGGTAAATTTCGGCATCTGTAAATTTTCGGTTTATCGCCCAGCCCTATAGAGAAGTCACTGACCCAACAGAGGAGGGGTAAGCCAGGAGGTGATGAGGTTTATGTCATACAGCTGGTGTTGTGGCTAGTATAGCTGCTTTGTTGAATAGTGCAAATAATGCTGTTTGAGAAACAGCAGTTAGTGTACTTGTGTTAGTACTTACTTCTAAACTTTTATCTAAAATTTTAGGAGAGGTGTATCTCAGCATGTATCTCTTATTTAACAATGCTCCAAGCTCACAGAACCACTTCATATCCCACCACTGCTCTCCCTCTGTTAGCAGTCTCTGAACAGTAGGAGTGTGTTCTGTTACTCGGTTACAAAATTCATCTTTGTATCATATAAAGATTAGTGTTCCTTGATTGAATGATGTCCTCCAGTGACAAGGAGCACAGGATGTTGGCTTTATGCGTGTGCAGAACTGCTTAATAGCACATCAAGGTAGGAAGCAGTACTGGTGGGAACACTTTCATTTGGTGGATTTGCTCATTAGCTCGTCCTGTTTTTGAAGTTGAAACTGCTGGAAAAGAGGACTCTCCATGTGCCATCTTTTTATAGATGAACTTTATTCCCTTACTGAAAGTGACACAGCGGTGAAGTGCATGTCTGAAAACAGCTGTGGCGTCTGTTGTCCAAGCAGAGAGGTATACACTAGTCAGCAGGTTGGGCATAAAAAGATGTCTTCCAGTGATTTATCTTGGATGAATATTTGATGTAAACTCCTCACACCCCTGTAGAGCTTCTGCAAAGTTTTCATGTCATGGTACAGATTTGGCTCGGATAAAGGAACACAGAATGCTTGTTTTGGGGTATTACAACTCAGTTTTGACTGTGGTTGGCAGGAAAGCTGCATCATCTGCTTCACAGTCTTTTGGCACTTCTCCATCCATCATTGTCCATCCATTCATCCTTTATACCTCAACTGGATATTCTCCTTCTCTTGAGGTTTTAATGATTGCAGTCTCCTTGTCTCCTCTTTCCTTTTTTTCTGGCTCCTTCAGTCTGCAGCAGGTGTTTTTCATTATTTAGAGCTCCCCTACCTTGTTTTTTTTTTTTTTTTTGGATATCAAATGAGCCAAATTTGAAATGGACCCAATACCAAGCAGAACAATAGTTGGCCAAGATTTAATTTTCTCTCCCCGTGGTCTAGTAGAGTCATCACCAAACTAAAATAGTGCTCACAAAGTACAGGGATGCTGTGCTGCAGATGTAAAAAGACGTGAGATCGCACTGGAGAAACACAGTGCAGGGTGAGACTGAAATGTTTGTTTGTGTTTATATCTTTTCCCGCTGGTTTACTACATCATTTCAAATGATTAGGGAAGTTGTTGGCGAATGTCCACCGTCGGGAATGTTTGTGGGGAAAAAAAAAACAAATAAACATGTTAATTTTGCTGTAATTCAAAGCCATAGAAGTGAAAACACAAACCAAACTCATTAAGACCGGTTACGTTAGCATTTTCCCGCTGCAGGGTCTGTGAGGTTAGTCTTCAGTTTTTAGACTTTCATTGTCGTTGGTGGCGGAGATTTTCACGGTGGGTTAATTGAAGTCAGGGAGATTAAAAGTGTCTCTGCCATGATCTCTCAACTTGTCTCTGTAAATACACTATTCAGTATGCAGCAAGGCAGACACGCGTGTGTGTGTTCTGTAAAAAAACATGACCCTCTCTCACTCTGATAAGGTCTTCCTTGGGGTTAGCTCTTCAATAGATCACTCTACCTGCCCCAAATGGGAAATTGATTTCCTCCGTTTTCCTCGCTCTCCCTGTGAGGCTAATTAGAAATCATGAGGCAGCCCACCTTTATGGGGGATATAAAAACACTGAAGACATCATGTGAGCTGTTATTTCTTCAGATTTGAAGATGGTACCTTTTTCATGTCCTATTCTTGAAAATCTCTCATTCAGTGTTCCCTCCCCCCTCCCTGTACCTCTCCATCTCTCTCCCGCTGTAGCATAGAACTGATACCGGCTGTTAGCAGTGAGCTAGGGCCGGATCTGCTTTTGAAAGCTCACCCAGCGTTATAAATCAAGGGTGTGGGTCCCCCGGGTGCCGTCACCATCGCCATCAGTTCCACTGTTTTATTCATCCGCTCCTTTGTCTCATCAAGATTCTGCCCCACATAAAATTTTGTGTGTCTGTGTGAGCAGGGAGAGGGGTGGTCACAAAGCATCACCGCAGACTGCTGCTAATCCAGGTGGGCTGGTGGGAGTAGAGGGAGGGCAAAGGTAAAAAAGGCAAGAAGGATGTGACATGGATAAGAGAAATAAAGGGCTGGGGGTGATATCTGAGAGGGGCAGGGTGGTTTGAGGTGTGAGGACGGGAAAAAAGAGAGGAGAAAAATGAGCGCAGCAGAGCAAAATATGGAGAGTTAGGGCAGGAAAAACAAAAGGAAGAAGTAAACAGATGCCGGGGAAGAGAAACACACACTGAGATGGTAAGCAAGAGGGAAAGTGGCTTTGAGTTGATTTATGAGAAGACAAAAACAATTGTTTAAGGCATTTCTTTAAAAGGAAAAGACCCAGACAGATCAACTTTTAAACCATCATTAAGGCTTCACTTCCCATTTAGCTTTTTTGTGTTTTTGTCTCAGCTTTGTCTCAGTAAGATTTAAGGCTAAAAGATAGATTGTTTGAACATCACAGATTTAATGTGTGCATGCACAATCGTGACATCACCCGATGTGCTGAGCCAGTCAAATGATGTGAAACATGTCATGTCTTTCTTGTTGTCCAGGATGTTGTGTGTGTGTGTGTGTGTGTGTGTCTGTGTGTGTGTGTGTGTGTGTGTGTGTGTGTGTGTGTGTGTGTGTGTGCGCGTGTTTGTCTGTGGTTTACATGACCCGAGAGTGTAAACATGCTCCCAAGCTGAAATGCTGCTGTTGTCACAAATACTCCAAAACGGTGAAATGAAGTTTGAAACAGAGCTCTACTGCAGACTGCTGAACAAACTAACTGGTCCATGGTGTGAACATCAACACCAACACATGCAGCGCAAGTACATGATGTGAATATTCTAAGTAGAAGTATGTAGATTTTGTTCATCAGTCATGTTTAAGTACTAATGTGTTGCTTCTCCTGCACCTACTCTCTCATCCCCTGGTCTCCATGTGGGTGTCAGAGCTGCTGTCAGAGGGCTGGACACAGTGTTATCTGAGTAGGAAGGTTTCAATATGAAAATAGACTAAGATCCAAATTAGAAATATTGCAATTATGTTGTAGAAAATTGTGTTTCAAAGCATTAAGAATCAACTGCATTTAGCTGGTCTCAGATTCTCTCTTTTTTCAAATTGCATTATTTATTTTCCCAGAGAAAGAAAATGCTGTTAGACTTTTCCAATAATTAATATGATTGTAAAAAGATTTATTAAAATAGAAGTGGTCTGAACTGTTGATGGTTACTACTTTCTGCCTGTTAATTCAAAATAAAGCAAAAATATCCCCTGGAAGAGGCATTTATGTTGTTTGGAGACAGAGTTAGTTGATAATAGGTTTATCTAGGGCTGGGTGTTAACGTTTAGCTTCTTTGGTCAACCAAAACACAATGATGAGTTCATGAAAACACAAGATTTCTGGCCTAGATTACAGCTCTGGTCCTGCTGAATCAATAAAAAACCTGGTTCAGATTTTGTACTTGGGCATTATTAAGATCATGCTGGTTCCAAAAGAAGAGAGGAAATTCTCTAGCTGTTTTACCCAAAGGCAGAACTACCCCGAAAGTGTGTAATTAAGACTTTGCTAATGAGTGGGAATTTAATTTTGACAACTTTGGAGCTGACATAGCTTTGAGATTCTTGGGGGCTCTCCTAGGGTGTCGCCCGGACTTTGGGTTTGGAACGAATGCTGTACACTGCTATATGCTCCAGCACTATAATTCCAAAAGTAGAGATATACATGTGTGTTATGAAACGGCATTTTAATCCCCTCTAATTAAAATGTGAACAACACCATTAGTTGCTTTTTTTAATAAAAACCATGCATATAAAAATGTGTCATCATAGCTGCCACACTTTATTGCCACATGGTCCCTGAGGTGACCACAGCAGATTAAAGAGCGCACCAGTTGCTGCAGGTTAATTCACAGCAGCAGAGGAAGCACAGTGGTGTGCACAGAGGTGGACTAATTTCTGCACACCAGCTAAATGAAGTGTCTTAGGCATTAAGCCAGTGTGAAACTCAGACACACAGACTCACCTGTGCATATTAAGTAGTTTTATCACCGCCACAGTCCAAAAATGATTATTAATGTATCTTGCTTTCTGACCTTTTAGGATTACTCTAAAGTGATTGGGGCGGAGAACAACAATTAACCACCGCGGGAGCATGGAGAGCCATGAGTCTCTGGTACTGTTATTTTGGGGTTACAGGCTAAAAAGTTTGGAAACCTCTGCTCTGGTAAATCCATTTGTGCTAACTAAGCTTTAAGCTGTCCGGTTTGAGATTGAGTTGTAATGTAAAATCAGAGGTTTGTGTAGGGCTGGGTGATATGGCCCCAAATCATTTTCACAATATATTGAGCAGTTCACCTCGATAACAGTAAATGGACAATAACTACTCCACAAGCTGCTCACCCCCTCCCACATCAACTTCAGGTACTTCAGCTGCCGCTCCAGCCGCTCCAACTTTCAAACCGTCTTCCATCTCCTCACATGTCTTTCCCTCTTTGGTATGGACTGGATGGGGTGGAGTCACGACACAATGTCCACGATGTAGGACAGCATCTTAAAGGGACATGAGACCATAGCCTACCTACACACACCCAAAACCAACTTTTATTTGTAATTTTTTTTGACACCGAATATATTGACTTGGGCAAAATGACGTTGGGTTATTGTCGTAAATTTCAGTATGGGTAAATTTTCGGTTTATCGCTCAGCCCTAGATGAGATATTTGAGATAATAGAGATATCAGACTGTTATAATAGATTTTAGATATTGACTAGAGATATTTGCACAACAGATTCAATGTCCATTTATGCGAATACAATACACAGCAAAGATAAGCAGGTCTAGTATTAACAGTCATCACATGCTCCTCATTTACTGTCGTAAACTTCATTTAAACTTCATTAAAGATGCTTCATTTGAAAGCACCCTCCTCACCTCTTTGAACCCATATACCCCTCTGTCCCTCAGGAAACATGTTTGTGTGTCACTTTCTGTTAGTGCCATGCACTCCAGAGCTGATCCTCTCCCATTCTAGTCAACGCCTGTGTTACCACAGGGAGTGCTACGACACGTCTCAGCTCCATTCTGGGAAATATGTTCCTCCTCTGCTCTGTGAGAGAGATGCCACGGGTCTATTTCTGATGGAGTCTGCATCCAACATGTCAGGCTGAACGGCCTGACCTGGATGTAATGTCAAACACTGGAGAGGCACATTTTATTCTGTCCATTTAAAACTGAAACACCATGGGAAGCATGCTGACCGTATGTCAGATTGTCTAGATGAGAAATACTTACTGATGATGGATTAAATGTGAAGAACGACAAAACAACACTTCCCCATTTCAACCAGAGTGATCCAGGCTAAATTACACACACCTGCACATGTACATGCGTTTGGAGAAGTCTCCACACCTGTTGCGGCCGGAGGGAGATGGCGGATAATGACGGTGTTAGAGGCAGAAAAAAAAGGCCTCAATAAGGAGGATTAAAAACACAGCCACATTGTTCCTCTTTTTGTTAAAGAAATGTTGAAGGTATTAGCTCGTTCAAGCATGTCTCTCCTGTTGAAAGGACACACATACACACTTCAGGGTCTTTATTTCTACTGAGTAATTGCTGAGACATTTAAGAAGAAAAGCGTATTACACCATCCATATGAATTATCCTGCGCTGCCTAAAATATGGACTGTATATGCGATCCAGATGAGCATTGACAAAAGGAACACACAGGTTTATTTTTTCCTGTCTCCTATTCAGAACTGTACACCAGGATTTGGCTTTATGTGAGCAAACATGCACGCACACACACACACACACACACAAAATGTCCCCTTATACTTCAGCTCCCTTTCCCCTCTATAAAAACAAAGCCCAGTGACAAGCGGTGCTGTCAAATGTGCATATGGTGAACTCGTCAGTGTGTTATGCACACAAAGCAGCTGCCTCACTGTGCTCTCACTCTCTCCTGTGCATCACCGAGTGTTTGTTTGCCTGTTTGTCGCCTCTCGTGTGTTTATTTGTGCATGCGCGTGCACGGCAGCCACACTCTCTCTCCGCGGGGCTTGCTTAACTAAGATTAATTGCACCTAATCCACTGTGCCAGGTGGAACAAGGACCACGGTTGGTGCGCTCACACAAACACACAGACGCGCTCACAAACAGGCACACGCATCCCATTATAGCCTTGCTGCTGAAAATTAGCCTCGTACCTCTCCTGACACCCTGGACCGGAGCACAACTCGATACCACCATTTACTTCCCGACAACTCCCACATTTATCACTGTTGCCTCTGTCCGACAGATGAACACGTGGACGAACAAAACGCCGTGACAGAAGAACGAGCTTTCTGCACTCACACTTCAGCACCAGCTGACCTTGATAACACGCATAAAGACGGTGTTTGTGGTCCTTCCTCTTTAGGAGGAAACAGTGTGCTAAAACTTAATGTCTTTGACAGATGCAGCACATTTTTAGGAAGTGCTGAATTCTGAAGCACAGCAGAATTCTATTGGGCTAGTGGCAACACGACAAGGGCAGCAACAAGCTGACTCAAAATGATAGCGACTTTGTACATAAATTGATAATAATGAAGTTTAAAATAAAACAAAAGACTCTTGTATCTTTGGTGACTTTTCAAAGTTTGGGTTAAAAAGTAAGTCAATAATGCTGATTAAGATTACCCCGGGCACACTCCTATACTGGACCTGTTGTGATTGGCTGGGCCATTAATGCTTGCTTTAAAGAAAGTGGATGGGATTAAAATAATCCCAATTTGAAAGGTGATTTCGAAGTAAATTTTTGCAAAGCTTAATTTGAAACTACTAAACAATGATACTAAAATAACTGTGCTGTCAGCAGATTAAACAAACTAACCTCAATAATTACAGAGTTAATTAAAAGATAATCCCACATTTAGTGCTGGACGATAATTCAATAACAATATATATCGATCGATAGACGTGTGGTGCGATAGAAAAAAAACGGGTCGATAAAATGTTCGATAGAAAAACACAGTTTCCCTTTCTTTTTCATCATAGCCTATCATGTAGCTTTTACTACAGTCATTACTTCCTCCCAACCAATCACAAACGCAGACCCAGGTACGCTACGGCACCAAGCCCAGCCCCTATCAAACCACAACAGACAGCATGTGTATTAGAAAAAATGATACAGCAAGGAGAAGCGGAGGACATTGTCCCGAAAAAAGGTTTCAGTAGTTCACCAGCATGGCAATGTTTTGGTTTTTAGAAGTCTGACAAAAAGCGAACAGCGGTCGTTTGCAAAATTTGCAGAGAATTAGTAAAAACGAAGTCTGGTAACACAACCAACTTGTTTTACCATCTAAACCGATCGCACCCGCAGGAGTACGAGCTGTGTCGGCCCAGAGCAGTAGATTCTGTGTCGGCCGCGCCGCGGCTCCACGTCATCGTCGGAGGAATCCTCTGGAACCGCTGCCAGCACCAGCACAAAGCATGTGAAGCAGACCAAACTGGACTTCGTTTCTTGCCAAAATACGACAAAGCGTCCGAGCGGCATAAGGACATCACCCATGCAGTAACATGCTCCATAGCGAGGGACATACTGCCAATAACTACCGTTGAAAAGCCTGGCTTCAACAGCTTCTAGCCACTCTCGACCCGCGATATGAAGTGTCCGGCCGCAAGTATTTCTCAAACACAGCGCTTCAGGCATGAAAATGGGTCAGGGGTTGAAAAGGTGAGAAGGGTGCGGAGGAAATACGTTCCGGTGTAGCTTCTTAAAGTGGAAGAAAATGAGCTCATATTTTACAAAGACGCGAGTATTTGGATCATGGCTACTAGCAGGGGTGCATTCTACGACACAACACCGGCGTGGATAAGTCCTGCTTCTCGTGCTTAGTTTGTGTATTAAGTCAATCACATGATAATTAAAAAAAATAAATCTCCCGACCCCGGGAGAAATATTTCAGTGTTCAGACACCAGGCTGTGGGCAGTTTCCCACACAGTTAAAACTGGTAGTATGCTATTCCCACCTAAAGCTATTCTGTTTATTTATATATTTGTTTATTTTCATCAAAAGATTATTTAAATATTTATTTATCAGATTTTCTGGTCACTTTAGTCTTTATGTTTGTCAGTATTTACTGACGTCACTCAGGCCACTTGAGTTGATTACTTTTTTTTTTTTTAAGTTCTTTTTTAAAAAACTTTCAGTTGTGGTAAAATAAAAAAGGTGGTTGAATAAAGGTTTGAATTTGAATTCAGTGCTTGTGTGTTCTTTATTAAAAGTAGGTCATTAAGCAATAGCATAAAACATCCAGGGCTGCAATTAAAATATATGTTAAATAATTATAACAATTATATCGATAATTATCGATATCGATCAATATGATTTATTTTTTATCGATATGCTTTTTTTCTATATCGTCCAGGCCTACCCACATTTCAGTTGCACCCTAAAGGACCCCAATGTGAGTTATGTACATTTTTTAACCTGATATTTTTTTCTGTAATTCATCAAAAATAATGCCCCAAAAAATATGTTTTAAAGTCGCTTCACTCCTTGTTCAATAAACATTTACTAACATTCATGTTAAAATTATTTTCAGTACACAGTAAAAAAAAATTGTCTGTACTCTGCATTATAATAATTAAAAAGACAGTGTAAGGTTCACATATTTATTTCAAACAGTATCATAAACAATTCTAATTATTGTTATTTCCTGACGGTTATAAAGTGAAACTGAGATGTGCAATGACTCATTATTTTCTCCAGATTGAACCTCAGAGGGATCAATAGTCATGTCAAAGGTCAGCGGCTGTAGTGCCATGTCTGATTCACACATACTTGCACACACAAGCGTCCCATTGGGCACCCCACTTAGCAGATTACCTTCCCAGAAGAAAGACAGGCGGTTACTGTCCTTCCTCTTATTGCACCTGTCTCTCTTCTTCCTCCTCTCTTGCTTCACTCCTCCATGGTAACATGGCTCAGTCACCTCCTTCTCCTCCTATATATGTCACAATGATCTTAAGTGGGAGTCCTCATTAAACTTGAGGCTTTGAGGTCATTCGGGTCACACATACGCACATGTCGGTATCCCCCCTCCTTTTTCCTCTGTTATTTCTTTTCTGTCCTTTGAGATAAACTTGGGTACACTTACATCAGCACAGCCATTAAATTTCAAATGCATACGCTCACATTCACATGCACATACACTCAGGGCTGCTTCGTGTGCTGCTGGCTGATGCATACATCAAAAAAATGTAACCTCTGAATGATTTTTCGGACACTCTTGGATTGATTCATATTTTTAGCTGGCTATCTCAACCATTTATCCACTTTATTTATCCATTATAAGCCAAAGTACTTTGTAATCCTTTAATAATTTTTGGGTATAAATTACTGGTCTTGATTATTAACAATGCCTTCAGGTACTGTCTAGTGTTGATTTCATTTTCATCCTGTTTTGTAAGCGTGGTTCCTTTTTTTTTTTTTTTTAACTCTTGGCTTCTTTTTATCAGCAGATGAGTCAGTCCAGTTTTTTTAACCACTCAAAGTGCCTGCACATGTTTGTGCTTGCATTTATGGGTTCATCTGTGTGTCTTTATGCGTGTGCTTCAGGCAGGAAGCAAAATATTACTTTGTCCATCATTTTTTACAGAAAGAGAGGGAGAAAAACAGAACAGATCAAAAGAATCAATGCAAAGCTTACGTAGGTAGTAGCACTTATGAGCCCGCTCAAGGGCAATGTCTGTTAGCTCAGGGCCTAATCGGCGTATTGTATCGTGCCAGTGGGACAAAAGATGCACTGGCTTACAAATGAGGCCTGGACAGAACCTGACAACTCTGACGATTTCCTCCTCAGTGTCTGTTCATGGGGAAAATAAGATTTTCAGACACCTTTCTCAGAGCCTTTATCATGTTAAATCTCTGTCACTTGGGAAGCATGGATGGGGTGGAAGGGGATACATGCAATATTGTAAGCATTTCAAAAAATGCACAATGTATCTCAATTGAACGCTTTTTGAACGTGTCACCTCAAGGGTGTTGGGGAGAGACATTGCTCTGCATTTGCAGATTTCACATCATGCGTGTCCTTGAGAATAACTCTTGTGTCATTTCATTCCTTTCCATTCATCTGATCGCGGTGACATTGTTTCCACTTTCTTGCTTGATTATATTTCAGTCCACGAGGACCGGTTTCTCCTCAAAAGTGAATCACATTTCCCTCTCAAACATGAATCATATTGACCCTAAAATGCACAGGGCAACATCGAAACACCGGGTCCCCAGGAGCCCAGGACTCTCCGGTTTGTCAGGGATTTGTAATGCGATAAACTTACTCAGAGGTAGGGACAAACACATTAGTATCATCAGGTATTCTCCAGTCCTCTTCAGGGAATATATGAGGAGTAGCAAGGTTAGAGGATGATGGGTAACAAGAATGCAGCAAAGCAACAACAAGGCAGAACAGGCTGTAGGTCTCAAGGTCTACAAACACTGAGGTACACTCTATTCTTTATATTAGACATTAACACATGTAGTGCTTTGTTTACTTAAATAAGGCGAAAAGTTAGACTTCTTTAAGGGTAGTGGCAGAAGTGCGCACTCTCAATTTAATGTTACAAAAGAGCTCTGAGTGTGTGTTGAGGAATAAATGTGTCAGGCGCAGAGTGCAGAGGTAAAGTAGGTTGTCAGATGTGTGTGTGTGTGTGTGAATGGGTCAAGGGTGTGTTAACTAAAGCTTGATGTACTGAGTCTTAGGGGAGGATAAAAAAGCAAAAAGCAGCAGCCGAGGAATTACAGCCCCCTGCACTTCCAAACACTGGTATAATAAAGTGTGTCTTTAAATCGTAATGCTTCTAAACATTTGTTTTTGTTTTTCTCTCAGCTCTGAAGTATTTATGAAATGCCAGGATGAGCATGCTTTGCTGTCATCTGCGGAAAAAATATGCAGTTAGTCGTTTAGAACAGCCAGCAAAACTTGCAGTCCCATAAGTTGTTTGAAATGGTTGTTTTTTTTTTCAGTGTAAACTCTGGGAGGAAAAAAATCCATTTATATGTAAAGAAAAACTCTTGACTTTGATCAGACTGAACTGCACTGCTTCTCTTGAGAATGCAGTTCAATCACAGGCATATATTGATGTGCTGAAACTAAGCTTTGAAGAGAAATTTTTTTCAGCATTCATCCGAAGCCCACCTCATCTCTCCACCTCTATTGCACCAATTAGAGGAGAGATTTTTGACTTGAATAATGCAATAATTCTTTATTGCATAGTTATTGGCCCTGTAGCCACTTTTTAAAATTTGAACAACATCCCCTCACAAAACTGAGCAACAAGTCAGAGAAATTTAATACCATTTTCTTTTATTACTTGACGGCTCAACTTGACATTAGTGGAAATTAGCGTTGCCCATTGGTTGTGTGCGTGCGTGCGTGTATGTGATTATGTATGTGACGTGTTAAACCGCAGCAGACTTTCCAGGCAAGACCTGTCAACCTGTCAAGAAGGTGATTAGAAATTACTGTGACACACACACACACACACACACACACACACACACACACACACACACACACACACTTACATTTGTACGCAGCTACATGCATCCCCACATGCAGAAATTCGCACACACACACACACACACACACACACACACACACACACACACACACACACACACACACACACACACACCAGCACATATCCTGTGCTGAGATGTTGTAGCCTGCAGCCTGCATGCAAGGTCTGATGCAGTTCACCTCTTGTGTCATTGAGTATTAGAGTATAGACTATCTGTCTGGTTCATGGCAAAGAGAGACACACACAAGCACACTCACACACACACACACACACACACACATGCTGTTAGTGTTTTGTTGGTTTTCATGCTTAACATTACTGCCCAAGGTGAAGGGTTTGGCTTCAAGCTGATAAATAGTCTGAGTACCCGTAAACACACACACACACACACACACACACAGGTGCACACACTACTCTGTAGATGTACAGCATGGTGCAGAACATGCATCCTAAGGCATTGCGCATCTCACAGTTTGCTTTTCCACATATGTAAGAGTACACACACATGCTCAGAAACTACACCCCTCCTCTCCAACGTTTTGCACCTTCACTCCCAATCACGTCCTGTTCCTTTCTCCTACACTTCATCTCACCATGGGTTCTCTTTTTGAATACACATTCATTTCGTCTCGCACAAACACTCTCACACACAAACTCACACGAGCGCACACATGCACAATCAAGGTGTGATATGGGCAGACTTTTTCTCCGTCTGGCCCCAGGACCCCGATTGATTGATAGGGAAGGTGGCAGTGCAGCAGAAATAAGTGAAGAAAAGCAGGGCTGCATGGTCTTTCCTCTGCACTTTGATGTTAGTGTTGAATCTGCTGTTTCTGATTAATGTTACCATCAGTGTCCATGCATTATTACCAGTTCCATTGAAATGCATTAAAAGCAAACAAGAAGTCCTATATCATTTGTACCTTTTGAACAGAAAAACAGCATCAAACCACTTTGTTGTTTTTGATTGACCAGTTGACTCACCACAGACTAAATCAACTTTGTTATTGCATGGTAGATGCATCTGTCAAGCTCCTTTCATTCACGTCTTCTGATTTGATTATGGGTCTCCTTTTCCTCCTTGTGCTGATCATAATGCTAAAATACCACCTTGAAGAGGCGCCGTCAGTCTGCCCAGTGAAGATCAGCCTGGAACTGTTGTACCGATGACTTTCCAAATCAGCTAATCAAAACACACATTTAACTAAATGGTAAAACAACAACGATTGCCAAGGCTGACAAACTTCAGCTTCTTGCGTCAGTTGGATGCTAATCTCCATTTACTGATTCAGTATAAATATGTATAATCAGTACTTGAGGTCTGGATTATCAGCATGGGGAGAGTTCTGGTACATTTGTAGCCTAAGTAGTATTGACGAGTCACATATCAGCAGGCTTTTGTGTCTGCAGGAAAAAAAACTGTTTGTGTAGAGAAGAAAAGTGGGCACACACATTTCACTGTCCTGACACTCAGGCTCCCATTAAGTGGTAATCTGTCAACTATCTATTCATCTTTATAGACAAATATGCTGGCAAGTGCTACCAATTGTCAGTCATCGATCAAAATATCATCCTCAGTGACAAATTTGCTCGACTGTGTTGCATCAGTGTTGACAATTTCTGACTAACTGCAATACATCACAAACAATGGATTTGACATGTAGGGCTTCCAGGAGTACAAAGTTTAACGCTTTTATCCTGTGTTAACAATTTTGCATTCAGCAATGTGCAGTTTTGGTACAAGTGTGTATTTCTAGTACTATCTGTTTTCACCATCCTTCTTACTAATGGTGTAGTACTTGTGCTCTCAAGAGGGTACTGTTGATAGTTGTGAGTTATGCAGCCACTGAGACTGCACCACACACCCCTACCTAAGGCTGGGCGATATTGCCTTAAATCAATATCACGATATATTAAGCAGTTCACCTCAATAACGATAAATGGACAATAACTACTCCACAAGCTGTTTACCCCCTCCCACATTAACTTCGTCTACTTTGCTCCAGCTGCTCCAACTTTTGAACTGTCCTCCATCTCCTCACCTGTCTTTCTCTCTTTGTTACTGGATGGGGTGGAGTTACGTCTCCAACCTCGGACAGTGTCTTAAAGGAACATGAGACCACAGTGTACCTACACACATCCAAAACCAACTTTTATTTATTTGACACAGAAGTTACCGATATGGGCAAAATGACATCAGTTATTGTAGTAAATTTCAGTATCGGTAAATTTTTGGTTTATTGCCCAGCCCTAGTTGTGAGTTATGCAGCCACTGAGACTGCACCATACACCCCTACCACTCACTTGTTACTCTAAATCAAGTCTTCTCCATCAGACCAGCACTCCACAGGGCTTGTTTTGGTGATAGTTTACCACCATTTTCTGTCAATGTATTATTTTGACCTTATAAGGGCGACTGGTCCCGCTCACTATGCATCCAGCATGATTTGCAAATGGAGAACTATGTAAAATGACAATCCTTTGCTTGAGGAACAAACAAATTCAAACAAATTCTTTGACCTTTGTCCGTCTGTTCACATGGAGGAGGCAGAGTTTGTGAGCTGTAACGTATCCAGTCACGAGGAGTAGCTCCTAATGCTTTGGTTTCACCATGAGGGAGTTATGTCATCAATTTTTATATCGTCCATGTTTGATATCTTCTACTTGAGACATCTGGGAGGACATATTTTCACTTTCTGTTTCTCTAACTTCATTAACACAAATATTTGTCAGTCCATATGCACATACCTCATTGCTGCATTTCTTGTATTCAGCTGCACATCATCTGTACATCTAACATCATTTCTCTTACCCCATATAGTGTGAATTCTCTAGAACTTTACTTCTGAGTATATAAACAATCATATACCCACCTAAGTCCGATGGTACCAAAGTTTGTTTTGTTATTTGTTCCGCAGCTGTAGTTCTTGGTTCATAAACAAACAAGGTAGTGATCCTGTGGCATTTCCCTGGATCTGTGCTCCGGATTGGATCTGTGGAGGATGAGCTGGCTGCTCTGCCACTGGCCTGTTCTCTCACTCTGCCATCTGAATCTCAGTTAAGCCATCAGGCGGCATCTCAGTTTGCTCTCTGCATGTATCCTCTGTCTATTTCCTTCTGACCAGGGTACAGCTTGTCATAGATAGTTTGTCAGACTGTCTTCCTGCTTGAGGGTCCCGCGGAGGTAGAGTTGGTCTTTCATGGCTTTGGAAGTCATTTAGTTGTTAACTTTTTCAATGACTTTTATGTTGTTGTATAAATAAACATCAAGTACAAAGAGGACTGCGTTTTTCACTTTTAAGCCCCAGTGTGTGATCTGTGTACTTTGAGGACAATCGAGCTTGAAAATGATCACACATTTAGTCGCTTTAACCTCAGGATTATGGCTGTTGTTTTGTTTGTCTATGTAAAAGACATAAAAAAAAAAAAAACTGGAAGGAAAAGCAAAAGCAAGTGTGCCAATTAATATAAAACGATGCATATTCGAGTTTACAATATTGATGTTCAGCCAACGTTTTGTTTGCTTTAGCTTCACGCTCAGGGACGTAGTTTAAGAAAAACAGAAAATATTCTTCCAAAACCCCAGTTGGAAAAAACATGATCCAAACACAGTTATTTGTAATACACAAGATCCTCAAGCATTAGCACAACCACTTGGCTCTACTTTCTGTTTCCAAAACAAATTAGAAACGATTTGTGAAGAGCTACATGTTGCTGTTTCTGCAGAATGATCTTTAATTTCTGCCAAGAATCCTTCTCTCTCTCTGTTTGTGTTTGCTCCATGGGCTCTTGGTCACTCCGTAGCTCTTGGAGGCTTAGTTGACCTGCCAGCTCAGGGAAACTGTGTGTTGTCTCGGTTTCTTTGATTGTGTACTTCCCATTGAAATTCTCCTCTGAAGTTATTCCATAGCATTTTCCTGATCCATGCCTTTATCTTCTATCTACACAGTCAGCAGACTCAGCCCACAGTGGTGTTGTGATGATTAGGACACAGCTAACCCTTTAAAATTGTAAGAAACAAACACTGTCTCCAAGATTTGACATAAAAAAGAAAGACAATTTTGAAGTCCTTTATGTTAACGGAAAACCAAGACAAGTGTACTGTTGGTACATTGTTGGGAATTCACCATGTAATCTTAAAGGATACAAGTTAAAATGAATTGAAAACAAGTTTTTTAAAAGGAAGGATAAGTTGGCAGGAGAACATACTCGCTTCATATATTTTTGATGTGCTGTAGGACTAGACAGCCAAAGTTTCATTTCTCCACTTTTGGTTTTTTAACCTTTATTGAGCCAATAATAAATCTTAGGTACTGCTGTGATAAAGTCTATCATGAGCTGAATGAACACTTAAACATTATCATATCAAGGCATAGAAAAATGAAATGGCTCTTCTTTAGATCATAAACCTAAAGCTCATGACCATAACTGAGGGTTGGAACATGAATCTCTTGCCTTCAGTACCTCCTTCACCACGATCATCTGGGGCATCAGCAATGCTGCACCAAGACATCCATCAATCTCACAATCCATTTAACCCGCACTTGTGAACAAAACCCCTCCCCCCACCAGGAGGTTCGCTGTTCACAGTTTTCTGGCAGAGAACCATGGTCTTGGACTTAAAGGCACCAGGCGCAATTACCCCAGCGTCTGCCAAACTGCCAAAGCCCAATCTGGAACCCCCGGCTTCTCCTCGACATCCTGTAAATGACGATCGCCACCAACGGAATTGGTGGAAAAGGGCAACCATGGTAGATGCCTGAATAAATGAGAACACGGGATACAAGCGCCTGAAATGAGTTTGCTCTAAGAGTTGGCCTGACTCAGATGTTGAGATTGGGTCCAAAGCTTTGACATTTTGAGGGAGCTTGACTAGTAGAAGAAGAGAGCTGCTACTTCTTCCATCCAAAGGTGACAGTTTAGCTAGTTAAGGCATCTGATAAAGAAACCTCCTGGGCACCTCCCTCTTGAGGGATTTCCAGGCAAATAGGAGGACAACCAGAATCTGCCGAGGGATTTTTTTTTGTGTGTGTCGTTGGAACTCCTTGAAATGACCAAGAAAGAGCTGGAATATGAAGTTGAGAAGTTGAGATGATTGGGGAAACTTGCTTCACCTGCTGACATTAAATAAATAACATGTTGAGTATTGGTTAGGGCAGAACCTCAGATTATAAATGTAGGGGTTGTTATTCAAACATTTTTAAGTAGGGGTGTCCCGATACAACTTTTTTTTACTTCCGATATCGATATTGTAGCCTTCAATATTGGCCAATACTGATATTAATCCGATATTGGCACGAAATTGCGCATGACAAGTTTTGCACTCAGCTGCAATGTCCTTTTCGGACTTAAACAAAAAAATACTGCTACAAGGTGGACATCACTTTTACTCCTTGCTACTTTGTAAGTATCTCAGTACACACTGTTGCATGTTGGATCTCAGTGCTCATAGATAGAGGTGCTGGAGCAGAGTCTGGAATGGACCGCTTGTATCGGAGTGCTGATATCGGAGATTTTAAATGCAGGCCGATATAATCCAATATCCGTTTTTTTGCGGTTATTGGACCGATATCCAATATCAATATCGTATCTGGACACCCTTATTTTTAAGTAGTAAAACACTAAATTTTGGCTAGTAGTGTCAGTGTATTATTACTGCACCTAGCTGTAACACTGAGCAGGTAACAGCTACAGCAGGACCAAAATAAAACAGATTATTTTTAGAACTTTTTTTCCTGTCTAAAAACTTAGTAATTAGATGCCCCACATACAGATTTTGTTCACATTTTCAAGTTTTAATGAACTGTGCAAAGAGTTGACGATTGGATGAGAAACGACAGAGCTGATTGGTTTCCCTGCCTCTGTTGTCAATCCTCCGGCCTTCAGACTTTGCTCTGGAGACAGATCACTTTGTGCACAATTTCCCTGCTAATGAAGGGGTGTTAGGGCACGTATACACATCAGTGGTGTTGAGAGGTAACTACACATACTGATTGGCAAAGAACTGCAGATACAGTGTTTCAATGGCAGGCTGCCATCCCTCTCCATTGAGCTCTATGTGTTTTTGGGTGTGCTGCCGGCCTGCCCCTGGGCAGAGTTGCTCATTCCATATTCTCTGACTGCCACAAACACTCTCTACCTCCCTCATGCCCTCTCTTTTTCCTCTTCTGTCACTCCTTCTACTCCTTCTCTCCTTTCTCTATTCTCACCTTCTCGTTTTTATCACCACAGACTCAGGGATTATGAAGACAATACTTGAACCATCCCCCACCTGCCAACCCTATCGGTTATTTTTTTCTCTGTGAAACATAGCATACGTGCATTACTGCAGAGGGTTCGTCACTATGCTTAAGATCACAGCCAGAAAACACACACGCAGCGCCAGACACCACTGACACCTCCTCCTCCTCCCTCCTCTTTGGTTTGTCACAGAGCTGCTACAGGGACTGTAATCTCTTTTTCCCCTTCATGTACCCTATCTTTCTCCTTTGCTCTCCCCCTTTCCATCCCCACCCCCATGTGTTCTCCAATCTATCTGTCCAGCTTACTTTGTCTCACTGGCCACGTCAATCACTGCATAAAAGGCCAGATTAAAAGACTAGATTAGTATAGGACATGGCGTGAATAGTGCATCTCTGCCTGTCTGTCCTAAACATGAGCTCTGATCCAGATGTCTCTAAAAAATCGGTGAGACCTGATCATCATGAGGAAGAAGCTCTCCAGCTCTGCCTTTCTCGTGGGCAGATCAGTGCCATTTGTTTTCAGTGCGGCGCACAGCAGAGGCAGTGGTACGCGCAACTGTGAGTGAGAAGAGTGTGTATGTGTTTGTGGGAGGTTTGTTAAGCTGTATAAATTAATCAAAATGAACCTGGGAATAGTGTGAGCGTGACTGCAAACTCCCTCTGCACTTGATCCCAAAACAAAGTCCCAATCCTCTTTGTGAGCGCACATAGCTCTGGGAATTTAAAACGCCTCGAAGTGACCAACCGAAACATTAATATGTTTCGACCAAAGTCACCCCCTGCTTTACATAACAACACAACCACGGGTGCAATTCAGGACTTTAGAAAGGAGCTAAAAAGAGGCATGTCACCTTTTTTTGACATCACATATCCTTCCCTGACTCCCAGTTTGGTTCCTCTTTCTCCTTCTTCAATCAGTCATACTTAATTTGTGGAGCACTCCTTATGCAACAGCTATGTAACACAAAGTGCCTTTCATAATACCAGAATAAAATAGAGTAGAAGTACATAGGACCAAACTCACAATCCATATACGAGATAAAGAATGTGTCATAAATAAGAGACTCAAAAGAAAGGAGCTGACAAACCCAGGAAATACTGTCATGACATCTTAATGGGGAAAAACTGGAGGTAAGATTAAATGTTAAACTTAAGATAGGGGGGAAAAAGTCATAAGATCGAGGTTTATAAATATGAGAATTCAGTAAAAGAGTTAAGATAATAAAGTTGAATAAATTATGTTAGATACTAAAAAATTAAGTCTATGAATAAATAACAAAAAGAAATTTAGAATAGTAAAATAGACAACATATGAGTTATTGAAACAGACTGAAAACACTGAATAAGTCACTAAGTTGAGCAGTTTTAGATAAGAAATAAAACATTTAGTTAAAAGCAAGAATGAAAAGGTAGACTTTAAGTTTGCTTCTAAAATATGAATACTCTGTGCAGTCCTCAGGTCTTCTTCTGGTGGGCCATTTTACAGACATCGGTCAAATCATATAGAGCTGCCCCATTTGTAGGGCTTAGTTTTGGTTTTTGGCACCATTAGAAGACCACTACCAAAAGACCTAAGGGCTCTCACTGTCTCATGATCCAAAAAGCAAACTGACCATTAAGGAGCTTTAGAAACCAATAAAGGAAACTTAAATCAAATTTAAAAGATGCTGGTGCGAATGCTGTAGGCTGGATGAAGCTGCAAAACGTGCTTTTAGGGAGGCCAGAAAGAAGAGTGCTGAAGTACTCAGGCTGCCTCCTTATCCCATTTTCTTCTCCAAGATTCCTCCTCCTTATCCCATCCTCCTCAGCCGATCTACTCCACTATTTTTCCTTACATGTGATTCCCACTATCTTTTTTTCCCCCAGCTTTGCAGTTTGTTCCCGTTAACAGCCCTAGTAGGAGAGGAATGTGCGACACAGGCTTGGGTCTAGGGGGCCGCAGCTGCCCAATAACACCCAGATTTATCAACCTCCTCCAGCCAGCCTGCATGGAGATGCTGTTTTGCTCGCTTGCTTTGGTTGTTACTTACAGCCGACGAGGCAGGTTGTTTGTATTTCTGGCTGTGCGTCCTTAGGATGTGTCGAGCGTATGAAATGGCTCCCTTCACAATGTATCTGGTTTTCTCTGCAGGAGCTGAAGCCTGCCTGTGTATCTATCAAGCCTTTCTCCCTCTGCCAGGATAAATTACTGACATAAGGAATGAAAGGATGACTGGTGATCCCTTCCCCAAGTTTGTAGTGAGAAATCTCCACAACTCCTTGATAACAGGAGATGAAGCCTTTGTTTTCCCCTTTGTTTTGGTGCATTTATCCTTCATATCTCTGTTGCTCATTTCTTTTCGCTGTATTCTCACATCTTCGATCTCTGTCCCTCTGTTCGTACACCATGTCCACTTCCAGATGGAGACCAGATATATTCATAGATCAAAATGAAAAAAAGAAAAAGAAAAACTCGACAAGCCAATATCAATGAGGTAAATTCTGTATCTAAATATTTCTCTCCCTCTCTATTTCCTTCATCCATCCCTCTCCCTACCTCTCTTCCTGCTTCTAGTCCAGTACCAGATGGAGATGATGCGTTCCCTGCGTCACGTCAACATTGACCATCTGCATGTGGGCTGGTACCAGTCCACCTACTATGGCTCCTTTGTCAGCAGAGCTCTCCTCGACTCCCAGTTCAGCTACCAGCACGCCATTGAGGAGTCAGTCGTTCTCATCTACGGTAGGAGGACCCACACAAACTACTGGAGAATAGCTGTGCTTAGGAATTTACTTTTGTTTTATTTCACTCATCCTTAAATTTGGATCAGAAGTTCTTAGACAGACTCTATTAAAATAAGTTTTCAAGAATATGGTTTCCCCTTTTTTATAAGCTGAAACCATTGCATTGTCTTGCACAAGTTTCCACCCCTGTTGGACATTTTACAGTTTTAGGAATTTGAATTATCCAGGATTTATTTTGGCCTTTTTGAGTATCAAACAAGAACACTTCAAAAGCAGACACATGTTGGATATGAAAATTAACCTTAAAGCAAGTGGTTGCACGAAATCCTGGTCTGTATTGTATTGAGGTTTGAATACCTTGTACTATTAGCCTATCTGATGATATCACAGAAAACTCTCTTGAAGCCCATTTGAATACAACTCTAATTTGTAACATGACGACATAATGGATAAATCCGAAAACTAAGGCAAAGCACTGCATGCTGAAAACAAATTTATTAATTGATTATTGGACAATACATAAATAAATGGATGTATGTCATACCCAGCCACTCTTTTTATTCGTTGATGTAATATTGAGTCCATATTTTGGAAACGAGTGAAGTACCAAAGTTCAGATTTACTGTAAGGTGAAAAAAAAAATCCTTTTCCTTCTCATTAGTATTCTCTTTAAAACTAAAACCTTTGCCTGTAAGATATGCTTAAATAGTCATGATGGGTTCAGCTGTCGGTCAGTACATCTAATGGTCTGTTGGGCAGGTCCCGTTTTTACAGTCTCCATCTCTAACACAGAAAGCTTTATTGGCAAAGCTGTAAAAGAGCAAAGAGGTCTGATCTGCCTCTTTATTGTCACCTGCCACACAACCAGTCATTCTGATGGCCACTAGTGTTTAAGGCTTTTGCCGGTAAGAAACAGTTTTAAGCAAAGTGATATACACAGTAGCTCCACAGAAAATACAAACCAGTTCAGTCTTTTGTAACAAAACCCCTTCAATCACAAAGGCAAGGTTCAATGAAGCAGGTCAGCTTTTGATTCACTTTGTGGGGTACTAAAATGGGGCTGAGCTGCCGCAGCCATTTGTAGTTGATGCTAATGTAAATAATGATCAAAGGATCCCAAGTTAAATTTAGTTTCTTTTGTTCAAAAGCTTTCTGAAAATAGGGCTGCCTCATGGTAGGTTTAAAATATCCTGACGTGACTGACATGTAAAGTCTTTGTGAAAAACTGATGTTCCAGGTTTTCCAAAAGATTATTTCAGGTTAGAGAATGCTGATAAACAAGCGATTGCTTTTAAGGTAAATCTTACTAGCCGTTGCCCTCACATTACATCTAAAGTCAACCCTTAGAGACTAAAAAAGAAAATGTTAAGGTTTACTGTTAGTGCAGAATTGCTTCAAATGCTATTTTCTGCTGGTGTTTTATCAAAGGAGCACCAGTACAGGTTGGATGGAGACCTACAAATAACTACCCGATTCAAACACCTCATAAACCTGTGGTGTTGTCCTTCAAGTAATTCATCAATGGCAGCTGAAGAAGTCACCATGTGACGTCTTGTCTCATGGAGGTGCAGCACATGTCTGTCTGCAGCAAATGAAAGGACATCAGTGTAGGAGGCTGTGACATTCAGCAAACAGGCAAGATCCACAGGATTAACAAGGACGCTTGATGCCACTAACATGACACTTGCAGACGTCATGTGTATGCACCTGCCGCACAGTGAAAACCTTTAAGAGCTGTCCATAATTTCCACACCACAAATGCCATCCCAGATGGTGTAAGCTTTCTTTCAGATGACAGGAAATTAATGCCTGCCACTTTCATACAGCATGCATTTAACTCCTCTGTGTCTCAGTAAATTATGATTCATTACTACAACTCGCCTCAAAGGAGTCATTGAGTTCAGGGGCGGTAATTAAATATATTACACAAATATGTGCTCATTTAAATACATGACAAAAGTAATGTGGTTTTTACAACACCAGATCTATTGTTGTACATAAATAGCTGGTTTGGGACTTCTATAAGCTATGACACAATTCAATATAGGCAAAATTCCCAAATAGCTTAAAGGCTCCTTTTTTTTTAGTCTGTCAGTGTAACACGTGTTATTATTGTTTTAGCAGATTCTACAAAAAAATTAGGAACTCTTGGCTGGGCCCTGGATTTCAGTATGGAAAGTGTCCATGCTTCTGTTTGTAGTGTATTTGACCTAGTATCCTAGTATAGACTAATCACGCATCAGCAGCCTTTGATGTATACAGGAAAGTCACTTAAAACAGGACAAAGAGAGTATTGATTGCAAAAGTAGGTGGAATACAATTGTCTATGATGACGTCTTGGCCCTCCGTCACAGAATCTGATGGTGGTTTATTCGCCACTCAAAACAAATATCTGCACGCAATTGTAGCTGACAATCTGGAGCGGGGATAATACCGCTGTAATTGGTGAGCAAGATTGAAGCCTTTGTGCAACTTTTGGGGATGACTGGAGCCAAGAAATAATTTGCAGTCAGACAGTTTCTGGAGGGACAAATTTTGCTTGTGGTCTGAGCACACAGCCCAGTCTCTCCATATGTTGCTAATTGGAGTGTAAACAATGTAGTTTATTGAAAAGGAGGTCTTGACCAGAAGTCATTAAATGCTGACCCCTGACTACTCTGGCATGCCCAAAAAGCTAGTTATGAAATCAAGAGGCAAACATTGTTGCCTGACGATTACCAACGAGATCTGAGATTGTGTACCTCTGTGCAGACTAAATCTTTTCGTTTTATGAAGTGAAAAGAAGAATTGCGCACAGCCAGGGTGACTCACAGTCTTCTATTAAAACAGCTCCGTGTTTATCCACTCACTTCAAGTCAAGACAGAGCCGGCAAGCCAAAGTGTCATTTGACAAACTGATGGAAGAAGCTGGGAATTTCATCAATGTTTCCCCAGGCTCTGTTCTTTATCTCTTTCAGGGTTGTCATGTTCCCAGATCGTACAAATCCATGACAGACAAAGATTAATTTTAACCAGCTGAAGTATGAACCCCTCAATCTAGTCCTGCCATCCAGCCCACCACTGAGGCAGGAAGTCAGTCAGCCCGCTCTTTCTCATTCTAAACGAGCTCTCCTGTTAATGTCAGTCAATAATGCAGCGCTTAATGGATCAAAGCACCTCAAAGGAATTGACATTATCTCTGTTTAAAGTCAAAGGGAAAGAAAATTGATTTGGTTTTTGTTCCCCTCGTCATTAGCTCATTGGTCGTTTTAATGCCAAGGGACTAATCAGTCAAGTGACCAACTGGCGAGTTAATAGCTTCCGTCCAATGACAGGTTGGAATTGGAAGAGGTTGTTAAACCAATTGGCTAAAAATGTTTGTCTTAGACACACTTTTCTCATAAAAAGTGAACGGTTAGAGCATTAAGGCTGGATGGACAGGAGCAGAAAAAACCTGCAACAGCTTTCAGCTGTTCAGCTGTCTAACCGTTGAACATTGAGTTCAACGGTTAGACTATTAAACATCGTTACAGGAAAGCCGCAAATGTGTTTTTCTGACTCAGTGTATGAAGCTTTCGTGTCCTCATTAACCCTGGAGTCAAACTTCAGATATGACCCATATTTGATGAAAAACAGCAGGCTTATTTTGTAATGTACTGGAGTACTTTATTGATCTGGTTTGGTTATTAATTCTGTAACTGTACGCTCACATCCTCTTCATTAGCTTTATGACCTGATTTTTTCTATTTCCCTTTTTCAATTCCTAATATTAAAGACAAAACTGAAACAAGCCCCCTCTCTCTTCTCCATTTGGCATCAGTCTTGATTAATACAAAATAATAGAATAAAACAAACCCAAAAGATCTGCTCTTCCTGTGTGGAAAGACCCCCTTCTCAAATTAAAACTTTCCATCATACTAGACCATGCAAGATTTTAATTTAGTCACCGAGCTTCCTGCAGCTATGAGAGAGCTGTCTTAATCAAATGTGGCTGTCACCATCTAGTCTCGGTGGTGATCGGCCAGCATGAATTGAGATTGGCTGTGCCTTGTTTGAGATCGGCTGTGCTCTGGGCAAATGGCTTTTCACAGTTGGCTTTTGGAAAGTGAATAAGTCACACTAAGATTTTGGTAGACTGCAGTTTGCTGGCTGTCAGCCTATCCAGCCTGAGCCAGTAAAACTCTGTTTCTTTTTTTCTTCTTTTTAGTAAGCAGCATAAACAGGGAAGCAGGAAGTGAAATAGAATTTGACAGAGTTATTCCTCAGAGTCCGTCTAGATGCTCTTATGTTTTCAACCTATTTAAAAGTGTAACTCTACCCTTCAGTTTGTTAAATTGATTTATTATATTAGAACCTCAGCTGTGGCTTCTTGCATTAGACCCACGATTCACTCCTCGGTTCCATCCCTTCCTTCTCAGATTTCTGGGCATGCACAGGCTTTCCATGCCCTTACAGGGATACAGTATCATTAGGGATAATTGACAAAAATCAACAGAACAGGACACATGGTAGGAGCTTATCATTTTAGGATTTAATTGGTAGCTCCTCTCCAGCTACAATATTTTAAGAAAAATAGGCAATGTGGATTTTTTTTGTTTAATACTGCAGTAAAAATCTGCAATATGTGTGATACACAGGGTTCCCGTGCTCTTTTAAAAAGTATCCAAAAAGGTCTTAAAATATGTAGTTTGAGACCTTTATGTAATGTAAGAGTTGGGTAATATTACTGATGGGTTGTAATTGAGTGCCAAACTGGATGTTATCATCCTGCAGCTGCATCTGAACCTGAATCTCAATACAAATCAGGGAAATAAAGGTCATAAAGTGTCTTAAATCTACCAATGCTGAACCAAAAGCTGACAGAAAAACTGTCATGAAGGGTCCAAACATTTCTGCGACGAACTACAGAAGACAGTTGTACTGCCAAGGTCTGTAAATGTCAAATCATGACCTCCACCCAGGAAGTTTTAGGCTGATGACTTAGTTTCGAATCATCCCGTGTGATGCCTCCCAGCTTATTGCCATGGGTTTTGCTCATATCAGCATCAAGACTGGACTCAGTAGATGTGTGAGAATTACAGATAGACCCGATGAAGCACAACAATAGACCTAATAGTTAAGCTGTTACGAGAAGAGCAGTGTGGCTGCGCCGAAGTGCAGATTGCTGACAGTTGTGACCTTCACAGATACACAACATGCTTACAAACAGCTTCATAGAGTCTTTAGAATTGTAGTTACTTACAAATAGTTTTGATGTAGTGGGGGTCTTCACTTTTATCTGTTGAGGTCAAATTCAAAAAGCATTGAATTTCAGTTTAAAGTGGTGCAATAGGTGATTAAATTCTCTGTCATTGTTTCTGTGATTGTCTTTTGCTTCTCGTTCTGTACATGTCAACGACATTATGTTCATGAGCCTTTAAGAACCTTCAAACATTATCCTGTAACTGAATTGCCACCAAATTTTCCAAGGGTAGCTAAAAAGCAGCTCAAGCTTCTCCTAATCTGTTATGCCTAGACCCCCCACTAATGGATAGAAATACATGCATACTGAGTAAGAAAGCATTGTGTGTTTGAAGAATCATCTAAGAAATTCAGACTTTTGCTGTGATTTTATTGCAGATGCTCTTATTTTGATAACTAACCGAGTGTTGTGTAGGAACTCCACTACGCCAGGCATTGTGTCTATTTTTATCATTATGTGTTAGAAGTATTACAGTGGTCATCTGAAGCAGTCAACCATGAGTTGGAAATAAAAACAGTCTGAGTTTTCTTGAGCAGGGCACTGGATCCCACACATCTTCAGCAGAACCTCAGAAATGTCTTTGATTAGGTGTTACAGGGGCAAGATCTTCTTATATGTTTTATAATATATGATAAAAAGGATATCAACCATGTAAGATAAACAATAAAACAAAGTGATTGAAATGAGTTTTTTCAGTTTTTGTAAACTGGATAGTTTTGTTTTTGTTTAAAGATTTCGTGTACTCAATGTGTGATATCTTCTTTTTAACAACCATATTTCATTTCTTCCTTCTTTCTCTCTCTCTCTTTTTTTCCATTGTAGACCCCATAAAGACAGCCCAAGGCTCCCTGTCCCTGAAGGCTTACAGGCTTACCCCTAAACTCATGGAGATCTGCAAGGAGAAGGATTTCACACCTGAGGGGTGAGCAGCTCAGACCACGAAACACAAAATTGAAACTCTGCGTGGATAAATGTCAAAATGATGTCTACAAGGCTTTGGTTCGGGGTGTAACTTTGTACTTTAATTTATGCATACACACTTTACAGACACAAACAGGCTCACATTGCTCGCAGGAACACAGAATTAAGTTTTTAGCCTTTTTGCTCTTTCGGATCCACTTATTCAATGGATGCAAATATTGGCTGCTGTGTCCACAGGGGAGCCATTTAGCTGCAGTTGGAGATTGATGCTGATGCTGATGATTTATCTGCCCGCCCTTGCCCAACAAACAAATGCACCATGTTTACACTTTTCCTGACCCCAAGGCTTATTGTAATTGCTTTTAAATTGCAGCTAAAAATGAATGTAATGAGGAGGCCATTTTCCAGGCAGTTCAGTTTAGTCCAAGTGCACAGTCTCATACGTGCATAAACACATGCAACTGTGTGACTGTGTAAACACCGAGGAAACAGGGTTATGAAAAAGTCCCAGCAGTTTCAAATTGCCATCCAGTCAGAACATTTAGATATGCATTTTTAAATCCACTAAAAGCGAGTTGATCAGGAGGGATAAAGGACAAATTAACTGCATCAATTCATTTTTCTCTCTTTTACCTCTATACTCTATTCTCCACCTGTGTGTCTCTACTTCCAGCCACTCAGTTATTGACCCAGTGTGCCTGGCCCAGAGTCAGGAACCTTCTCATTTCTGCAGCTTTTCATTAGTTCCTATGATTTATTACGGCTCCAATCTGTAGCTATCACTGTTCCCAATAAACCTGTGATTGAAAGAGGGCAGCTCCAGGCAGGAAAGGACAATATCACCACATAACAACAATCTTGTCCCCATCCTTTTATTTCCAGGTTAGAATCTGAATATTAATAATAGGTCCTCTTTTTCCTCCTAAAGACACAAAAACTTCAAAAGCGTTTTGTTTCTGCCCCCTCTCCACAATGTGCAGAAAAAGCAATCTCTTTCATGTTGGTATATTTGATGTTAAGCTTGCATATATTGTGCATCTCTCTGAAATGAAAGGCAGGCGTAGACGAGCGCTGAATAGACCCGTCCCTTTGAACTGTCCTCCAAGTCTGCTGTGCGAACGGAGGCAGTGGTCAATAGCCTCTACTTCAGCACACAATATGAAGCACCAAATTAGTCGGCCCGTGGAGTCAACCTTTTGGTTCTGTCCAGTGGGGGCCATGCTTGGAAAGAGCATGGCATTAAGTGTGCCAAAGTCCAGTTGGGTCGGAGCAATTTGTCCCGCCTAGAAATGTGCTGGACTTCTACTTCCTCGTAGGCGACTTCTTTGGGTGGTCCTGCAGGCATTTGGAAAGGTCATAATCTCCGAAAAATATTTGAAAGTGCTGCAGATGGATAATCGTGCCAATATGTATGACAAACTGTATTTGTATTATTATAGATTTCCCCTATAGGCTGCAGTGCTCCATACTGATTCTTGTTCTGCTGCTGCAGCTGTGTCCACTTCACTTGCTTTAGAGTTGCCGCTAAAGTTTGCCGAAGGTGACACTGTACGTTGAATTTTGATACGCCTCTGCCAGTCAGATGATGTCTCAAGCCTTTATCCATCACTCAGACATGCATTATATAAACATCTCTGTTTTCTGGTACAGCGCACACAGTGAATTAATGCGGAGGGCTTATTGATCCCATAACAGACAAGACACCTCTAACAAGCTTACATTAGACATACAGACATTAGTTTGTAGCTGTGTCATGCACCGTGCACAAGTGACAGGCTGAACCAAGGCAGTCAGTCAATGCTATTGGATTTATGTGAGACATTAAGCAAAGTTTGAAGTTCCATTTTGTGTTAACAGGCCCATGTCAGAGAAAAAGAGAGAGAGAGAGAGAGATGAGGCTTTAACCCTGGGGAACGAGAAGAGGTGTTTTAAGATTGGGCGATGCTCTGCGTACTTTTCAGCAGAGCACATGAGAAAACTCATTTAAACCACAGACTCTGGCAGCGCTCAGGTTTGGCGATATGGATATCTGATTGTATCACACGCTGTCAGTTATTGACTGCAACATAAATACCTTTATTATCATTTTTCCTTTTTTTATCGCTGTGATGCAAATACAGGCCTTAAGGTAAACGTAAACTTCTCAGTGTACAGTTATTCTGAGAAGAACCAACAAATAAAATATGCAAATATTAATGATTAAGGGATGTTTACCTGGAACAAGCAATTTTTTAAAGTTACATCTGTATATAAAGACTAGGCTTTCTTTTTGCAGCCGGCTCATTTCCATTACTGAGTCCTATTAATTTTAATGTTCTGGTACAAATTTAATTTATATACCGAAAGATGAAAGCTGTCGCCTTTTTGTCTCATGAAGAAAATGATTAAAGCTTGATTACCTTTAGTCAAAAGCGTCAGTATGAAATTTGTTAATGGAAAGCTGTTTAAGTCTTTGTTTCTCCAGAAACAAAGAGGGATGTCAGCTTTTCAGAATATGCTTTTAAAAATTGTCATAAATTAATTGTCATACCATAATGGGAATGTAAAAGTTTTTTTTTTTTAATTCTAAAGTAAATAAAAACAACTCTGTACATTTTATTGATTTGTACTCTGATGAGTCACACTGTATGGGATGCATCCTTTCCCCCCCCCCCCCTTTTTTTTCACTTTGTCTTGACTGTTGCCAGGAAAGTTCAGAAAATGGTTATGAGCAGGTAGTGGTAAAAAATGGTTCCTGAAAGAGGCCCAGATATTGCAGCTTTATATAACATTGTTAGTCTGTCTGTGTTCCACACTGAAGATAAATTGTAACCTTATTTCTCTCCCTCTGCTTTTGTCCCTCTCTTCCTGTCCTTCACTCTTCAGTTTGAAGAAGGCCAACATCGGCTTCGAGCATATGTTTGAGGAGGTGCCCATTGTCATCAGGAACTCGCACCTTATCAACGCACTGATGTGGGATCTTGAGGACAAGTCCACGGTCGCAGACAAGCACGAACTGCTCAACCTCTCCAGCAGGTCAGGGGTGACATCAAGTAGACATTTGCAAGAAGGTCTAAAGTCAGACACCTTTTGTATAAATATGCTTTTCAGCCAGTCTTACCGCAAGTGCTATCTTGAGCTGCTATTTCCAACACATTTCTCTCAGGGGACTAACATTTATAGGATGTTTCTGGGTGTGTTGTGAGCCATTCTGTGGATTTATCAACACCCCTGTCCCTAATAAAAATCTTGACCTTCAATCTGGCTGTAAATTTTCCAATCGTAGAACTGACATTGAGGGATCTTGTTGGGTGATTGAAACAGATTTAATGGCTGTAGATACTCAGGTTTGATTTAGATTCTCTCCCTGTTTTTTGTATGTGAGCAGAGTTTTCTGCCAAATGAAAATCTTACTTTTCAGTTTATTTTGGAGTTTAACAATCTTTTATTGCACTTTGAGAAACCTCTTTGAGATCACACTGTTTGGGGGCTTTTTTCAGTCTATGGACACGGTAACATTACAGCCTCCTCTATTTTTAGTTCACCGCCTGCATCACTGTGTTTTTGTTAGCACATGAGCAAGCGCTAACATGGGAGAATGAAATCAATGAAAAACACTGTGTATTGATGGATATTTCATCATCACAAACAACCCAAATCAGGGAACAGGTGTCACTTTAATTACATTCATCTGTGCATGGTTTCCATGGGTCTATGCATAGATATTTATTGAAGAATAGCGTCATCCTAAAAGTGTCAGGCAATCTTTAAAGCCATGTCATGGTATCTCTTTGAACCTGCAGGCTGCCTTCACAGACATGAGTAAAAGCTTTTTGAAAATTGAAATTGAGCTGACGTTGAAGAACTCCTGGGCATTAGAGTGTGTCTGAAGTGCGCAGGATTGGTTGAAAGACTAAGCACTATTGATGTTTTTTGTCCCATGTACAGCCACCATACAAGGGTTTAGTGCTATACAAACACTTATTGAAAGAGCAGCTTGGATTTTATCTTTTTATTAGTGACAAAAAAAACCCATAAAACATGAAACCCAACTATTTCCTTTTAGCAATATTCCTACAACAAGTACAGCTTGTGTAGCCAAAGCTCACACTTCTCTGCCATTATCTACCCAAACAAATAAAAGAACTCATAAAGGCCATTTTACTGGGTGACATATTCCCTTATTGTAATGCTCACAGCTGCTACCCTGTGCTGAGAAGCAACAACACCATCCACTAATAACAGCAGCTGCATTTTTGATCAGTGGAAGACCAGTACTCGCAGAGGCTGCTCTGTGTTTGACCTGCTCTTTTAGATTGCATTACCATCTATTGTGAGCTGCAGAAACTATCATTAAACCGTGCAACTGCCGGGTCAGACTCGGCTCAATTCACAAGGTTGAATATGCACTTGACACCACCAATGAAAGAAGCGTATGATTTGGAGGACCTGCAGTGTTGTGAAAGGATAGTGTCTTGAGGAAATGTGCAACAATAAGCTGAATATTTTTGATGGTAATACAAAGATTCTTCACCCAGTGCATTGCTTAAGCTCTGATACGGGGTAATTATGGTTCTTTAGGGGATCATTTGCTTTAGTTAAACACAGGCATCAGCTCTATGACAACAGAAGAAACTTTGTTTCGTACTTTTGTTTTTGTAGATGTTTTTGCTGGTAATGCAAAAACAGAAAGAGTCACTTAAACCTGGTCCTATAAGACTTATTTTAATCTCCCAGGGCAGCAGGGTGATGGAAACAGCATCAGAGCATCTCAAAATGTGAAACACAATCTTTTTTTCCATATAGAACAAACCTAAAAAAATAACCTTATTTTGTTTGGATCAGAACCTTAACCAACCTCAAATAGGTCTGTATTATTATGATATAGTTTGTATTTCTCACTTTTGACACCTCTAAACATCTCGTCAGTGCTCCTTTTGGGATAAAATCAAATGTTTGATGGGGTTATTCAGTCCAAAACTTGATGTGGGAAATGCCACATCCAAATGTCAAAAACAATTTATTCAGAAAGGTCTGGAAAAAAAACAAACACAAAAATTCCCTCAAAACTTTGTTTTCCATCACTAATGAGCACAATATGAACAAATACCACGCCAGCCTTTCAGCTCACAGCCTGGCACTTTAAGTCTCGTGTTTGGATCTCTGAGGCGCTCAGCATCAGTCTCAGGAGAATTTATCAGCAATCATTTATGGAGATAAACCGCTGCAAGTGGAGCAACAGCTGTGAAGCTTCCCAGGGGCAGGTGTGAGAAATTAGTACAATAACGACTCAAAGTGTTGATTTACACACTGCTAGTACGAAAAAAACACACTGTGCTCACTTCCACACATCGGTGTAGCGTATCAAGAGATATTGTAAGTCCTCTCGTCTGTGTCCTGAAACAGCCACACAAGTAACCAAGTCATGAATTTAACAAAGACTCCTGATATACACAGAGCTCATAGAAAGAACGTGTGTGGTTGACCAAGCCTGGCGCCAGTCATTTGTTAGAAATCGTCAAATAGACTGAAGGAGAATACCTCACTCTTCTTGCATATTGTTCCATTTTCCAAATGACTACCCTGATGTTGAAACTTAGCGTTTGATATGACCCAAAATGGAGCAGAAGCAGCCCGGCCCTCCCTCCCCAAAAGGTTCCCCAGCATGACCGCCGATGGGATGTCAGATGAGATGAAATTGTTTCCCTGTATTGGTTTGCGACGTCTGTCTCTTCACATCTTCCCCTGACAGCCCCACCTTCCTTTACTCATTTCCACCCTTTCAAAAAAAAAAAGATAATGATAATGGGTTTTATTTAATGTTTTTCTTTTTGTCTCATTTTCCAATCTACACCCCCATTTGTCAATGTCATAGATGTCCAAGGCTGAGTGAATGCAGTCTCACTCCAGCAAACAGGGTTTTTGTTACCACAGATGATGATGTTGATCGTGGTGATGGATTGCATGAATGTAGATTCATTTATATAACCCCTTTCCCCCTGAACAGCCGAAAAATGCCTCTCTTCTTGCAATGTTATTAAAAAGCAGCGTGTTATGTCGGGTCACAAAGCTTTTCACGAATGGTTTGTGGTCTGGACCTGTCTAAGAATATCCCCAGCGTGGAGTGGCTTACATTTCTCATTATGAACCATCCTATAAACCTCATATTTACTTTTTGTTCTGCGCGAATGAGCGGCTCTTCTGTCCATTACCTCCAGTCTGATTAGTGTAATTGGCCTCCTGCACAAAAATGTCTGACAGAGTAAGGATATGTAAACATAACTTTATGCTTGACAGGAGTACCAGGATGATAGGAATTCAATAAGGGAGAGAGGAACCGGTTGGAGGCAGAAAAGACAAGAAATGTGTGGCTTTGTGAGGGGCTGCAGCTGTAGGAGGAGTGAGCCAAGTGAGGATGGGGAGGAGAAATATCTGGAAATAGGGTCACAGAGGAGGCGGTGACAGAATTTTGCATTAAAAAAAACTATGAAAAAAAATGACCCTCAACAGAAAAACTTCTCAGTGGGATGGAACTTTTGATCAACAGCCAATAATAGTTTTCTTTGATATAATTCAGTGCCTTTTTGCTAGAGTGATGGTAATGTACCAGAAGAGAGAAATTAGAGATTTAACACAAAATGACTGGGCTGTAAGATATTCAGTCACATAAAGCACAGAAATGTCCGCCAAAAGTTTTATTCATACTTTTTATTCAATATTTCCTCAGAGATAATATCGTGCATTTTTGCAGGGACACTCTCAGATTAAGGCTCTTTCATGACCTCTTAAAACATATTATTCGGCTGGAGAAAAAAGCCACAGAGCCCCGTATAACGCCCTCCTCCATCAGTAAAAAAAAAATAGCTCCGCCAGAGTAAAACACTCATTACAAGAATTGAAGTCACTTCTGTGACAGCTTTGTTAAACAACCACCCTGTGAACTTTCAATTTACTGAATGTCAGCCCATTTTTGCTCCCACATCAATACAGTTTTAGAGTCTGTCCTCCATCGTCCTGTGTGAACACAAACACACACAGATGCAAGCACACAGACTTACTGTATACGCTGCTGTTCAATCCAACCTTGAAACAGAATCAGTGATGACAGGAAATCCCTCGCTGTACTTGGATTCCTGAGTCTGGATTGATTGAAAAGTCTGAATAATTTAACCCTTTCTTGTTTAAGATCACACACTATGCAGTGTAGGTTGCATAATTCAGCATGGAAATTTTATTTCTATGCTCAACCGATGTGTAACATTATCTTTTAAGATCACGCAAGATAAGCGTTCTTGATCTCCCATAGGGGGAATTCAGTTGCTTTAGCAGCTCACAGAAAAAGAAATGAAATCAAGCCAACAAAAGATATATAAAGTCAAACACAGGGTGAGAAGGATAACACAGAAATACAACTAATAGTGGTAAGAATCAAACACACTCCGAGCAACATTATACATTCTGTGCCAGGGGTGAGAATCACCAAATAACCCACAGAATCAATAATAGCACGTTTACAGAGATAATTGAAAGAGTGTGAGGCAATCATATATCATATCATCATGATATCAATAAACAGAGTCCCCTGAAAAAGCAAAAAGCAGCAGTTACGTTTAGACTCACTGCATCCAGATCTGGTTTTGCTGAGATGAAACAATATTTATGTTATTAGTCTGTTTTGAATGACATTTTCTGAACCAATTAGAGTACAAAAGAACAGATTTATGGGGAGCGCAGATAGCCTTGTGGGTTGTATGTCATCACCTTCCTCTCTCCCACGTTTCCGGTTTCTCTCCTGCCTTATCATTAAAGACAAAAAATACCCAACAAATAAAAAAAGATCATATTTCTCTAAATGAAGCACATCATAAAATAGATTCATTTTTTTGTGTTTGGAAGATATTAACCAACTTTTTGTTCCCATCTGTTTTCTTTTTCCACTCACACTTTGAAACAGAAGAAATGAGTTCACATGTTAACCTGTATAATTGACCTTTAACAGCTACAGTCCTTTTCCCTTATAGAACAGTGTGGTCTTTTACAACAGTGTCCATCCCTCTGTAGCTGTTCGTCAAACTTCTGTCATATGAACACAGGTGTATGTCTTGTGCATCAGGCGAGTCATAGCACAAAGGAAAGCATCTTTTACTCAGTGTCATTAAAATGGGCAGTAATTATTAAGTCAGATTGGATAAACATGACTTCCACCCATCACAGGGGGTGAACCTTTTCCACAGACTAGAGGGCATCCTCCGTCTTTGCTCTTATCTCAGCATAAAGAGCCTGTCAAGTTCGTTTTTTTTAGCTCCTTCTCACTGCGGTATCCCGCTGTCTTCTCCTGCTATCATGCAGCTCTTGACCTCTTCCTCAGCTAATTAACTGTTCTTGACCTACCCTCCTTAATGTCATTAGTGCCACTGTGTGGAGTCATGATGCTGTATGTCAAACTAGCAAATCTGTTTGCAGCTCTGTATTTTTTTCTATGAAGATGTTTATCAGGTGTAATCCCCAACAGGGATGTATGGGTATTGGCAATATCTTAGTATTGCAAGAGTAGAAGTGTCTTGATACCATGGGGGATCTGTGATGGTATGAAATGTTGGATCTTGCAGGCAGAGTGCAGGTTTGTTTGAGCTGCAGCAGATTAGTGCAGAGGGAAGTAGGAACACAGAATAGAGACCACTGATCCATGCATGTCCATCTTTCTTTGCACTCTGCTTGCTACCTCAGATGTAGTCGAGTTAAAATAGTGCACACTGCCGTCAGTGGCCAGATGCAGAGAGAGGATTTTGAAACTTTGGTGCACTGCTGTTTTACTGTGCCAAGAAACAAGAAAGGACAAAAGGTGATGGATGAGCAACAATAATTTGCATCTAAGGAGGCTTGAAACTCAGTTCTGTCAAGGTCCTGGCTCCACATTTTTAAAATTACAAAACCAATAAGGTTTGAACTCATCAATGCCATTAGTGAATCTCATTGGTCCCATCACATTAACTCCAATCAAGCCATATGCAAATCATATCACTGGTCCACAAATGTCCATTGATTATCTAATGAAGCCTCTGAATAATGTGTAATTCTCAACCAACAGGTATCAAACCACACACACAAAAAAGCTGTGGTTAGTCTCTTGTGAGGATAGTTGAACATGTAACAAACTTAGCTAAATATCTTCGGCGGTCTTTGGTCTGGAAGTCTGTCAGCGTTTGGTCGCTGCTGCTGCTACTGCTGTAAAGACACTCTTCCTTCACAGCAGCAGTAGTAATCACACCTTAACTTTTTGGCACATCCCAAGTGTTGAAAATGAGAATCTTATGTCGACACTGCTTTAAAATCAACAGGAAAACTACTAGAAAACGAACTAAACGACTTGGCATATGGTTATGTTAAGATTTGTTCAATGTCTGCTCTTAGTAGGTTGTTCTTAGAGGTTTCTCAGAAAAAGAAAGGGACTTTGTGGATCAGTGGTGGTTAGATAAACCTTTTTAGCTGCTGGGATCTACAGAGGGAAGACTCTAACTGAAGTCTATAGGTGTTCCTGGAATAACTGGGTCTTAAGCTTTCCTTAAAAGTAGAAAGGGACTCTGTGGATCAAATGTGGTTGGGTAACTCATTCTGCCATTGGGGATTACAGAGAAGAATAGTCAGCTCGTGACTTGGGGCCCTGTTGTGATGGGAGCACTAGGCGCTTCTCATTGGCAGAGTGTAGAGGCAAGAGCAAGAGTAGCCATGCACAAGGGAGTCCAGCTTGGCAGGAGTCATTTTTGTTGCTGTTATATAAGAAAGAAGTAGGATTTCGAATCTGATCTGAGCTGTGACGAGAAGCCAGTGGAGAGAATTGAACAGTGGAGTGACAAGCTGTTTTGATTTGATTGAAGACTAGATGTGCTGCTGCATCTTAGACCAACTGCGGAGGTTTGAATGTGCGTGCAGGGAGGCCTGCAAGTAAGGAGTAGCGGTAGTCAATGTTTGATATGATCATGAGAGCCTGAACCAGGAGCTGTGCTGGCATGACTGATCAATCATGACACTCACGATTTGGGCAGACTTAGTGTAGGGATAAGTATGTTTGATTGAAGCTGAATATTGATTTGTGGTTGTACAGACGGACTGGCTGAAAAGACAAGAAGCTCAGTGTTTGACAAGTTGAGCCGTCAAAGACTGTCCTTTATCCAGCCAGGATTATCACCAAGGCAATATGAGGATGAGCTGTGTCATCTGGTGGGCCTGGCAGGAAGAGCGTGGTGTCATCTACGCAGAAGTTTTATGAGAGTGGGCTGAAAATGGAAGGGGACCAAGCTATGACCCTTTAGGCACCTCTGTTGATAAGCCATGTGGTTTGGATACTCAAAACGATCTCTCTCCGAGGTAGGATATGAACCACTGAAGGGCAGATCCTGACATATCGAATTCAGGGAGCGTGAAGAGGAGCATTTGGTGATTTGCTGTGTCAGAGGTAGCAGACAGATCCAGCAGCAATAGAACTGAGGACTGACCAGCTGCTCTAGCCAATTACACTGAATCTGTTGCCAGAGGAAGAGCGGTTTTAGTGGAGTGGCCCCGCCTGAAGCCAGACTGATTTGGATCGAGTACAGGTTATTGTTGTGCATAAACTCAGAGACCTGATCAGAGACTGTGTGTTCAAGAACCTTTGATGGGTAAGGCAGAGTGGAAATAGACCTGTAATTTAAAACCCTGTGCAGGGTTGAGGGTGGGTGACCTGAGCGCTGTGACCTTCTGTTTAGGTTGATTTAGGTGTCCAGAGTGAGACATCTTTTGTCTATATTCCTGTCCACTTTTGACAGTCATAAGTACCACTTGCAGTGTACATTTGCTGCAGTGAAAAACAGACTGTTTCTGCAGCTTACTGTCAATCATCTGGTCTGACACTTAACCCCCAGTTACATCATTAAAATTACAGTAATTACAGTATAGAAATCTAGTCCTGTTACTGATGGTCTTGTTTGCTTTTGTAGGTCAGAGAAAAGCATTCATATTAATTACAGTGTGTTTCATAAGCAGCTAAAAACTCACAGGGGCTTTAAATAAATAAACCCTCTGTATTCAGCATAACTTAACACAAGCTTAACACAAGCGCTTCAAATTTTTTGTTCAGCTGCAATAAAATATCTCACTATCCATACTGACAACCAAACAAAACAAAATGCAGAATTCTCGATCACACTCACATGCGCAGGGACACCCACACTTGTGTTAAGTCCGGCTCAACCACTCGACACATACATAAACAGCAGATGTTTTGAAGGATCCTGCTCTGACTAAACGATTTCCTCTGCATATATTATAAATGCACACCACACAAATTAGCTACCATATTGCTTGATGAAATAGTTTTAAATGGGTTCTCGTCAGCGAGAATCAATTTTGACACAGCCGGAGGGACGCAGCGGGGATGTGTTATGGTGAGATTTGGTCCTGGGCCATCAGTTTTCATGTTTGCATCCCTGACACCACAGCGGAGGGTTGACAAACTGATCACACTGCGGCCCTCACAGGCAAACATGATGGGAGTGGAAACGGCTCAGCAGTCTAAACTACGGGGGAGACAATGAGAGCTGTGAAAAACAATACACTCCTCACATATTTTTATTCCAAAAGGTGAAACGAGTAATGAAATGTGACTGGGAAACCATTCGCAATATTCATCTACATACCTTGTTTGCCTGAAATCCTGCAAAACGAGGGCAGCAGGCGGGCATTCAGTCTGATTATTTGATCACTTATACTAAAATGCACCTCATTCAGGTGTAGGGCAAAAATGGATGGTGTTACAGAAAGTCAAGCATATGAGAATAGCTGTATAAATCATCATCAGCGGAGTTCATACAATTATCTGCATCCATGTGGTTACATTAGTTTTTCCTGTCTGTGCATACAAGCTTGAGGGACTTCATATGCATACACGTTTAAATGTAATTAAGGTGTTATCAGCTAAGCGGGGGTTGATGTCAGCCAAACGTTAAGGGGAGTTGATCATGATGAGTGGCTCCAGGACGTGAATATTTTATACAATTTTACATGTGTAGATGCTTATGCATATAAATGTAGTGCTTCAGTTTGTTGTCTGGTGTGTACTCTAGCTGGAACTTTATACTGCTAAGGCCGTGTAGGATTTCTGTTATTGCATGCAAAATATTCAATTCCTGCAAGTCTGGCTACATTTGCTATATTTCTCAAAGGGGTAGCTTTGGTATGGCAAAACTAAAAGTAATGGAGGGCAACTCGTCCCTTCGCTCACTACATTTTCCAAGTACCTTGCCCATCACTCTGTTCTGCACTGATCCACCTGAGGCTGAGCAAAGTAACCTGACTTTCTTACTGTGACATATGCACTAACAAGCAGGGGTGTGTCCAGACTTCTTTGACTGGGGTGGGCGCTGGCATATGTAGAGGTGGCCGTAAGTTTTCATGCCCATGTAAATAGCATTTGTGTTTGCCCCGGACAAGGCAAATCAGTTAAGATTTTGCAGGTTACAGTTGGCATCTTTCACTCTGTGGCTGTTTTTTTTTTTTTTCTCTCTCTCTTTTTTTTTTTTGGTTGGTTGTGCTTCAGCGTGCTCTTTCTCTTCACACATTTGAGCTAATATACTGTGAATTGGGGAAATACTGTCTGCTGACCAATGTATACAAGTTAAGCTCACATAGAATTATTACTTAACAAAGTTTGCGTGACATTTGTTTAATGTTTAATGGCAGTAATAGTAGCAAAGCTTGTTGTGATGTTTCATCAGTTGCTGAAGAGTGTTGAGTCGTGTAGTCTCGAATTCTTGGTTTTAATTCTTAGCGATCTCTCAGTCTTGCTGTCTCCTTGGCTGTTTAATGACAGTATTGACTAAATGCTTATTGGAGCTTAAGTTCATGGACTCCCGCTATTGGGCCAGCTAGATGCAAGCTACAGCTTACATACACTTCCCATATAAAACTTGTGCTAGCATAAACACAGCACAGTAACTAAGTAGCTTGATGAGCTTTCCAGCCAATTTGGCAGTAATGGCTATCGTTCGCCAAACTTAGCTTTTACTGCAGCTCCACACTGTCAGGTGCTGTGGGTTGGGGCTGAACGAAAGACGTGAACAGAATGCTGGAAGGGTGTGTTTTAATTTATAGACCCCAGTCTACCTCATGTGTTGGATAGCTATTTCTGGAAACCGTTTTCAATTGGGTGAGATGTTAATTTTTTCTGTAAACTGTACAGTTTTTGACTGGTGAAGAAACAGACTGAAACTGAAACAGATGCTGCCTAATGACATTCAAAAGCAAATTAGACCATCAATGACAAGCCTGATACTGCTGAGAGGGGGCAGGTTTCAGACCAGATGATTGACAGCAAGCTGGAGAAGTAGCCTTTCCTGCATTTTTTTCAGTGGCAGAAATTCACTGTGTGAGGCATTTCAGTGTTATAAGATAACAGGATGAGGTTTTTGTTTGAAAACATCACTTTCACACGGACAGGATGGGAGTTTTGAGGTATCACCTTGTCCAAAAAGGGTGCCTGAACCAACACACAGCAGATTTAATGTTCTCATAGAATAAGATAAATAGCATTCTCCATAATTCCTTAGACCACTTATAATACTATACTAAAGAGGTTCCTTTGGCCTGTTGATGAAAATGGTTCATCTATAAACACCTCTGATGAAGGCTGCAGAGGCAAGGTAGCTGAAACTTGTCAGGTACAAAACGTTTTTTTACCTTCCTGGCACTTTTGATACCTCTGAAAAGAAAGATGCCAGTCACAGTAATCAGACATCAGGAACTTTACTGAAGACGAAACAAGTTATATGATTGATACTGTCAGTGAAGTTCACAGAGTCTTTTACACTCGTTTATAAAGGAGGCGGACTGGAGGTGAAAAAAAAAAAAAAAGATTTTGCTGCTGTACTGTTAATCTCCTCTGTGGGAATATAATAATAAAAGTCCTTCATGTCTGCAGTTTAATTATATATATAATCATGTATCATATAATCAAACACCGACCTTGTGAAAGTGCTGACAGGTTGATTTTCTGATGGCCTGGTTTGCTTATGTAAACGACATTGATGCCCCTGCACTAACGTTCGTCTTTTTTCCTAACCAGCAAAAATCTTGTAACAATTTTATGATTAAAAGAACTAATAATCACCCCAACCCCATTCCCTTTATTTCAAAAGTGAAATTTAGGCCCTTCCAGTCTTTGTGTTTATACAACACTGCCCAACAGAAACTAATACTTATGTTACATTAGTGTGTTTTTTTTAATGTTGGCAGATGTTCTTTTTATCCTGATATCAAATCAGAGTACAAAGAGTCTGAACTTCAGTTCCTTTCAAGTGAAGTTGTTTTTGATTTCATCAGTATGTGTTGGGGTTTCTTCATTACAGCCAAAAGAATCTGCCTTTTTGTAGTATTTAAAAATGAATCTAGATAATATCCTTCATATCGGAGGACTAAAGTTTTAAATAACAAACAAATTGGCAGAAATGGATGAGGTAAATGTGTTTGCCTCGGGTCATGGTAGTTGCATTGGCGCTCGTCTATACCTAAATCTTTGTTGCTCTCCAACAATAAACAGTTATTGCTAGAAAATAAGAAGCCTTTTTTCAGATGGTTAGTGGCAATTTTCCTCATCTTAGACCTCATAGAGTCTGAGAAAATTGAGGGAGGGTAAATTATTTCTTGACATGATCATTTTTGCTCGTAACACGAGAGAGAATGGAGCGAGGAGAAAGAGAGTAATATTGATTTGTAAAATTACTTATTGAGAAATCGCACAGCAAAGTGCAAAGTGACTCAAATCACCCCCCTCTCCCCAAAAATTGTGTTCTCCCACATATATCAACACAAACAAGGGCATACACACACACACAAACCAGTTTCGTCAGCAAAAGAGCACGCACAGCCAAAGCATACACAGTGCTGGCAGTCCTTGCGGGTACAATTGTCATTTGAATAAACAGTCAGAATCTGTTTTCCCACACTACACGCTGCATTATGTAGCTCCCAAACAGTCATAAATGAAAGATTGTAATCCCACAGAGGAGCGCACAAGAGGGAGAAGGCGTGAAGAAGAGCCCCCCAGCCTTGTCAAGGTTGAACTTAAGGCAGTAGTGAGACATGTTGTTAAAAATGAGGCTCATGGGAGGAGGGGAACAGGAAGACTGGTGGAGTTGTGTGTTGTCAGCATGGTAGCATTGGGGGATAAGATGAGGGATGTGATTCCAGAGTGGAGAAATGAAGCACAAGGATAAGAGTAAAGGTCCTGAGGTCTTAGTACTGTCAGACCCCTAGAGAGAGCCTTCATGTCAGAAATCTCAGCAGACAAACCAGAAAACATATCAAAAGAGCTGCACTCAAAGATAAGGTCAGAATGAATCACAAACATAGACTGCTGAAAAATGCGGATGTGGAGCTTTAAGATTGCAACTTCAGGTTTCTGAAAAGGACATCTGAAATCTGGAATTGGCTTACAAATAACTGTTTTCATTCATAGTGGCTGCTGCTGGTGAGAAAGGAGCACTTTTGGTTCAGTGCCAAGGGAAGGGACATCTGTCTTGACATTTGACACAATGACATTTTCAACAGGAGATGGTTTTACAGTTAAGATAAAATGTGACTTCCCCCTAGAGACCCCGTCCACACACGGTTTACCAGCTCAACTGATAACTGCTGACCGCAGAGCTTTGTGTGTAAACCTAGGATAAATCTTTGAGTCCCTCATGTACTGTTTGTGGTCATTTACTAAAAATAGAAATTATAGCACAATTTCAATATGAGCATTTATTTTCAAAACAAAAAATAGTCTGAACTTGCCATGATAAATGAGATTTTTCTGTTTGTTTGTAAATATGCAATGCTTTCTGACACAGCATATGCATTTTACCTGTTGGATAGAGGCCTGGTCATAACAGCCATGCATTTCACACCATTTTAAAGCTAGATATAAGCCACCTACATATTACTATTGCCAACTTCTGTTTTTGTTGGATTAGGGAGGATCATATTGCAAACAGGTACTGTAGGAAACATGAACAGCACAGTTGCTCTGGTATGTAAGACTGATTTTTGGGGGGCTCTCAGAGGGAAAAAGGTTTCAAACGCGTTCCTTAATGAAGATTTTCCACTTGGTTTGGACGTGTGAAGTTTCTCTTTAAGTGTGTAGCTCTTTCTAGTACCATCTGTTATCATTGCCACCCTGCCAGCTACCCTTACAGTAGTTGAGCACAGCCTTTGGTTGGTTGGTTGTTGGTTGCTTTGACTTACAGAGAGATCCACTGCCCATAGCAAATTTTTCCAGACTGTAGCCTTGATATCTTTTAAGATCTTAAAAGTCTGTGCCATTGAACAAGCACTTAAACCCCATAACTTGTGCATTAATGTTTTCTTTACATGCGTGATTCTGACTTTCTGAGAGAGTAAAACGTTAAAAAAGGACATCACTAAGCTTGACCTGATTCTGAGTTTGTACAGAAACACAATAGAATTTTTTTCTGTGTATTGATGTATAAGATACATCCAATGTTTAAGGTGACAGAGAGGGGTCTTCAAAGTATGTCTTAAACACTGTATTTCAAGACATATTTCCCCACATCATGCGGGCCCACTAGTTTCAGGACAGTATAGCCTTTGACGGCTGCTGGAAAGTTTCGAGAAAATGCTTGTTATTCTGCAATGAAGGCTATTTAGGTCATGGTGTCCTTTTCCCAAGGCTACGCATTATTTAAACTCCCACGAGTTACCGGAGATGAAAACAAAATTGGAGTTCAGAGATTGCATTGGTGGTCAGATTGCATGTAGCACTTGTGCGAAGATATTAATTGATAGAGTTAGCAAAAAGGCTAAATTGTCCACGTTTACATTACAGTCCATGCAACCACCCTCTTTTACTGCTGACATGGATTGCATACCAAAATAAAACACGTCTGCTTGAATGCTGATATGATGATTTTTATACGTGCATCAAATCCAAATGATTGTACGCAGCTGTAAGGTGGTGCTAATGCAATATCCTTGAAGTATTTAATGTCATAATGTCATAACAACATAATAATACAACCAATATATTTATACAAGTCAAATTAATGCATACAACCCACAGCTGTCTGTGTTCACATATTCAGATGTGTTGTGGTGGTCTTTGAAAAGATTTCATTCAGTTTCCAAAGCTGAAGAGCGCACTTTAGAAAGATTGCTGCAGAGAAAAAAGCTGAGAAAGTTCAGTGATGTTTTTTTTGTCCAAAGTTTTCTATTATTTGTAAAGCACATTGACTTTAGGTGTGTACAGTTGGTTGTTAAATTGCTACCTCTTGATGTTTGTCTGCACAAGTATCACCTTGATACATGACCAATGTGTTTTTGCAAGAGGCAGAAAGGACTTTAGTGTGAGAAAAACTTAGACTGAGTGGCCATACAATTTTGGATTAACCATGGCCTGTGATACTTGAAGGCTCAAAAGGCATACTTAGTATTTGCACCAGCCACAACATCATGATTGCAGAGGTTTGCTGGTGTGTTTGCTGGGCCTGCATTAAGTACAAAAGCCCAGGATGGAGACGTAGACAAGCTCAGCAGAGCTTTCACTGATCACAGGATTGTTGGTTTGAGCCTTGGCTCGAACTGCCCACAGGTTGTTGAAGTGTACTTGGGTAAGAAACTTAACCCATAATTGTTCCCTACTGTCAGGCCAGCAGCTCGCATTGTTTGAGTGTTCCTGAGCAAATGAGAGACTGGCTTTACAAAGCTTTATAAAACTATGCCACTGTATGTCATGAGAGACTAGAAACATGGAAAACAGCAGCTGCAAAATAGAGTATAGTACAACAAATGTGGACATCGGCTTTCTTCTTAGAGCACTGTCAACTAGGGGTGGGAAAAACTTGATACAGCATAGTATTGCGATTTTTTTTCCTGGTGATATCAAATCATCTAATTTACCAGGTATTGATTTTTCAAATTAATTGCTAATATGAAGTCAAATCTATGATAATAGCAAAATAAAATCAACTGTTTGCCCAGCGAGGTTGGCAGGGGTGACATCATAGAGCAGGAGAAAGTTTGTACGACAAATATATATATTAGGTTTGCAAAATGTGCTACATGAAAATAAAATACAGCATAAATAAGACTAACATAAATTAAAGCCAAATGCTAAATTAGCTAAATATTTGAAAAGATTGTATAAATCGTATTGGAAAATGTTAAAAATCGCAATAGTATTGTATCGTGGCCCAAGTATCATGATAATATCGTATTGTGGGGCCACGAGTGATTCCCACCCCTACTGTCCACTCAGATATCAAGTCTAGGAGAGTCTTGGACCTATGTCATGCTGCGTTGTCCCTACATAGACATTAATTTGAGTCAATCATAAAACTGGATGGAAAGAAGGTTAAGATTATGATGCGAGGCATTGAGAGTGAATGACTTATTTAACTGCTATTGATAATGAAGCTATATAATGTGTGAATGACATGTTGACATTTTTCTTCCAGCAACCACCTGGAGAAGAGCCTTCAGCTCCTGATGGACAGGGTGGATGATATGAGCCAAGAAATTGTCAAATATAACACCTACAGCCGCAACCTTAGCAAGCAGCAGCAGCAGAAGCACCAGGTAAGTCTCATGTGCACACACACACACACACACACACACACACACACACACACACACACATACTCAGAATACACGCAAGCTTTCATGAACTGAAGCCTGCACACCCCCTGCAATGAGCAAGCACCCACAGCAAAAACATCAGCTTGCCACAATGCATATGAGGCAGAAAGAGCACAAACACACACATACACAAACACACCCACACACAAAAGCACCTACAGCTACAAACTCAGCAGGAAAACAGCAGGTATATTTCCCTCAGCCATGGGTACAACCAATTGCAGCTATAATCTCAGCAGGCAAGCAACAGAAGCACCAGGTAGCAAAAAAACAAACAAACACAACAACACATACACGCGCTCAGAAAATATTATACTGCAGGTTCACATGTGCATACGCTTACACTCACAGCTGATAACCAGAAGTAACCACAGTTAACCTCAAAGGTTGTTAAACATGAAACATTCATGCCTAAAGTCAGGATTTAGCTGATATTAAGAACTACAGCTGCTGCAATATGCCTGTCATTTACTTCCTGTTGCACAGCTTGTGTCCAGAGTGAAGAATATCATAAACGGAGCTTGTGGTCTACCGACTGCTGTATCACAACGGTGACACCTGAGCAGATAGGATTGATTGGCATTTCAGTCCTGTGTCTGCACAGGAAGTAATCCTCCCTCCCTAAAGTGGAGCAGAGTAGTAAACAACTCTGGCTCGTGTTCCTGCGGGCGGTGAAATGAGCGTGATTGGCTTTCACCTGCTTGTTGTTCACATTGCATCAGAGGACATTTGCAGTAATGCTTTTCACAATTTTTCACCCGCTCTGCTGCTGAACACCTTTTTAAATCACTTTAGCTCGGGAGGTTAAGCCAGGCTGGAAAGCTAGGTCCCACTTAATACAATAGCAGGCAATCACTGTTCCAGCATCAGAGGCTGTAATTGTGTGATGTGTGCAGTTAAAAAACAACAGCTAAAGGACAGGAGTGATCTGGGTTTTTTTCTGAGGACAGATATGATGCAGGATTTACATACATACCATTAAAAACATTGGATGACTAAAACTGAATAACAAATAAAACTGCCCAGTTTGGACATGCTTGGACCCAGTGAGCTGGTTCTTAAAGGCATTCAGGCTGATCAGGTCTGATGGTATCAGTAGAAAGGCATGCCAATGTATTTGAGCCCTGTGTAATAACAGGTTTGTCTCTTAAACACTTGCTTTGATATGAGTAGATATAAAGTAGTTTAGTTCAAATGATTTTGCTTTTCATTTGTTTTGAGGCACAGTGGTGCATGTAGAGGCGGGAGGGAAACCCTAAGTATTTTGTTTTTGAGTGATATTGCGTTAGAGAAACAACAGGGATCATGAGAAAAATATTCAAATGCCATGTGATTCATTGGACAGAGAGTTATAACAGCCGTCACTTTCTTTGGTTAAGCGACTGTTTTCTCTGGACACCTGTTTTAGGCTACAAGCTTCATAGGCTTTAAATATAAACTTATAGAAGTTGTAACATTTCAGTGTTTTATTGAAAATAATGACTGCAGGGTCCTTCACTGACTCAAGGTGTGGCAGCACCAATTACAACCAGACCAAAAGAAAAGTGCACGGCTAAGTACATTTCTGTTGATTTCTTTGATATAACCTGTGTGAACACATCAGTTACACTTTCAGGTATAAATATAGGCAGTAACATGCTGACTGGCCCTGAGTCTGTTGTTAATTAATTATAACATAATGAAAGAATAGAAATAATATATGGTGCTGTGAGTAGCTTGTTGTGAGCTCTTGCAAGTTCATCTAGACTACCATCCAGGGTTCACCGACTACACTGTCACTGGTAAGGGTAATCTGGACCGACACTTTTCTTGTTGTTTTTAAGAAAAAAAAAGGAGACTGGTCGATGAGTGGGTGTATGCCAGTCACCCAAGTTTTTTCATTGTTTGACTACAACCCTGGACCAACAGTAACTTTGGTAGTTGTGAGTTTAGGACAGACGTACTGACCTCCTCCCAGCCACTCACTTGATGTCTTAAATTGGAGTCTTTCCAATCAAACTGTCTCTCCATTAGGTTTATTACTTTGATAGTGTACCACTGATTTCTTTGAATGCATAATTATTAGATCATGACAAGTGTTCAAAAGTGGTGTTCCCAGACTGGTCTCATTATTTACCCTGCATGTGCATGCTTTGAGCAGCGCCATCTTCTGGGTAAAATACTAAGACATAATAGGGCATCTTTTTGGTGTATTGTTTTCAACAGTGTGTGACGTTGCCAACGGGCAAAACATTATTCCAAGTGTACTGTATATACTGACTTTAGCGTACTTTCCAAAGCAGTGAAAGTTTTTGCAATATATATATATTTTTTTTGTTGTTTGAGCCTTTAAACTAACTGATCAGCTACACAAACCTTTCTTCCTGAGTCACTTCTCTTCATCTGACCAGCGGTCACAGTAATAAACTCTGATTGCCTGTCCATGAATCACTCATTTTCATTCACACAAGGGCACTTCTGTGATTCAGATGTTAATTTATACTTTGATAAAGAAGAGGGGGTTCAAAAGGTTGAACACCGTGAGTCATGTCTAGGCATGTTTTAAATATCATTGCCACTCAGAGACCTTTGACTCATACAGCCTCAATATGACATTCATAAATTAAGTTTTGATTTCAAAAAGCAGAGTTTGAAATCGTGTTTTGATTTTGTTACTGCATCAATAAGACACATCACAAATTTAAAATTCAGCACAAAGCAGCAGGCGCACACAGGCGCACACATCCCCCATGTACTTAAGACGAGACACGAACACCACCTACAAGCACAAACTCACCCAGAAGCACCAAAAGGACCAGAACAAAACGTACAGACACGGAGATGAAGAGTCAGCCATGTACCATCTGCATCTACAACCTCAGCCAGATGCATCACAAACATCCGGCAACACATGCAAACACGGAGGCTTCGCACTCTCATACACACACTCATTACTCAGGAAAGTGGAAGCAGAGAGGCCCAAGGTGACTCACTGTTGTTTGCCGAGTGAGCACATACCAACTTACACCTACGTTCAAACAACTACATTATTCTGTCATTATCCCCTGCAAGTGGAAACCAGGAATGTTTGAAATATTAATGCTAATCTGACTGAGTCATCATCTCCTCGGCCGGCAGAGGATAAAACCGCAGCCAAGTTCGCACACATTTGGCAGACTCATAACAAACAGGAATTTGTGACCACAGGTTGCCGGCCGCACACACACAGCACATTTACAACCCAGACTGCTGAGAAACACACACCTACACAGCCACACAACCCCACAGCCAGTCTCCCACTCTCTAGCCATTATGATCTATCGTCCTCCCCTGCCAGCCCTCTCTTCATCACAGCCTCAGAGCGCAATTCTTCACGCAAACATACACATACGTCTGCGTCATACACTGTTTCACCTCGGCAGAAACCTTTTTCATGTTTCATACAGTTCAACACAATGAACCAACAGGTGCACAAAGACCAAGAAAGTGAGCCTCTAATGCACCTTTCAGACATTGGCTGTACTCGCTCCATATAATCTTCTGCTATTGACCCTGAAATTGAACCGTATTTATCACCATAGAAAGTTGCAAAGAGAAGCTGTGCGGTGAGAGCTCCATTTATCACATATAGTTCTTCAAGTCTGGTAAATAGTAGAAACCAAACTTGAATCTGTGACCAGGTTAGTCTTTGAATCGTGTATTTCTCATATATTTTTGGTCTTTTTCCATCCACAGAAGAAGGTAACACTTTGCGGTTGATTAGTTATGGAGCAATGTGTTTATCTTGTGAACCATTAAATCATGATTTATAGCTAACAATGTAATTCAGTCACCATTAATGATTCTGAAATGATTTTCCAGTCATTACTCCTTAGCTTTATATTAATATCTTTCATGTGCTAACAGAAAACAAACAAACACAAGGCAAGTTGCATAAATTCTTCAGGGTGATTTGTTGTAGTAAGAAGCTAAATAGATCGACATCTGCTAAACAAGTCTGTGCCAAATCGGTAAAAAGGTCATCTGTTCCAGCTTCATTGTTGTGGAAAATCTCATGTTGACAAATGTGTGAAAAAGAATATAATAGAGACAAACGACGCATGATAAAGTGATAACGTGATTCTGACCTGCATAACTAAACTTTAAAAAGGTGACAAAATCCAGAGTGTTTGAGTAACAAGAATACAAGATCAACAAACCAAAACAAGCACTTACAAACTTTGAAATAAACACCATTTATTACAAAGTTGTCTCTTCAAAACAAACAAAAAAATCATCAACATTAAACTGAAGCCAGAGATTTGAATCAAAATCATAGAAAGTACTATTTATCCTATTGGTAAACTCAAACTCCAATATTCAGTCACCGGACCTAAATGAAAAGAACAGAAAGTCATTTCTGTTGATGATGTCAAGGATGTGAAAAAACGAAACCAGCAGGACCAGTCAGAATAATTCTGGAGGTCCTAAAACTGTGATAAACTATGATTTTCATCCTCTTTGTGGCTGAGTCTGTTAGAAACCTGTGCTGCAAAAGCATCACCCTGTTGCTCAATTGCTACTCCTGCTACTCTGCAGACTGGGCTCAGTACAGTTAACATGCCCACCCAACCTGTCAGCATCATAGCACACATCCTCCGCAGCACCGTATCTCAACCAAATAAGAAAAGGAGCAATGTGAGATTGCAGAAATTTACAGTTGAGTTCAAAACAATAGTTCTGCTTGACTTTTTACAAACTTCAGGAACACAACAGATGGAAAAGGATCATCTCACTATACATTCAGTACTTGGCTTTCCAAATGGCAAACCCTAGGATGTGCAATCCTAATCCTTGTGCGCCCTATGTGCACCCTATTTCCAGCACTGTACATGTGTGCTGGTCCAGACAGAAATAAGAAGTCCCACCTGAGGAAATCAGAAGAACTGACCCTCTTCTGTCAGCAAAATATCCTCCTCAAATATTCCAGCAAGTCTAAAACTTAGAGTATGGACTTTTGGAAGAAGCAGGGAAGGAACTTTCCGCTTTAATGAGGCACTGAGTGTGGAGGTCGAAGTTCTTTGAGTCCCATGGTGTCCATGTCCCACACAGACACAGAGGTTAGAAAGGAAAAGCACAGAGCGTGTTACCTGGTTCAAAACATCACCAAACATGAGCCGACAAAGAATGATGTTTTTGGCCGAACACACAACAGTCAGTGCTCTGTACCCTGTCCATAGGGTGTTGATAGCTCGTAATGCAAGATTAACACAGTCTTCAGTAATCCCAGCTACTGCAATCTGTATAGGAAGAAGATGGCAGATAAGTGTCAGGGGAGCATAAAGCCATTCAGGTAAAGCTTCAACTATCAGGTGATGAAAATGCTTGAGAGGAGAATACTTTTCATAGTCTTCAAAAATAAAAAAACACACACTTCACAGAACAGGATATAAAATAAAGCCCTGGTAAACAAACAAAACCCACAAGTTCTTTCAAAATCCAAAAATGGCTGACTACATAGAGCGCCACATGGGTCAACCTATATCTTTGTCACCTTCAAACACCACATGTCTGTGGGAGACAACTGCTCCATTTACTGATATTTTACTTTTACCCTTGATACTTCAGCCAAAACCAGCACTAGCCAGAAACACACCTACCCCAGCCTGTAGTGTGGTGGTTCCAGCAGCATGCTGGGAGGACGCTTCCCTGCAGAAGGCCCTGGAAGGCTTCTGAAAGTAGAGGGTGTAAATGGATAGAGATCCTGCTGCAGTCTGTCGAGTTTTGAAACTCAGGACTGGATTATTTTCCAGCATGATGATGCCCTCAGACATAAAGGCAAAGCTCTGCAGGAGTCAAGACCTCAATCCAATTCAGACTCTGTGTTGGACTTAAAGTGTTGTTCCCTGTGCGGTACCTCATGAAACCTCACAGAAGCGGAGCAATTTCTAAGAGAAAGAGTGGGAAAACAGGAGCCTTGATTAAATGCTGAGAGGAAAATGTTTGATATTTGTTCTTTTATTAGATCAGTTGACTTTTTTACTTTTGACATTTACCTCCATCGGGGTTTGATAAGACAATTTAAGCTCCATTTGTCTATATTTATATATGAAAAGTGGAGCAAAAACTCTTTGTTTCCTCTTCTCCTAAATTCGCCCAGTCGCGATGTGACACGCTGTAAGAATTAGAAAGTGGAGGAGTATCAGTTCATTCGAACAAATAGTTACATTTTTCCTTTATTATTCATCTTAGCAGATTTTATCCGCTTCAGTCACCCGTGCAGGTGCATTGTGGGATGTTTGGTTGAAGGCACCTGCTGCTCCCACCTCATTTTTCCTCCTTGTCTGCTGCAGCCTCCCATTCCAGCAGTCTGTGTGTCAGTGTCTCCTCCATCTCACCAAATTAACAAGGCTTTTAGGATCTCCAGAGACCCAGCACCTTACTGATTTACCGACTGTCAGTCCTCCACAAATCACTCCATCCCTGTCAGCACTTATAACTCTTCTCACGATGTGTCTCTCTTCTTTTATCACTAAGTTTCTTTACATCTCACTCCCTTCCTTTCACTGTTTCCAGGCCATTCCCATTGTCTTTGTTCCTCCTCCTCTTTTTTTACTATCAGCTGTCAGTCAGTCCTTTCCATGGTACTCTTACCTTCATTTTTTTCTTTTCTGTTGTTCTACAGATTCACACTTCCTGACTTTCTTTCTTCATTCCTTCTTCATCCTCACTTTTGCAACTCCCACACCACGTCTTCCTGACATCATTACCCGACTTGAACATTGGGGCCAATATTCAGATTATAATCATTTTGCAAGCCTAAACAGAATCAAAGTGCCCCATATAAAACTTCAGTCAGAATCAAAAAGCTCTGAAATGTTGATACAGAAACCTTTTATAAATCTTCAGTAGGTAAAAGTACCCCATGGAGGATTTTCCCTCAACATTTCTTAGTTTGGGTGCTTCTCTGACTTGATTTACACACCGGGGTTTACGCTTGCTTTAGGCTGAGCTTCAGCTGAAGATAATCCCAAGTAGCAACCTCTGCTGTGGACAATTGAAGCCAGTGTGGTGGCAGTTTTTCAAGTGTTTCCTTGAGGCGCGTTCAAAAAGGTTAAAGGAATATTCTGGTGTAAAATTAGGTCAGGGTCAAACACACTGTAACACTGAGTTAGACACCCACACGAGAGATGAATGTTGCCGACTGCTTGCCTCTCTAGTTACACCAACTTCAGTAACGACCGTACGATAGCAATACACAGCAGTCTATGGATCCACACGCACACCTCAACCAAAAAAGCCACTCTATAGCCACAAATAATGCTCAGAACAAAGCCTATCTTCATCAACAGTACATATAGGGTCCCAGCCACAGCACTGTATGTACTGTTGATGAAGTTAGGTGCTGTTCTGAGCATTATTTGTGGCTATAGAGTGGCTTTTTGGTTGAGAAGCAAGCAGTCTGCAACATTTTCTCTCATTTGGGTGTCTAACTCAGTGTTACGGTGTGTTTGACCCTGACCGCCAGAATATCCCCTTAAGAGCCAAAAAAAAAAAATCCAAATTAAACCCATGCGAATATCCCTGTTTACTGCAGAATTAAACATATTCACATTTTTATTTTGATGTGTCTATCAGCTGATGCTCCAGCTATTTTTTAAAGACTTACTTATTTCATCATTTTAAGGCTAAGAGAATTGCTGATTTTGGCTGATTTGACCAACAGGGGTGTGTGTGTAATTGCCTTTGTGGGCTCCCTCAAAATATACAGGAAAGCAAGCACAGTCTGCACAACACTATTCTCACAGTCATTGGCAACCAATCAATTTCAATCAGTTTTATTTATATAGCACCAAATCACAACAGTCAAAATAGTCCCCATTAAGTAAGGCTTTTGTGGCTTTTGTTGACATGTAGTTTGATTTGTTGTGCCTTGAAATACACAGTCAGCGCCATGGCTTTGTGAGGAGTAGAAAAGCCATATACTTAAGATAGCTCCTTTTTTTTCTGCATATCTGAAAGATGATTCAAACCTGATCCTCAATCTGTTATCTGAATCGGACCGTGGGATTTGTGATCTGTTGCACCCTTGGAAACGACTATACGTACGAGCCTAAAAATATCTGTCTTCAAAGCTGGATCAAACTCTTGCCAAACAGATATCGCTCAACGGGTTAGTGCTGCAAGGCCGTCCCTGAGAGAGACAGAAGCCTGATGTATTCATGACTTTTTCACATCATAGCTGTAATTGTATGCTCTGAGGCATGTAAACATCAGAACATATTGGATCATGCATCATGTAAGCATTTGACCTGGAATGTTTAATCAGAGTGATTTCAATCAGAATGCTTGAACAAATTTGCAGCTTTTGTTCTCCCTTTCAATCCAATCCTGCCTCCCCCATCCATATTTCTCTTTATGTGCTTCTTCTCAGGGAAATTTTATCTTTCTTTTTTCCTCCAGTGCCCTCACATCTTTATAATGTGACCCCCTCTTTCTCTGTGTCCCTCCCTCCAGTATCTCCAGAGGCGTCAGCAGGAGAATGCCCAGAGGCAGAGCAGAGGAGAGCCCCCGCTGCCTGAGGAGGATATCACTAAAATGTTTAAGCCCCCCCAGCCTCCACCACGCATGGACACGCTGCTTATTGCAGGTACGCACACCCGCACAAATTCACAACCTGCATGCACATACAGCCTTTGTCGTCTCCACCAGAGACCCTCCCACCTCCCTCACTCCGAACTCCATCAGCCGCCTCTGCTCCCCTCACAGGAGCTCAGGTTCTGTTTTGTAATTATCTCCGCCATTATCTTGAAATTACATTAATTTAAAGTTTATTGACTCAATCTCCAACTCGACCGCCCCTTCCCCAGCCACCTCACGCTGTTCAGCTCTCCTCCGCCTCCCGACAACAGTTCTGATCCTTCCGTTAATTCTGCTCCCCCACTAATTTGGTGTTTTGCTGTGCTGTCTCCTCCCTCTCTCTGTGCTTCCCCCGCTCTTTTGTGTACACATATGTGCACACATGTACGTATGTTGGTCTGTATGTATGGATGGATGCATTTTTCTGTGGGTGTGTTTTGATGCTGGTGTGTGTGGATGCATGTGGCTACGCTCCAACAGGGCAAATTAACAACTACTGCCAGAACGTGAAAGAATTCACATCGCAGAACCTCGGGAAGCTGTTCATGGCAGAGGCTCTCCAAGAACACAACTAGAGGAACCAAATGAAGGAAACCATCGGCATGAGAGGGAAAAAGAAGAACAGAAAAGTGAAAGAGATGCAAAACATCATTCGCAACGACAGGAGGAACCTTGCTGTCGTCTTTGTTTTCTAAAAATTATACATTGTTTTATGATTAACTCCATCTATAACTAAACTATCTCTGTAGATCCCTAAAAAATGATTCAAATAAAGTTCTTGCATCTCCACTTCTGTTTGTTTTTGCTCTGCTTCGGATGGTGATTGAAGAAAGCATTGGGATTTATTCATTTCGCACACACCTCTGCTAAAATGGGAATGATACAAATAATTATACAGCACAATGATATTTATAGATACTTTTATTACTGCGCACTTTCATCCTGACGTTCAAACATCAAGCAGGTGGAAACAATTATGAGTGGATTTGCTGAAGAGTCTGTTTGCACAGCGGGAACAGTGATATCCTCGTAAATAAAACTGCAGCAGAAATAACAGTGAAAGTTAAGCGTTAAATAAAAGACTTCTTACGTGTCTCAGCTCCTGCTGTCTCACAACAGACTTTTCATCCTGTACCCCCCTTTTTTTTTACTGCAAATTACACAGCACACCAGAATCCACCTTTCCCCCATGCAGGTACAAATTAACACGTGTTTATTTTTGGGACTCATAAATAATGCCCCAGTAGAGAAATTTGGCTCAGATAAAAGGTTGTTGAGTTTTTGAGAAAACATTTGACGAAGAAACTGCAGGTGTGCCGAATGAGAGTCGAGGAGGAAAGTCTCAAATGTACAAGAAGGGATTCCTTAATAAGTGCTGTTGTATTATCCAAAAAACACACATTTTTCAGCAACATAATTTCAAAGAAATTAAAAACGAGGGAACCAATTAACCATTTTTTAAATTTAATTCATAAAAATACATGAATAATAACCAAAGAGACACAGATAGTTGGAAAAGACAGCCCTTTGAGTAATAGTGATGTGTTTCCCTCTCCTCAGTGTGTTATTTTTACATTTATCAGTTCCTTTATTGAGACTCCCATTATCTATGTGTTGTTGAGAAGCTTATCTGAGAAGGAGAGAAACAGCCTGAACAACATTGTCGTTGAAGTCATATATAGAGATTCTTTTGTGTCCAACAAGTGAAAAGAAGGTCAATAAGCATATTGAACATACCTGGCCACTTAACAGGAAGCAGGATGTCATTATGTTCCATGACGAGTAAATGAAGGTGTTTCTGTGCTCTGTGCCATCTCCTTTAACATCTCCCGAGTGAAGCCAGAGTACAGCTTCGGGTTTTTTCTATGAATCCAAATGTTTTCTATTCGCCTTAAACCATTTCAAATTACTGGACAGCTGGGGCCAATCCAGAATAGCATTGTAGGAATAGTAAGTGAATTAGAATTTAACATATGGGACAAACGTCCAATAGAAACTCTCCGTACTAAACTGTAAGAGAGTTCTCAATGTCCAAATGAAAATACCAAATAATGTTTGTCAAGCAGAGCTGGGATGTTTCCCAACACTGTTAAATATTTTTTTAAAAAGGGGGCAGTGAGTCCCTTTGACTCACTGCTGTACAAAGTGCTAAAATCCTTTGAGCTGAGCCCTGAAAACTTTTCAGTCAGCTGATGATCAAATGATCAGATGAACAAATCAAGAGAGTTACAGGAAGGTCGTGTTCACACCCGAAGGTCAGTTTCCTGATTCGAATCCAAGGCAAGACGATACATTTGTTTTGATTGTTTAACTGGTCCTGTTTGTGTTCACAAAGGACAAACTCAATCACTCCAGAAAACGGAACCAGAAGTCACGTGACCACGAATATCGTTCGGTTATTGGTCATTCGTTTATGCGGGAATACAAACCCCGCTCTGCTGTCTTCGCCTGTCATGGAGCATCGTAGGCTGATTTTGCTTTTGCTACTCATCTGGAGCGCATATCAAAAGACCCTAGTCGATCGCTCGTATGAACAGCTCGTTAGCCAGCAAGCGCGAACTGCAGCATTTAAGACGGATAAAGACGAGACGGCGAAAGGCATTAATGAGAGCCTACCACGATGCGTTTCCTCTCTGGTGTCAATGGAGGACAAGTGAGTTGAGTGGACAACATTTATTTCACAACCAGCGTTACAAATAGCCTAGATGTATTGACGTGTGTGGTGCATTTCCTGTGATTGGTGCAGATGACATTCACACCAGAAATGAACCGCTCCAGAGTTCACTTGATAGCGGTCCGAGACCACCTCTTCAGGCCGACCAGAGTTCGAGGTCAGCGTTAACACCGACCCAAACGAACCGCACTAAGTGGGTAGACGCTCCAGGGTTCAGTTCAACTGGACTAAACGAGGGTGGTGTGAACGCGCCCTTAGATCACTGGACAAAAGAAAACAAAATCCCAAACTTGACTAAACTGTTATTTTACCATTAAAAAAAAGAGTTGAAGATGTCTAAATGAGAAGACTGATCCTGACCACATGTAAGCTCAGTGACCTCCAACTGACTATAGAAAGAGGACTCCTCAAACAAGCATGGCTGCCTTTCTAACCCTACCTGCTGCCAGTCCTCCTGGGTGAAGGACCAACAGCTCCTTTGGTGTTTCAGTGTGTTTCTGCTGCCATAACCTGAGGGCCTCACACACAGTTGGAGCCCAAATACAGAGAAGCTGTCCATTATTCAACTGTATGTAGATTTACTATGCCATCCATTACTTGAATGCTATTTAATTATTTTATTTATTTAGAGTATTTTATTAAATAAATATATAATATCAATCAAATATATCTGTCACTAACTAATAATTGTGTATTAATCAGTGTTATAAAGGCTTTGGCAGTATTGTTCTGGTTCATTTGAATCAGTAACAGAGGCGTCGCTGAGGTGTACTGCTGTCTCTGTGAACAGTCACAGCTGGCAGTGCAGAGCTGGGCTGGTGTGTATGTGAGGCTCCCACTGTTAGTTGACATGATAAAAAAAATAACCCACTGTGGCACCAGAACTGCTCTGCTGTTGGGTTTGGTTGTGTAAGTATAAAGGCAGGGCAACAGCAGAGCTTCGTTTTAGAGCTTCAGCTTAATCTCGCAGTAAAAAGGGCTACAGAGACTTACAGCTGTATACAAATTCACACCTACAGGCAATTTAGAGATACCAATTCGCCCAAGGAGCATGTTTTTGGATTGTTATTGGAGCTGGAGTACTTGTAGAGAACCCACTCATGCACCAGGAGAGCATGCAAACTCCGCATAAAGGAAAATGACTCAGGAACCTTCGTGCTGTGAGGTGACAGCACTAAACACCACGCCGCCTTTGATTGATTTTCATCTCACAATTTTTTATTGGCATCAGTGCTGCAGTCTAGAGAGTGCTGGGTGATTATGTGGAGTTAGACACTCGTCTAGGAAGGTAGAACACAACATAAAAGTCTGTAAGAGTATAACAGGGTGATTCTTCACTGCTCCCCAAACCCCCAAAGTTTCTAATTGCTGACAACTATGTATTATTTTGAACAAAGTGCAACAAGAAGAAAAACCGAAGAAAATAATATCTCAGGGTGAACAAAGGCCAAATTAACATAAAAAGAAGTATTTCCTTTGAAATGCCCTGAATAAAATTAATTTCACCAGAAAACATTTGTTAATCCTGACTCCCCAACTGAAAGCAAAAACAGGATAAAAGGTGACAGAAAAGAAAACAATACTCTCAAACCAAAGAATTACCAGCTAACTAAAATTCAAATGGGAAGAAAAACTCATCACAAAGACGTTCCACAACAAAAGCCCTTTTCCAAGCTAATGACATTTTATAAAAGGTTTTGAAGGCCAAGGACAAAAACAAGTTGCTGTTATCAGTGAATCACCGCATGGGAAAACCAGCTTTTTTTTTATTACGTCGGAGTGGTGCAGACAGACCGATACAGCATAGACCCCTACAGAGCACACAATCACTCACAATCACACAACAGGATGATTGTCAACAATCCACAAACAGCCAGAGCACACACAATAATTCAAATAAACACAATTTACAAAAAAAGTCAAATAACCCAAAAGGCCATAACATACAGATAAGGTTTGTGTCCCTATGAGGTTGTACTTTCCTATAATCCTGCTTTTATTCATTATCAGCATTACGACAATATACAGCTTGATGTTAAAGCTAACACTTAAGAGTATAACTCACAAGTGTCAAATTAAAATATGTTCAACATCAGAGTTTTAGTTTTCTCATGCCCAAAAAAAAATCAACATTAATACTCAACACAAATTGCAGCTGGTAAAGGGTTAACAAGTTTTGAGAGCATTTTATCACAAACGACGTGTTTGATATTAAGACATCATGTTAAAACCATGAACAGAGCAGGTATTGGAAGCAAAGAAAAGACCCGAGAGGGAAGAAACTGACATTTTGGTACATTTGATTCAGGCAATGAAATGATTTTTGCTTAACTAAATAAAAATATTGATTATCTGGTTTGTGGATCACAAATAAAACAAGTTGTCCAATGATACCCTGACTAACAACGCTTCATTTGTCTGAATAGAACAATCAAAAATACAGTTGTGCAAACATGATTAAAGTGGTGAAGGGAAATCGCAAACAAAATCTGGTAGCGTCTCTCCTCAATTTATCTTTTTTGTCCCCATGTGCACGTCTTTAGCTGACTCTAGGCACACAAGTGGCATTTTAACACCGCAGGCCGCCTTTAAATGCAGCATTTTTGGATGCAAGTATTTCCAAGAGACAGTTTTAGATGAGTCATGAGTCCTCATTGTTGAAGTCTGAGTCCACGGCCCCACAGGTATCTGAGTCAAGTCTCTATAATATATAGGAGATAGTCCCCCTCTTCTTCTCAGTGTTTGCTATGTTAATCATGTTGCGCTGCTTTTGTTTGCATTCACTTGAAAAACTATGAGAGCAAAATTCATGATTCATGGCACTGCCTGGCAGGAACTGTTGCTGCTTTAGAAGACAGCATTGAAAAGAGCATGCCGATGAACATGTGCCAGCCCCTGTTCAAAAAGGAATAAATTATGAGAGCCACATACCAAAAAGGCCGACACAAACACAGTGAGACAGTCTTTCTCGATAAATAGTCCTCCTCTGCATCTCCAAATACCGTCAGTGCTCGAGATCGTGAAATCAGGCCGGTGCTGGACTCAAATCCAAACTCTAATACTACAGCAATGTCACGTATCCCACCCCCCCAGAGTTTTTGCCTCTGACCTTGTTCCTCCTTCACATCTCTCAGTTTATACGTGTGTAGGCTTTTATTCGTAGACATTAGAAATAGTTTGGAAACTCATAGCCTTGGAATGGTTTTGCTTTGTCATCAAGCATTTTGTTGACTTTGGAGGTGGACTTTGTTGTACAGTCATCCTTGAGGGAATAAATAAAGATGACTAGTATTGCAGTGCAGCATTGTAAAACATCCACAGCTGAAATGAAATTGATATAAGGTATTGCTAATAAAATTGACCCTTATCGTCACTTTTCATTAAGACCGTTTTAAACAAAAGGAAAGTCATCCTCAAACTTTCCTGCTGCTTAACCGAGAAATAACTCAAAGGCTGACGCAGTGCTGAGAGTCCGTCAGCAAACACGAGTCTGTGTGTCCTTGAACAAGTCTGAAACTCTCTAAACTAACTCGCTCTGAATCCTGCATGAGAGCATCAGCTAAATACCTCACATGTTTCTGTAAGCCGTTTCGGTGCTGATCCTCTGCAGAGCGTCACATATCTTAGTATTACTCCTGCAGGCACAAAAAGCCCAGCTCATTTGTACAGCTTGTCACCAGCGTCCACTCCAGCCAAGCAACACCGGGCTGAAATGATGGCTCTTCGTGCTCCATTTAATAAAGAAGCTGCCAGCGTGTGGTTCATTGTATAATAATTACACTGCAGCTCTATCTCGCTGTGCGCACGTGTGTGTGTCCGTTGTTCTTACTCGACCTGTGGTTAAACAGCATCATCTAATTCAGCAGATGATGTTATTTAACTTGTCATCAGCATCGCCTAGTCGGGTAATAACTTGTAGTGCTCCCGCTTGTCATCAGCACAATGTCATTAACAATAATTACAAGTCGAGCAACATGATGAACGCTTATTGGAACAGTGACACTCAAGCCGGAAATGATTTCCTCCCCAAATCATAACATGTTTCCCCAACAGGCTGGCAGGATGGCATATACTAATTCACCACAAAGGGCTCGGTTTATATCTATTAATTGGGGTATCTGCTGTGTTGACAGGCATACCTGTGCTAATGATTGATGTGTTGTATGATGTAAGGCTTTTCAGGTATTGACTGAGCTTTGATGAGTGGCTCCTGCTTAAGCTGAACCTTTGTTGTTTGAAATTCTGAAGTAGCTCTGTGGGGGGTGGGGGGGTCATTGCCCTTGAGGGCTGTCTGGGGCCACAGCCTCCCCCATGTCCCTAATCCTAAAATGTGTGAGGAATTACAAACTCAACAGAACTGAGGAGCAATGTGTGAAGCGGCCGAGGCCTCGCTTGCTCCTTTCCCCACCCTTTCCTTAGTCTGTCCGTTGTGTCCTTGGGCAAGACATTTAACACACCTTGCTCCCAGTGTGTGTGTCCTCCACTGGTGTGTGATTGTGAATGATGTTTGGTGGTGGTCAGAGTGGCTGTAGGTGCAAATTAGCAGTCACGCTTTCGTCAATCCGCCCGAGGGCAGCTGTGACTACTAAGGTAGTTTACCACCACCAGGGTGTGACTGTGTGAGCAAATGAATGATGATAAAGTGCAATAAAATCTGATGCATTATTATTATCATTATTAACTCTAACTCAGTGACAGAGGGGGCTCAGCTTGTATATAAAGTAACAGTTTTTTGTTTGGCATGGAAATCAGTTTGGACTGATTCATGTCGTCACTGCAGGGTTCAAGGGCAAAAGACTGCAAGTGCACAAGAGTCAAACTGGTGTCTTTGGTGCACAATACTCTGCAGTCAATATAATCATGACATAAGCTATTGACTGTCATCCGTAACAAAGACAAAGGCGATGACCTTTACACTTTTTTATGGATGTAATCAATAAACTAGAGGGTCTGGAAGTACTTTCAAGGCTCACTCCATGGAAACATGCATACCTCATTCACATGTACCTTTTAGGTGTTATTTCCTCATTATTCCTGAATTAGTTATTGTGTCTTATCCTTGAAATGTCAGAATCCATAATCATGCAAATGTTCATTTCTGTGCACAAAAAAAAGAGGGAACAAGGCCTCAAGCTACATTATTACATTTGTGCAAAATTCATGCTGAATCAATACTGGTTTCCAAAATGGTTACAATCTCACTAAAAAATAATTTTATTTAATAATGGTTTTAAGCTGCCAAGGCACATAAATGGTTTACTCCAAGAAAAAAAATACACCAACTTTTTGGAACAGCACTGCCCTTATCAATGTCATGTCTTAATCACCAACCAATCAGAGTAAAGAAGGAGCTGGGCTCTTGATATTATACATGCTTAGGGGTCTGCAGAGAGAAGAAACAGATCATGATGTTTTTTTTCTCGGAGGGTACATTTTCAAGGTTGAGAGCTGCTAATTGTGAAGCAACCATTACATTTTAAAAAAGACTTAGTGTTCAGGACTTGGTAAAGCTGAAGTACTAGGGGACAGCACTTCAGCTAACACATATAAAATGAAGTATGCGAAACAACAATACGCAGTGGAGGGAGCTCTTAAGTGGTACACTCCAGATTCACTAATGGTCCTCATGGTATATATACATGCTAAAAAAGGTTTGAAGTGTCACTGTCTTTCTTTGATGTTCAATGCAATTACGCAGGAATAATTAATAATAGTCTTAAGCAAATACAGCGATCTGTCAGTGGCTTTACCCTGTAATAATTCAACAAAGAAGTTCTGCTTAAACACACTTCCGCCCCTCCATATGAAGAGACACTCCAACTGATGTGCCTACTCAAGGTTCTGGTGAAGATTTAGAAGTGCAGAGCGTCTGCTTCATTGTGTTGCTTCTTTTGAAATGTTAAACTGTTTGGAAGAAAAGAAACCCACAGCAGCACTAGCAGCTGCATTTGCGATTTTCTCCCACACTTTCCAGCTCAATTGACCGTGAGACTACAGTGAGTCGGGAAAATGAGAGCGACATCCTCAAACACAAGACAAATTTTCAGCACCCACAAACAGTTCAGATGTCGAGTCTGTGGTCTGCTGACGCAATGCTTAAACTTTCCACCTCTACCTCTACGGTGATTTCACTCATCACCATCCCAATTATCTTTTTATCACTCTGCTCTCCGTCTCTACGTTTGCTCAGATTACGCTAAACTACGTGTTTGAACTGAGTATGGGAACCGAATAAAAGCTTCGGCTGTGTAAACAGCGGGGCGTTTTGTACGCTGCAATAGGAGGAAATACTTAATTAGGATTATGGGATTTGTCTCTGCACCTTCAGATTCCTGAGAAGGAGGCTGCTAGATGTCAGAGGGATATAAGTTTGGTCTCATTTAATCAGGGAGTGTGGCCTGCACAGCCCTGACCCCCGCAGTAATTTATTACTGCTCAAACACAAACACAAGCTCTCTCACCGTGCTGCCATTGCCCTGTCATTGGTGATAGAGCGAATCAGCTGGCTGAATATAATGAAACCAGTTATTTCGCTGTCAACTCCAAATACTTTTTCTCTCTTTTTTTTTTTTTTTTTCTTTTTTGCTCCCTCTCTGTGTCTTTTTTTTCCTGCCACAGCTATTGCCATGGCAACTGTAGATCCTGTATGGAGTAGCTGTTGAGGATGTAAAGTAGTTCCCGTGGAAAAATAATCTTGCAAATCCCCAAAACAAGAGCAGAGAAGAAGCCAGATGCAGCTTTTGGAGCTGAGTAGGTTTGGTTAAGGGGAATTTACCATCAACAGGATTATTCACTCAGGTCTGACACAAGCAGCGTGTAAAAACAGCTCTTCACATAACAATGCTCCCTCTACCTGTCACTGAGGCGGCTCTATATTTACCTTATCTCTGGTCAATAGATCTGCTCTGTGATTGGCAACTGTATGGATCGAGCACTGTGTTCTAGTTGCAATTTGTCTCTGCCTGCCACCCAATTCGACGGCTGTCACCCGGCAGTGGCACAAATCCCACAGGCCATTATGAGGCTGGTTTAATCCCCACAACAGCAGCATCAGAAGCCTTTCAAGGGGGGTTTCGGAGCATGATACCCTGTCTGTCACATGTATCCGTGGGCTTCAGGCAAGGCTACAGTGCATTGTTGTCATCCCACTCCATCACTCACGTCTCTTCTTATCCCTGTGCTGCCAAGACAAATGTGCTGGATGTCCTTCTGCTGGAGATCAATCACATGTTGCGTGTAATCTTCAGCTGCGCTTTGTCTCTCCGCTATTGATACTCAGAGCCGGTCTTGGCTGTAACACATGATAAATTATGTTTTTATTGATGTCTTGATCTTGACAGTCAATATGATTTTGGGGAGAAATGCCCGTCGGTTTATAACATTGATCCATTTATTTGTTGTTTGCTTTAGTCCAAAGCTGTTTGCTGTCCTTTTTTACAGTCTATCTAAAGAATAGTTTGCCATTTTGTTTTAGCTGAGTAGATCAACAAAACGGTCTTGTCTGTGAGGTAAAGCAAGGAGTCGAAACGTTTAGCCTAGCATGACAACCCAAGGCAAGCGAGGCAGGTACACAAACCGCCTGATGCCTGATTTGGTAACACTTTGTATTTGGTCCTTATAATAAGCATAAAATAAATAATCCCTGACCTTAATGTTGTGGTTGTACTAGCTAACTCTGTTTCTTGTCTTTTCCTTCATCATCCCCAAAATCCTAATTTAATCAGCTTAATGCACACACAGAGGTTGTTACCAGCGAGCTTTTACACTCAGTAGGAAGAAAAAGAAGGTGTATATGGACAACATATTTCGTGAGGTGACTGTAGGATGTGTGAAAAGGTAACTGTTTTCTAACAAGAAAGCCCAACACCTTCAGAGGTTACAAAATGCCAGTGATTTCACAGCTCATTTTCTGCTGCCTCCAAGTGAAATGAATGTCAGTTGTTGCAGGTTTAATGGTGCAGATAGATCCCCAGATGAATGCCATTTTGAAAGTGATTCTATAAATACTGTAAACAGCATCAAACCCAGATCCTCAAATAGTTCTTATAGCTGTGATCTTGCCTTTTAAGAGTAGAGATCAAACCTTTACTTCTGCTGCTATTTGTGTTAGTTCGTTGCATATCAGACACAGATAAGATTTCCATCTTTTAATACTAATATTTAGTGTGGAGCTCAGTGATACAACCATACAAGTATAATGTGTGAATGTATCATATAAGCAAGAGGTGTGTATTTAATTCATGCTTAAACTTTTGTTGTTTTATTGGTCTATGTTAATAGACCTCTTATCTTTTCATCTTCAAGGACGCTTACACTGATAAATAACACCAAAGACCTCCATCCTACACCAGCAAGGAAACACCTACTGCAGGCAAGACTTTCTTGTGCATCTCTATAGCAGTAAACCGTCACTTCATGCTCACCTTTGTGACCTATTGGAAATCTCTGGGGGCGTTAAGTGTAGAAGGTATTTGTAAAGTTTCCACCGGCAGCTTCAACCTACATCTTTACCTCCCATTGCCTGGTTTTTGCTGCTTTATTCGTACGTTTATCCACAGCTGTGCAAACTTCATTTCACTGGATTCTGCTACTTTTAATGCTGTATCTGATGCACGTGAGGGAGGATGTGATTAAAGGATAGGCGTTACTCGATGGACATGATTAGTGCTACTGTCTATGTCAGACCTGATCGAGGATCAGCAAAGGGTCACTGAGTAATTACAAAGATGTACAGTCGGCATCTGGCTCAAATACAGCGTTTAAAACACGAGATTGTCGGCAACGCTAGATCAAAAATGTGCAACTGTATGACAAATATCATCCGTCTTCTTGTGAAAGACCATAATGGTAATAATCTGGAGCATTCAAACAGTTCATGACCTCCAATCTCTCCTAAAGATGTTTTTATGGGCTGGTTGCTCTTTTTCAGCACTCCAACTTATGTTATCCATCATCCTTGTCGAAACCTTGAATTTCAAATGTTGCCCTCTTTCCCTCTTTTTGCTGGCTTATCATATTTCCCCTCTTAATGAAGAAAATGAGAAAATGCCAGGCAAAGTAATTTATTATAATTCATGATCACCTCCCTTCTCTTCCTTTAAGACTGGAGATGCTAAGTTACCCTCAGTAAGTGATTGATGGGGTGCTTGTGACCTACAATAGACAGACCCACAATTAAAGCACGCCTTATCTCCAAGCTGGGACTCTGGAAGATAAATGCTGATAGCTCCCTCCCCTTTGATGCTCAATCATGCACTCCATGCCTGGCTCCCAGCTTGTGTCCTTAGAATGACTGATGTGCATTTGAATATTTCTTCCACGCAGGTAAACATTAACATTCACGTCACTTATGCATTCACTCCTCCTCACTCCTCTGGCTTCATTGTAGCCTGTCTGTTTCAAACAGACACTCTCAGGGGAAACCAGCACCTAATTTAAGTGTGTTTATTTTCACGCTGTGTGCCAGCAGGACAAATGAAGTGAACATCCTTTTATATTGGAATGATTCATCACATGGAAGAGGAAGTGGACTCTCATTTTCTCTTTTCTTCCTCTGCATTGTTTTTATTCTTGTCATATTTGGCTCAGTCCCAAAAAAATCACGCTTCAGACTGTAAAACAACCAACATCCATTCAGTATGCTCATATTTCCTTCTCCATCCGGGGGGACACCAGCCTTTGACCACTGCTGGCCCACACTCTGGTCTCTAGGCTCATGTTGGACTTCAACCCATAAAAAATTCATCTCTTCCAGCTCTTGTTGTCCTGCAATACATTTTCTTTGGGCTTCAAGGTTTCTTTTTCACAGGGGAGTCCATGATAGTACAACCTCTGTTTTGACTTTGAGCAACTGTGAATGTGTCCAATCCAACACTGATGTTGATGATTGACCTTGAGTAGGACAGAGGTTGTGTTGATAAAAATGTTTGAATAGAAAATGAAGATCAGATTGTACTTGGACATATGAGCAAGATTTCTGCTTGTATGCTCTTGTCTTTACCGATGTTCCTGCTGTAGCATCCTTCATGCCCTGCGGGGCTGTACAAGTTGCGGTGAGAGGAACATCCATGGAAGCACAAGAGTTTCGTCTCAGAGGGACTGATGCTAACCCAGTCTGAGCTGTGCCATGGTCAGACTCTGGATGCTCAGGGAAAATGTTATATACATGGAAAGATAACCAGATGTCAGGCTGTAGGAGGCTTAGATCTTTCTACCAGAACTTTAAACTTTTGATAGGCTACAGTAACCTAGAAAAATTGTTCTTTTCTTTTCTCCTGCTAGAAAAAATATCAGAAATACTTATATAATAATAATACAACTATTTTTTAATTGTGTAAATGATTGCACAGTTGAGTCAAATAAAAGTTGGGTGTCAGTTTTGCTCCTCTTTATGTTAATGAACAAATTGACCAGTTTATGATGAGGTTGCACAGCTGAAAACTAGTCCTATTTAATGTAGAAGATTTCTGCTTTTTAAGCTATGGTCTACGATCTGAAAACCAGTTTGGCTGTTGAGACAGATTTGAAAAACGCAGCCTGCCCCCCCTTCACTCACCCCTCCGTGTTCCAAGATCCCGCCCCCCCAGCTCATGTCGCCTCCTAACAACACACCCCTTTCGATAGAGCAAGAAGCCGGCCGGCAGAAAATATCAGCAGTGGTACACAGTGGTAGCCATTTCAATTGGACCGGCGCAATCAAAACCATATATTAGCGGGGTGAAGCGGGTCTGGTGTCACCACTGCTAGCCGGTCAGAGCAGAGCCAATTGTGGGCGAGGCTTTACCTTTCGCGGCGTGTCTTCACTGGCTCAGTTTACAATGCTAAAGATGCGTGGCTAACTTATGCTAAAATCGATTGACAGAGCCTACCCATTCAGACCAACAACATTCAGTCATTAGCCAGTATGGGCACCGACTAACCAGAGTTATTCAGCAGACATCTCCCACTGTAGTAAACAAATATCCTGTTCAACAGAAATTCGTCTGTCTCAGAGTCAGTTTTCAGTCCCAAATCCCTCCGCAGCTTTTTCCACCAGTCGTACGTTTCTCCAATGTA